ATCTCTGTCGCTCACGATGCTGCTAGGAATGCCCCAATACTTGACCACGTTCTTGAAGAATAGCCGTGCCGCATCCTCCGCCGTTAAGTCTTTTGGCCCAGGAATGAACACTCCATACTTCGAGAATCTGTCCACCACAACCATGATGCAACCGCATCCATCGACTTTGGGGAGTCCGATGATGAAGTCCATGCTCACACTCTCCCATGGTCGTTGAGGCGTGGGCAAGGGCTCTAGCAAGCCTGCCGGGCTTCTCTGCTCCATCTTGTCTTGTTGGCACACAAGACAAGTCTTCACATACATCTCCACGTCGTCTCTCATACGTGGCCAGAAATATGCTTCTTCGATGAGCGCTTGCGTTCTCTCGATGCCGAGATGGCCCGCCCACTTGGAATCATGGCACTCCTTCATGATCTCCTTCCTCAAGTTGGCCCACCTTGGCACGAACACCCGCTCTCCTTTGGTCATGATGAGCCCATCCTTCATCCAAAACCGCCGAGTTTTACCTTGCTCAATGTACTCTGCTACGGTTTTGGCGAAGGGGTCATGGCCAAGGCCTTCAACGATCCGTTCCTTCAAAGGAAACGTGGGCTGGCTGATGCTTGCGGCTGCACTCTTGCGGCTAAGAGCATCGGCAACGGAATTCGCCTTGCCTGGATTGTACTCCATAACGAAGTCGAACTCGGCCAAAAAGTCTTGCCACCTCGCTTGCTTAGGGGTGAGCTTCTTCTGCGTCAGAAAGTAGCTCGTTGCCACGTTGTCCGTCTTCACTACGAACTTTGACCCCAACAAGTAGTGCCTCCATGTGCGCAAGCAATGCACCACGGCTGTCATCTCCTTCTCTTGAACGGTGTATCGCCTCTCCGTCTCGCTGAGCTTCCGAATCTCGAAGGCAATGGGATGCCCTTCTTGCATCAACACGCCCCCAATTGCAAAGTCGGATGCATCGGTCTGCACTTCGTAGGCCAACGTCGGGTTGGGGAGCACGAGCACGGGCTCCTTCATCACCGCTGCTTTCAAGGCCTCGAACGCTTCTTGGCACCTTTCCGACCAATCCCACGCCTTGTTCTTTTTCAAGAGATCCGTCAAGGGTGCTGCAATGTTGGAGTAGCCCTTGATAAACCTCCGATAGTAGTTGGCAAGGCCGAGGAATGACCGCAACTCTGGCACCTTCGTCGGCGGCTCCCATTCTTGGATTGCCTGCACCTTCGCTCCATCCATCTTCAACTTGCCTCCACCAATGACGTGCCCCAAGAATGGAACCTCCGTGGCGGCAAATGTGCACTTCTCCCTCTTGACGTACAACTCGTTGTCGCGAAGGACTTGGAAGACTTGGCGTAGATGCTCGGCATGCTCATCGAGTGTTTTGCTATACACAACGATGTCATCCAAGTAGACCACGACAAACCGGTCCAAGAATGGCTCGAACACTTGATTCATCAAAGTGCAGAACGTGGCTGGTGCGTTGGTGAGACCGAATGGCATCACAAGAAACTCGTAAGAGCCATACCTCGTCACACAAGCTGTCTTTGGCTCGTCGCCCTCTGCTATCCGCACTTGATAGTAGCCCGAGCGAAGATCCAGCTTGGTGAACCACATTGCATCTCCAAGCTGGTCGAACAAGTCGGCAATGTTGGGAATCGGCCACTTGTTCTTCACCGTCAACTTGTTGATGGCTCTATAGTCGATGCACATCCGCAACGACCCTTCCTTCTTCTTTTGGAACAGCACCGGTGCTCCAAAAGGTGACTTCGATGGCCGCATGTAGCCTGCGTCCACCAAGTCCTTGAGTTGCCTCCGCAATTCTTCTAACTCCGGTGGCGACATGCGGTATGGTGCTCGCGAAGGGGGCTTCGCTCCTGGCTCCAACTCGATCTTGTGGTCCACCTCTCTTCTTGGTGGCAGCTTCTTGGGCAACTCCGATGGCATCACATCATCGAACTCTTCGAGGACACCTTCGATGATGGGAGTTGTGATTCCCGTTGAGCCTCCTTCTTCCTCCGTCTTCAAGGACACAAGAAAGGTTGGTTCATTCTTCTTGAACCCCTTCACCACTTGCATGGCCGATAGAGCACTATGGGGACCATCTTCTCTCAAGAGATGAATAGTATGGAACTCCCCTTCCTTCTCCAAGCACATCGTGTTGGAGTTGGGCTTCAAAAGCACTCCCTCCTTGTTGAGGAAGTGGATGCCGAGGATGACTGGGTGATCGTCCATGGTGACGACGGAAAAGTCGATGAAGCCTTCCCACTCGCCAAGCGTTATTGGTACGTTGTGCGCCACTCCATGAATCGGGATGGACTCCGAATTGATTGTCTTGAGCCTCCCTTGCCCCTTCTCGTAGGCAATACCCAGCCGGTTCGCCTCCTCGATGCGAAGAAAGTTGTCCGTGGCACCGGTATCCACCAAGGCTTTTGACTCGCCTTGCATGAATTGCGCCAGAACATAGCACCTCCCCCGCTTGTTCTCCTTGACGTCGGTCTTCGCCGCGCCAAGCTTGCGGATTGAGCCAATCTTGGCCTCCGCCGCCTTGGGCTCCTCCTCTTGAGCTTCCATGGCTGCTAATCTCGCCTTCCTTGGGCAATCTCGCACTCGATGTGGTCCGTCGCAAAGGAAGCAAGTCATGGGTTTTGGCTCGTACCTACCCCCTTTGCTCGAACCACCTTGGTGTTGTTGAGTGCGAGAACCCTCCTTGAAAGGCTTCTGCTGTTCTCCACCTTTGTTGGGCTTCGAACTCTTCTCTCTGCCGCTGCTCTCTTGTCGTTTGTACTCGACAAAAGACTCTGCCGTGGCCATGGCAGTTGCAAGGTCTTGCACTCCTCGACGTTGCATCTCCATCTTGGCCCATGGTTGCAGCCCATCAAGAAAGCCGTGCATGGCCTCCTTGTCCGTGATGTCCGGGATCTCTAGAAGCAGCTTCGAGAATTCTTTCACGTATTCTCGAACTCCACCCCTCTGGGTGAGTCTTCTCAACTTCGAACGGGCTTCAAACTCCACGTTCTCTGGGTAGAACTGCTTCTTGATTTCTCTCTTGAAATCTTCCCACGTTACCATCACGCAAGTACCTCTTTCGACGTCCGCTTCACGTCGCCTCCACCACACCATGGCAACATCAACCAAGTAAAGTGGAGCGGTACGAATCTTTACCTCATCCTCTTGGATGCCGGACGCCTTGAAGTACTGCTCAAGACTCCAAAGGAAGTTCTCTAACTCCCTCGCATTCCGTGAACCTCCGAAGCTCTTCGGTCTTGGAATATCAGCACGTGGGACGGATTGCACCGTGGCTGGTCCGCTAGCCATGGCTCTCTTCACGAGAGTGACCTCACTCTTGAGATCTGCAATCTCCTCCTTCACGCCGACCAGCTCAGCCTGGACTTGCTCTTTCACAACTCCGATAGCGTTGTTCAAGGATGTGGTGATGGTGTTGTTGATGAGGGCCACAAGCTCTTCTCGTAAGCCATCACTACCAATCTCCAAGCTCGACAAACGAGCATTCATACCTTGAAAATCGCTTTCGACTTGGGTGAAGTTTGCTCCCAAATCCTCGATGGCACTAATGTCTTCCGCCAACTTCACCTCCATTCTAGAGACACGCCTCTCTAGAGACGTCATAGGATCACGAGTGCTTGACTTTTCACCCTTTGGTTTGGGATTCTTCACGGTATCCCTTCCACGGTGCCTCTCCGCATCGTCGTGGACTTCTGATCCAGATCCCGTCATTTTTGGTGAGGTTCTTCCTTTCCTTCTGGCTCTAGGTTCAACTTTGCTAGCACAAAGCCGAACCAGGCTCTGATACCACTTGTCACGACCTTACTGTCGATCGTGCGGCCCTAGCTCTCAATTCCGTTAGAGCGCTAGGCAGCCTTTCTCTCAACTCACTTGAAAGCAAAGAACAAGAACAAAGACAAAGGAAATGGGAGAACTCTCTAGTGTGTATTACTCTCAAAAATGATGGAATGAGTTACAAGTGAGGGAGGTGGCTCCTTATATAGGCCTCTCCACATACAAGGCATCAATGCCCCCTCATAATGGTCCCTCTACATCAATACACCCCATAAAGTCCCCCCATAATGCACTCTAATAATGCTACCCATAATGTAGCCCATAAGTGCACCATTAAGCTCTCATTTAGGTGGAGAATCCTAGGAGCATCTCTATGCTACTAGTCTTCCATGCATGCCACATGTGCTGCTGCCATGTTGTCACCTTGTTGGCGCCATGTCATCTGCCACATGTGACAGTCCTGCCTGGGCGTGCTGCCCAACTTCCTCTGCACTTTTCTACTCGATTACCCTTGCCTGACATGGGTGGCCCCTTTTCTGGCTTTGCCCAGGCAATTTACGCATGGAGACTGCTTTTTTTGTCTAGCTCTCTTTCATTGCAAGAAGAAATCCCCCCATTTCATTTTATTCTTCTCAGCTCTTTCATTCTCTTTGTTTCTCTATCTTCTTCTCTCTTTGCTGATTTGTGTTCCTATCTTTTCGATCGAGTTCTTGCTGTTTCGCCGGAATTGAGTTCTTGCTGTTCCGCCGGACTTGGATGCGACGCTATTGTGTCATCTGCAGACGGCCGACAGAGATGTCTCTCTTCGCCTGCGCCTGTTACACATGTGGCTGGCTAAGCCTCCCAATAGCCCCGCTGTTTATTATCACTGCTGCCTTTGGGTTGATCGGACGGTGAGTCCAACGATGCTTTTTTCCCTCCAGTTATTTCCGTTTGCTTATGTGTTTCCGGCAGCTGCCTTTACAAATTTTTAGTTTTTATCACTTGCCATTGGTTATGTAGCCTTTTGTTCTTTGTTTGTGGCTCTGTTTGTTTTCCCTTTCTCTTATTTCTTTGTTTTGCTGTTTATGTAGGGTATATTTGTTTTGCTGTTTATGTAGGGTATGCTTATCCAGGCGATTGCTGATACCACAATGGCAGGCGACAATGATCGATCTCTTTGTGTTGGAACTATCTATATTATAAAGGAATTTGGACTGAATACCGCAAGGAACCTCTATCGTGCTTGCTCATTTAATCTGATTATGAACATAACAAGGACCACAACTTTCCAGGAGTGCACTCTGCCAGCTCTCTACTTTCCCACTGACTCATTTGAGATTTACCCATTCACTGAGCTGCCGACCCACAGCGGGGTTCACCGCATTCTCACAGGTTTTCTCAACTCAATTGTTTGCTTTTGTATTCGACATGGTGTGAATTTCTTCCCTGACGGTTTTTGCCCTCTGCTCCTTTCTAGATGTTATTGGCTGTTTGCACTCCATTAGTGGGATAGATCATCAGCTAACCAACATTGGATCTACATCCAAACAGACCTTGGTTCTTGATAATGGAAAGTATGTGACTATGTGTGTTGGTTGTTATGTGCACCAATATTTTTACCCTTCTTTGTGTTGTTTATCGATTCTTCTTTTCCAAGGGGCCACCGAGTTTCCATCACTCTCTGGAACAGCCTTGCTAGATCCTTGGATCGTGTTGCTCTGATCCAGGCTGATGCCATTGAGCCGGTCATTATCGCTGTCGGTGGCCTGATGGTTGGGAGACAGATAGGTTCCTTTTCTTACCCTTCTCTGTCAACATATTGTTTTTCTTTAGGCATGTTGTTTACTTATTTTTATTCATGGATTGTATTCCTAGGAAGTGATTATACATGTTCGAGCTCATCGGGGACCCGGATTCGGTCAACCCACGCATCTTAGAGGCATACCATCTGACAAATGTGTATGTGATCTTTGTACTCCTTAAGTATGTGGTTTCCTTTTTGTTTCATCCCATCATGTCCTTTGTTATATACCTTACTGGTGATTTTGTTCACTCAAGGTTTGGCGGGCCAAGGAACCCTATTGTAGAGCTCCCGATACAGTTTGCCACACCAGAGGATGCTATCATTGATGCTGAGAACAGGACAAAGACACTTGCTGAGTTGCTTTAACTTCATCACCGCAATGCTTCTATGGTGTGTGTCGCCCTTACTGCCGTTTGTTTCCATTCATGTATGTATGTATATTACAGCTCTTTCATATGTTTTCTCTTGCTGTGCACGCAGAATGGAAAACACTTTTGCAGCGGAACAATAAAATCAGTTGACTCTTGCACCCCATGGTATTATACATCCTGCAACATGTGTAGGAAAAGCTGCTCTATCTTGGAGGATAATTCCTATTGGTGTCCAAAACATTGAAAGATATCTTAGAATCAAGTCACCATTGGGTATGTTCGTTGTTTTTTTTTTTTTTTGCAGTTTGTTGTGCTTTCCAATGGAGTTTTCCCTGTTTTATTGGTCAATGATTGTCAGCATTCCTTTGTAGTTCTTTTGTTCGGTTGGTTGGTTGTGTTTGTTCTAGCCTTTAAATTTTATTTCCCTGTTTCCTTTTCCAGTTATAAGATCCAGCTTATTTTGCGGGATAACACAGGCGAGGCTCCCTTCATAGTGTTTGGTTCATGCAGCAACAATTTGGTCTTTACTTTTGCTCCACTCCTGGCACAAAGATATCCGCATAGGTCAGGTCAGCTGCCACCAGAATTGGATGCCCTTTATGGCCAGCATGTAAAGTTCGAGGCTAAGCTGCCAATGATCGAGCCTAATGGAGTGACAACGGGGGAGTTCAGGGTTCTACGTGTTGTTCCTCAGCAAAATCATCAGATACAGGCAGCTGCACCCCTTTTAATTCATAACACTGTGCATGCTTCCCAGTCTTCTCAGAGCAATAACTACCTATCTGGAGCGTCGATGGGGACTGGAGTTGTGAAGTTGTCAATTGGACATGGTTCGGGATCCTCCCCATCAAGGTTAGGTTTTTTTCCCTCATCAATGTTATGTGTATTTTGTACTGTGTGGTAGCTTCATGGTTTGCCCTTTATAAATGTCTTTCTTTATTGCCAGTTCTGCGAAAGGAAAAGAGAAAGTTTCGGGGCCTTTGTTGTTTGAGAACTGCAAGCCTGCTTTCCAAATTGGTCAGCTGATGCAGGAGTCTCTCGGGTTATATTTTGCCTCATTGCCTATGTACTGTACCTTCTTATTGGTTTGTTAGATATATCTGTATTACGTTGATGACTGAATTGTTTGTTATCCTCCCAGCCAATCTCATGGATCGCTCTCAGTCAATGAAAAGGTCACAAATTCTGGAGCAGGTGTCGTTCATGAGGTCCACCCATCTCTGCCAATTGTCGTGCCATTAGATACTATATCTGCCCTTAAAGAATCTAATGAGCAACCCCCTCTGAACCTGGAAAGCTGATCGCAACTGATGTCGCGGTTCCGGTGAAGGCAATAAGTGACAAATCCATTGACATGGTGAACTATTCAGTGACACCATCCCACCTGCCACATAATCAAAAGTCAGAATTCTTGGGAGCACCTGGACAGGTGTCTTCAAATCTCTCGGATTCAGCTCCTGTCGACTCTGTAACTCCTGAGAGTAAAATCAATGCACCATCGTTGTCAAATCTGCCCATGTCATCATCAGCTCCACCTTTTTCATCGCCATCAGCATCCATGCGAGATTTCTCCCTGACTAAGCTAACAACGTTGGTTGCTGTGGATGCATTATATGGATCTTTTTTTTATTGCTTTTGAATGAAACAGGTTGGCTTCTCCATTGGCTAAGGTCAAGGTGGAAAAGCTGGATGCTTCAGAGGTGGAAAAAAATGGTGCTGGTGCACATGGATCTGCTCTGTTCTCGATTGGGGACTCCGGTTCAATGGAAGAGGCGTCTGCCATGCTCATGGGGTGTGTCGCATTTCCTTCGACCAGAAGAAACAATTTGTAAAATGGAAATGTGCTCCTTTTTCATTACTGGGATTTTGTTCTTCCTGTTCTTTGTGTTCTTTCCATATTATTCCTCAGAATCAGGAGCGTGCAAGGATTGATCCAACAGAGCATATGAATGGATTGATAAAAGTGTTTGTTTATGAAACGACATGGTCTAGGTCGTTCGCTTTAATGAATCACAAAACTCACCATTTAAATTCTTCCTGCCACTGGAAGGGGCCCAAACTAACACCGGCCCAATTAGTTGGTTTAACCATTAAATCTGCCCTTTCCCAAAACAAAAGAATCCAAATGCATCCACACAATAATCTCCACACTAACCCATAACCATATATTATCATGACCATTTCTGCAGTTTAATCAACGAATAAATATGTACAAATAGAAACAAATGAAAATTAACATAAGACTATATATTATTATATAACAATAATAAAACAACATAATCCCATACTTTTATCTCACATCCCAGCGCGGAGCGCGGGCAATGAAAACTAGTTTAATATAAGACCTCGAAATCAATACATTTTCTATGACATCTTAAGACCCCAGAAAGGAAGGAGTCGCGAAATGGAAAAATATAGATTACAACAAGACTCGTCGAATTAATAGAAATATATGAGTTAATTACCGATGATGACGAAAGATACCATTAAGAAGAGAAGGAAGGTATTGGAGTTCTTCATGGTTGTGGATTTAGGAACCTGGGGTTTTTTTTTTAGAGAATAAAATTGTTGTGATTGTGCTATAGCCTATTTAGCACTAGTTACTGCTCAGAATGTTGAATGTATTGAGTCCTCTAGGGGATATATATATAAAATTTAGTCTAAAAAATAACGTAATAATTATGTACTTGACAAACAAAGATATGGTATATATATCTTAAAAATTAATAAAGAGATTCCAAAAACCTAACACACTGTTTGGTATAAATGAATTTCATAAGTTTTTGAGGAATTCATTTTGAAATGAAATCTTGTGTGTTTGGTATTTAAAAGAATTCATTTTCAATTCTAACTTTTGAATTCTACGAAATTGGAACTAGTTATAACAATTTCAAGGAATTGAGATGGAATTTCTAAATGAATTCCACAAGCATAACTAATTATAATAGGATAATATAATTATACTTATTTATTAACTAAATTACTTGCACATATATTATCTTGTGCCAGTTCGTGTAGTTGGAGGAACAACTATGGAGGCTTGTTGTAGTACCCTTACATATTTATTTGTGGTATACCGAATTCTTACTTCTAGTCAAAAAATTCAATTTGGCAGTTGTGTATTATCAAATTCAGGTGAAGTTTTTCCATTTAAATAATGTTCTTTTGTTTTTTGTTACCGGAAGAAATAATAATAGTTATTGGATATTCATATCTAACCGTGATTGGAGAGTGATATATCGGGACAAACCCTCCAGCAATGATGGCTTCTCGGGCGGTTGAGAGAACGAAGGAAGGGATTCAGGACCAGTAAAGAGGGTATGTCGATTGTCGGGAAGCCCTCCAGTACAGGACTTCCGAATTTTAGAGGGCCTTCACCTAATTCTATTAGTAAATTCGATTGTATATTGTATATTGGATTCGTAGCGTATGATATGATTAATTATCAGATCTAGGTGGAGCTTCCACCTATATATGTTAGTATTATATATTGTGTGTTGTATTTGAGAACTAAAGCATTAGGAGCCCTTTATCTTGGTGAAAGCAAAAGCACCGTGGAGATGGTCACCATTTCCAACAGTGAAACCTCAAACTACTTTCAATCGGTGCCTGCAAAATTAGCTACGCAACGCCCTATGCCATTGATCACAAAAATAAATTTCTGCAACGAATTTTTTATATATAAATATTTTGCAACGAATATGGTTGTCGAATTTCTAGATCCATAAAATCGTAATCTCGCAAATACGTCTATGCAAATCATGTTTCTCAATCCATAAAATCGTTTGAAAAAAAAAAGAGGGAGTGAATTTTACTTTTAGACTGAAAAAATCAATCATCCAATCAGCTCCGGCGGAATCCCTATTCCTTCACAGGGGCTATAACAATTACATGTAAGAATTAAGATCATCTCCACATTCACCAATAATAGTTGTTTCCCCATGGTCATATTTCAACATGCACATGAAGTTGCAGGTTTCTGCTGGGTTGCACAAATGGACGGCATGGGGTTTTCCTATTTGACAAAACCCTTAAACCTGTTAATTCCGGTGTTGTGCTAATGAGAAATGATGATCCTTTCAAAGTTCTTGGTATTAGTAAAATTGAAATGTGTCTTCATGATTGGGTTGTCAGAACTCTTTCTAATGTTCGCTATATGTTCCTGACATGAAACAAAATCTTATTTCCTTAGGCACCCTCGAGCCTCTTGGGTGCAGATATGGAGCAGGTGGAGTTCGAGGTTCTCTTGTTTTGATGAAAGCTAACCGCATTGGTATGCTATATGTACTGCAAGGTTCTGTTGTTACAGGTTAACGGATATTTCCACCTCGCAGCTTGATTCGCATAATACTCAATTATGGCATATGCGGCTAGGAAATATGGGTGCAAAGCCAATGACAGTTCTAAGCAAGAGATGACTGTTGGGAAACCAAAATTTTGGGAAACTTGACTTTTGTGAACATTGTATATTCGGGAAGAAGAAAAAATGTCAGTTTCTCTCCTGCTTCCCATAGTTCCAAGGGGGTGCTCGATTATATTCACTCGGATTTATGGTGCCCCTCTAAATTTCCTTCCATAGGAGGTCGTAGATACACGATGGCAATTATTGATGATTTCTCTCGTAAAGTTTGGTTTTATTTCTTACCGCACCAAACTGAAGCCTTCTCTGCATTTAAAAAGTGGAAAGTGCTGGTTGAAACTCAATCAGGAAGGAAAGTTAAGAAGCTTAGAACTTACAATGGATTGGAATTCTGTGAAAATGAGTTTAATGAATTTTGCTCCTCACATGGAATCGGCAACCACAAAACTCTAGTTAAAACACCTCAGCAAAATGGTGTTGCCGAAAGACTTAACATAACAATTTTGGAAAGAACTCGGTGTATGATGTTAAATGCAGGTTTATGGCATAGACGTAATTTATGGGCAGAAGCAGCAGCCACAGTTTGTTATTTAATCAACTGTTCTCCACATAAGTCGTTTTAGTATAAAATTCCAGAAGAAATTTGGACCGGTAAACCTGTTGAATATTCCAAATTGAGAATATTTGGTTACTCATCTTATTATCACCACGTTAATGAGAGTAAGCACTCTTCAAGAACTAAAAGGTGTTTATTTCTGGGATATTTTATGGAGTCTAAACTTGCTATTTTCGTTTTACACATGCATATTAATAATTATCGACTTTGTGACAATAATAGCCAATTTTCATAAACAGACAAAATGTGTGATCCCGTCCACAACTTTAACAGAGCCATTTTAGATGCTGACTGGACTAGCATTTTTGCATACTTGGCAACGCTTAATAGGAAAATATTGCTAGGTGAAAGTAAGTAAATTCATAAGAAATACACAAAATGTCCATATTTTGGGAACTTGTTTGACACAAATTTAGTTACTTTCGTTGAAAAAATTAACGCTATTACAGATTACGTTAGATACATTAACTAAACATTGACAAGGATGTCACTTTGGCGCACACGAGAACGACAATTCGACATGTCATGTCACGTGAAAGCCACATCAAATATTAATTTTCATTTTAAAAGGGTGATATAGATTTGGTTTTTAATTAGGTGTTGTAAAGGAATTTGAAACTGGGACCTCCATGTTCAAGACCACTAGTATTACCATTGGACCAACCCCTGTTCGCCGCATTATATATTAATTAAAAAAATATTTTTATATGTTTCTTTTTATCCGTCCTATTATGATTCAATACTATATTCATTTTTTAGTCTTTGGTTAGCCCGCCAACATTCGCGAGTGCTTGCTTCTTTGATGTTCTGGAAAATATGCTTCCTGCCGCAGTCGTTGCTGGTGGAAGAAGCTGGGATTTCAGTGCTGGTAGAGGTCATTTAGGGCATTTTTCCCTCTCCCCATCGCTTCCGGTTAGCGGTTGAGGGTGTTTCTTATTTTCTCACTATCCAATCCGAATATACCCGATTATAATTTTTTCGGATGAAGTCCGATTATATATACATACAAAATATTGTGCATAAATCATTTAATAGGATATGCTTGTATATAATCATTAATTGTATATACCATGTATACCAAAAAGTATACATGGTATTTAAATTTACCAAATATACATATATATAAAAAAGCGATACATAGTACTTGATTAAATTGAGATATTTTTTGTATTCATTAAATTACTATATTTCAGTTTCCAAAAATATAAATGCGGCCATTTCAAAAAATGAACGCTGGTCATGGTTGTCACGCCGGCCGGCGTGCTACTGGTTGAACCTGGTTTAACCTGTACCGGTCATAAAACCGGTATGACACCACCGGTATAACCGGCATGATCGATATACGAATCTCTAAGTAAAATGATCTTATATTAGTGAATTTATTTGATAAAAAGTAATTTATTATTTATTTTATGTGTTAAAAAGTTAAATGCTGATGTTATTTGTTGGATTCAAGTACAAATATTTAGGTATTGACGTGAAATGTCGTGCTTAAATATGAGTATTTGTAAATTATTTGTAATATTAACCGGCATGAACCGGTACAAACCGGTATGTACCACCGGTCGAACCATTACACTTGCTAAACCGGCACACTGGCACAAACCGGTTTGACAAACTTGACGCTGGCTCACTGATCGACGTGTTGCTCGTTATGGATGGTGACTCTTGTCTCACCCAATACTCCACTGCAAGCTGGCGCGTACAGATCATGAATGTGAAGTTTGGAGAGCGAAAGGTGAATGCGTGTACGAAGGCATTTGGTAAGAAGATCAGCGAGCTGAAGATCGATGTGCACTTTGACCGGCAAAATTTGGTCAGATTAGACGCGCTCTCAAATGAAATAACAATCCATTTTCACATGGTCTTGGTTTTTGATTTTAATCGAGACCAAACTTATAGGATGGTTAATAGCTTTGCTTTTCTATTTTAAATCATTTAGCATGTTATTGGTTTTGGTTTAGGTTAAAACCGATAAAAAAAATTATAGCACTGTAACTAAGCCAATATACCCATCAACATTGTAACAAGCGTTGTGATCACCAAAAGACCCATCTATTTTAAATCATTTAGCATGTTATTGGTTTCCTATCATCATACTTCTTTGGTACTTTTTTACTCCATTTTTGGACTTCCCAAACTATATGTTTGGTTTTTTATTTTTTGGTTTATCCAAACCAAACCGACAAGTCCCTTCATTGTTTTGGTTTTGGTTCTTCTAAATTTTCCTTATTTGGTTTTTTGACGAACTGGCAGCCCTACTGTTAAATAGACTGGGTTATCATTTGTCAACTAAATAGCTAGGCTCGAGGAAATCTGCAGAGATATTGGATTTGGCTTCTTGATCTATATCTCTACTTGGCTTAGTTACTATCCATAAATATTGAGAACTTCTTCGCCAAAAAGAAAAAAAAATAAGTGCATGGTAAAAAAAAAACATAGGAAGAATTGAACATTTTATTACTGCATCAATAAAATTACAGGAAAATCAAGCTAATATTAATTAGCATGGAAAATAGCAAAAACAAAAAAGCTGATTATAACACAAAGCACCTGTTGAGGCCCCATATTCCTTTGTACATTCTGCCTTGCAACTGAATAGAAGACAATCGCCTTCGTAGAACCTCGGTTTTTCGAAACAGATTCCTTTAGCTTCAGTGACCGTCGCCGCCGCCGCCGCCGCCACTTCATCTTCTGCATCTTATAAGAGCTCGAAATCAATACATTCATATGGCATATTAAGACCTCAAAAAGGAGCCGCGAAATGAGAAATATAAAAGGAAAGAAATCGCTGCCTCATTTATGGTACATCTTAAGATTACAACAAGACTCGTCGAATTAAGAGAAATATGATGAGTTATTTACCGATGACGACGACGAAAGATACGAGCAAAAGGAGAAGGAAGATGTTGGAGCTCTTCATGGTTGTGGATTTAATTAGGAACCTGGTTTTCTTTTGGGAGAGAATAATTTGTTGTGATTGTAGTAGTAGCCTATTTAGCACTAGTTAATTACTACTCAGAATGTTGAATGTATTGAGTCCAGAGGGATAGGAGATGTATTTATATATATATAAATTTAGTCTTGAAGATAACGTTATAATTATATATTTGACAAAAAAAAAATATGGTATGTATATCTTAAAAATTAATAAAGAGATTCCAATATCCTATATGTTGTCACATATAGGAAAAAATTGTCCTCCCTGAAAATTTCATATTTTCGCATTGAAAGTTTTAAATTTCCTCTCTCCTTGCCGCAACACTCTTATATTTTTTTTTATATCACAAGAATATTCCCATGCACACACCACTTGAGCGATGGTGAAGTAAGACAAAACCTGGGATTTCACCTACTTGGGCCATTTGGATCCTCTACTAAGATCATTTTTCACATTGAAAATTTTAAATTTTCTCTCTTCTCACGCAAGTACGTACGCAACAGTCTTAAAAGTACCTTAATATTAATAAATACATAATAAGTCTATCCAAACTGGTGTATACTTAAAACATGTCATCTACAAATTAGTTGTACGAAATCATTTTTTTTTAAATAAATACAAACTACTGTTACTCTGAGGAGGGATTTTAGTAGTCCTTTGAAATAAATTGTAAGCAGGTCTCAAACTACATTAAGCTTATAGTTCCTAGTTTGAGCTTCATTCGATGGACTATTAAAAATAGCAACACCAATATTACGGGAGCGATTATGGGGATTACTATTTCATAGCAATCGTCATAGTTACTAAGAAAAAATTGGATATGAAAAAATATTTATTAATTTTCTTATTTTAATAAATTACATTTTAAAAAGTTTGAAAACATATTAATTAAAAAAAAATTATTTCTCTCTTTCTCACTTCTGTTATCTCCAACCAGATCTCTCTTACTATTTTTTCTTAATTTTTTTTTGTTTTTGTTCAGGCATGAATGTCACTACAAAAATAAAATAAGAAAACAATACCAATCCATTAGACAACCCTGTGTGATTACCAAGAATCAGGCGGCTTTTAGTATTAATTATTATTAGTAATTTTTATACTTGGACTAGGAGATGTGTTAGTATTTAATTAATGTTTCTTGCAAGGAAAGAAAGGGAATTCTAGTAGGAAAAGGATAAGGTGAGAGGCTAAAGCCTGGGGTGAGAAGGAAAGGGATTTGGTTGTGTAACTCTATAAATAGAGACATTATCTATGAATAATAGTATGAGAAGATTGGAACCCAAATAACTTTCTTATTGTCTTTTGTTTATTGCGAGATACTTAGTTTCTTTGAACGTTTATTTGAGTTATTTCAACCAATTATTCGATTTCGTTTAAGTTACGTTCTATTTTTGCGTAACAATTGACTATTATTCCAGTATGGTTTAACAAACCTTGCAAGTGAGCAGCATTCATACGGTGAAGCAACTTGTAACACCGATACTGCACTAGTTTAACCTAGGGGTGGCTATACGGTCCGGTCCGGTTAAATTGGACCAAATTGATCCGGACTTAGTCCGGTCTTTTCGGGAATATAAGGACCAAAGATTGGATTGGATACAATTTGGTCTTGACCCGGTCCGGTCCCAATTTTATCTTGATTTTAGGTGTTGGGAGTCTCTTATCCGGTCTTTATCCGGGTTTTTACCTCAAATCTAAACCCGAATATGAGATTGCATTGTTTGCTATCCGGTCCCAATCCGGTCCCGGTCTAAATTATACGGTCCGATTTCCGGTAAAACCGGACCAAATAGCCTGCCCTACTTTAACCAACAGCATTGTAGTATTGGCCCCGAATATAAACAGTAATCGGGAAAGGTATCTCGGCCCAATCATCTGCTGGGCGGAGACATAAAAAGCCCAACACCAAGCCCAAACCTTAATGCAATAGAACACCCAGTACAAACTAAAACCAATGATAAAACTATAAAAGCAAAAGGAAAAAACAATTTGAAAATCACAAGTATCCCTTTCCAGTTCCAGCCGATTGTTGAACTCTCAATCCCGCGTGCTTGCTCTCGTCCTTCGTCTCTCCGATCGAAGCCATGGCAATGAACGCAGGTCTCAGATCCGCCTCGAGGCTCTACGCGGCCTCAGAATATCTCCTGTCTAAATCAGGTTTGGCTCTCCAAGCTAACCCTTTCCCTTTCTCTTATTGCGGAACGTTTGTTTGCGTAGAAATTGCGGGGCCAACTGAGTTGAATCGAATTCGGTAGTCTTGTCTTGCGTTGTCTCGTTTGGGATGGAGAGTTGAAGTTTCGAATTTGGGTTTGATTTCCGGATCTGATCGGCGGTGAGAAAATTTCATTTTGTCTGTCGATTCCCCAGTCCCGTTGTTGATTAGGGTTTGTAAGCTTTTAATTTTATGGTATGTGTGAAGAATGAGTGGAACTCGATTTTTTTGCCTCTTATGGAAGAGCTGAATTTTTTATACGTGGAGGAGGATTTGGAGTTGATTGTAGTGTAACTGAGATGATAGATACAGGAATTGTAAACATCAATTTGGAAATGATGGTATGTTGCAGTCGAATGCTGTAAGAAGTAATCGTTGGTTAATTTGAGTGTGTCTTTGATAAATGATACGTGAAATGTCACCCTAGAAGTGCTTAGAAAATGGGGCTGACTTTTCTGTTTTTTCAGTGTTTGTTCTTCTGTTTGTTCAGGGTGATGGTCTAAATTGAATATCTTTATTTACTAATCTCTGTTTTACTTTGTTGCTAGTAGTTTATTGAGCGGTTTCCTTTTCTTGGTGAACAGGTTTCCTCTTCCTTAGGCTATGAAATCACAAATCTATGTATTGTCGATTAGCTTTTGGGTAGTCATGGAAATCAGCATCTAGCATTTTCTGGCTCTAGCAGCTAGAGTCACATTCATTTGACTGTTAATTGTGAAGTTCATTTGCTTCAAGTTCTCTCATGACTTTGTAAATTTTCTAACTTTAACCAACTCCTGCATCTAGGTTCCTCCGTCGCCAGATACCCATTGCTTGCAAAACACGTTACCTCATATCACCTGTTCCGCTTTTCTTTTTGGATTATTTGAGAATCTTATCTTTACCAGGGTACTAAGTGTTGTATCGCCTCGTGGTTATTATATCAGATTGCTTTTGTGACCTGGAGCTGTGTTTCTTCAGCAAATTATTTATCTTACCCCAACTGAAAGCAAAACATTTGTGATTTCTTGTGGCAGTGAACAGGAGTTTCCACTCGACAGGTGTGAAGAGGATGGGAGGTCATGGCCACGATGAACCATTCTATCTTCACGCCAAGCACATGTACAACTTGGATAGGATGAAGTATCAGAAAATTAAAATGCCTCTTGCTGTCCTGACTGCCTTCTCCATCGGCGTGGGAGTTCCCGTATATGCTGTCATTTTCCAGCAAAAGAAGACTGCTTCAGCTTGAAGCCTGCAACTGGTGGCTTCATGTGCGATTTCCAGACCAAAGTTTGGAAAGACTTTTTTGCTGGATTCCTAGTATGATTAACTACTCCCAGTGGAGTTGAATTACAGTTCTCTTGATTGTGTTTCATTTTCGTTGTTAGGGTTATTGTCAAGTGCATTCTGTAATAAAGATCGACCAGTTACAGAAAATCTCGAATATCTCTATGATGGTTGTGCACAAACTGAGCTTCGCTCCTTCCAGCAAATGCATCAAGGATAGAGTTCCATGAGATCAAGTCTCTCCTATCGGTCACGTAAAATATTCGATGTGCTGCTTTCACGTCATCGCATTTTGCATAAAAGTCCATCAATGCATTGGCAACAGCCAACAGATGTATCCTCACACAAGAAGGGGTTCCTGAGAACATAGCCATGGATCTCTCTCCCGTGTCTCGGGTCCTTCAATCGTGCACAGGCTGGAAGCACGCTATCAAATGTGACTGAATCTGGCCTGAGAGTGTCTAGATCAAGCATTTGATCAAACACTCCCAAGGCGTTTGGCCACTTGCGATTCGATGCATACCATCCTGTAAAACAGCAACTCAGCTGGCTCTATCAGTCCAACTCTCAAGTAAAAGCTCACCAGAGCATTATAAATCGGAGACATCTCTTGCATCAACCTAAATAGCCTGAATGCATCGCTCATCAACTTGTTCTCAGAAAACACAGCAATAACCTCGTTCCACGAAACAACACCTTTGGCAATTATGCTATCAAACGCAGCACAGGCATCAGTACTAACTAGTCCCAATTTCGCATACATTGATACCATAGCATTTCCAGCAAGTGTATGTGTTTCCAAACCAGATTTGATTGCATAGCAATGAACATTCCTACCTGCATATAGATCTCCCAAGCGAGCACGATCGAAAAAGTTAGACGTCTGAGGACTTTAAGTAAAAGAAGTTAAAGTTGAAGGATCACGATCGAAAAAGTACATTTTAAGTTCCTATTTGGGTATTTCCTAGCGCGGAAGCTATTGACCCGACCCGAACGACCTTTTCCCAACGGTTTTCCGATACTCCTTTTTCTCTCTCCGCCGCTGCATTTTCGAGCCACAACGACGACCACGGCGATTTAGCCCGATTTCCCTTATCCCTTTCGTATTTCGTTTGTATTCTTCTCGGTCAGATTCCGTTTTCCGGCGATATCCATGGCGATATCGGAGAATTCGAAATCCAACAATCCGGCGGCTTACGTTGGCACGTCAGCAAAAATCCATCCTTCCAATGACTTCGAGATCAATCCTCAGGATTACTCCCTCGAAAAGTTCAAGCTCTACGAGACCAGACAGGTTTGCGGCTGAAACTTTCTCTTCCCCATTTCATTCTTCGTGCCGTAGTTTTTGCTTTTGAGATTTTGCGGTCGCCTAGTTGAATTATGGATGAGATTATGATCAGAAGGCATTGGGAGAATGAGATTGGCTTGTGGTGGTAGATATGGTGCATTCAGAGATGGATAATTAGCTGGTTATGGTTCAACTGTAATCGAATTGGACGGGTATGTTTGACTTCTGGGGAAATGTAATTAGAGGAAATTGGAGAGAATCATGTATAATTGCAATTTGCCTGAGAATTTGGTTAAAGTGGACTTGATACTTGAGGGGTTACTTTCATTGATTTCCGAATCATTGCAGAGTTTGTTAGAGACTCCTGTGAATTCTAATACTAGTTGCTTAACTCAGATTTTACTAAAAAAAAAAATTTATCAGGAACAAGAGCACTTGAAAGTTAGTTAGTGGGCATGTTTGCTCATTTTACGTTGTGGTATACTGGTATTGCATGTATTTTGGATTCCTTTTCCTTCATCAATTGAAAGTAAGGCCGGGCAATTGAGTAGTCGTTACGATTGTGATGAGTCGCCTATCATTGGGGGTTGTTAATGATATTCTAAAGAATTCTGTTCTTGATTTACATACCTCTTAACTTGGTTGTATTATCACTTCTTCTGATCCTTGTATCTGAAATTGAGCTGGACAAGAAGATGCATATCTTTTACAATTTGGTTATGGTGCTATAATTCACTGGAGTTTGTGAAACTGTGCATTCGTTTGTGTTTGTTTAAGCAGAGGTTTTACTTAATTGGGAGCGATAGGAACAAGAGATTCTTTCGGGTGTTAAAGGTTGATCGTTCGGAGCCATCTGATCTCAATATTAGTGAAGACCCTGTAGTTTATTCCCCACAAGAAATGAAGAGCTTGCTTCAGCGGATTGCTGAAGGAAATCGCTCGACTGGTGGCCTAACTTTTGTGGCAAAGGTTTACGGAATTGCAGGTTCACTTTATAAGCAATATTTATTTCAACCTTTCCAAGACATGATGATTGTCATGTTAATGCTCCCTGTTCTCTTTTTCAGGTTGTATAAAGTTTCTGGAGTCTTATTATTTGATTTTGGTCACCAAGCGTCGGCAGATAGGTTGCATATGCGGCCATGCAATATATGGTATAGACGAAAGCCAATTGATTACAGTCCCTCATGTTTCTATTCAGACTGATATTGCACATTCTAAAACTGAGCTAAGGTACTTCCTCTTACTCTTTTTCTTCTGCTTAAGCTATCCCCGTCTCCTTAGAGAGAGTGCTTGTGGAACGACTGTCAGAGTTTAGCGTTATTGTGATCTAGTGCAGGTACAAGAAACTGTTGTCCAGTGTCGATTTGACCAAGGATTTCTTCTTCAGCTATACATATCCGATAATGCAATGTTTGCAGAAGAATGTATCTTCTGCAAGCGAAGTGAAGATGTCGTATGATGACATATTTGTGTGGAATGAGTACTTAACACGACCTATCCGGATCAGATGCAGTAATACTATTTGGACAATTGCTTTGGTCCATGGACACTTCAAGCAGGTTTGCAGTTATTTTCTCTACCCATCTATATGCGCAGTAGAACTTGTTACTGTTGGTAACTATCAACCATGTTATATATGTACTCGGCACCATCTGAGCTGTATGTTTTATAGTAAGGGTGCTATATGAGCTGTATCTGTATGTTTTTGGACCATAATCAAACTTTACTCTCTTGTAATGTAGATAATGTTGAACTTTTTGCTGTTTTACTTCATCAAAATTTGCTGAATATGGTTGTGCACATGCAACATTCCAGTGCTGGAGATACTAACGGAATTTTGGCACCAGCAACCTGATGTATACTTTAGGAGCTTTTGCGGTTTACTGTCCTCATCCTGATCGGGGTTATGATGTTGATTTAAGATATTCAACATATGTGCTTCTGAATTTTGATAACTTTTGTCGCTCATGATTGCAGACAAGACTGTCCATCTTTGGCAGGGACTTCAGTGTATCTTTGGTTTCCAGACGGTCTCGTCATTTTGCAGGGACTCGGTATGCATTGTTTTTAATTTATGATGTATTATTTACTACCTTGCCATTACAATCCTTCTATGTGCTATCTAATTTTAGGGATTTTGAAGCTTGTGCAAAGCTGCTTTCTAGTTTCTATGCTCACTTTTTATTCTAGTTTCCTTGTTTTCCAATAATCGGATGTCCGCGAAGGGTCTTTTTTTTCCATAATTAAAATGCATTACTCTATTACACTTGAAGCTGTATTCTAAGAACAGTACTCTAATTTCAAGTCATGTTATGAAATATTCCTTTATGAGATTTTCTCCCGAATGTTCAGTTGAAGCCGTTCTGCTGGTTTTATTTATGACATTGACAAACAGTATTTGATGGGTGCATTTGGATGCTAAGAAGGATTTTTTTTTTTCATAGCCCTTGTGTTATAGTTATGCTCCTGCACTTGTGACAATATAGTGGCATGCATTCGCGACAGCTGCTGCACTTCATACTCTCTCAGTTTTCACTTGACCTGTTTGCTCGTGTTAACCCCTAGCCCCTTGGTGTATCTTATCCGTACTTTCTGCTGCATGAATTTTTTTGTTCTCTCTTTTGCTTGGACAGTAGAGTCTGCCTTTTGTTTTTGTGTTTATACTGAACTTACTTGTAATATCTAGCTTTTGTAAGTATTCAGTTTTTATGATCCTATTGATTTGCTAGGGTTTGTATGACTAAGATGAATTGGATAGAACATGTTGACATGTATTCAACGCCATCTACTTGGACAAGTGTTTGCCTGAAACATGTTTGAACTCTTTAATTGAGTGTTTGCTATTCAGAATTGAAATGACTTTGCAAATTTCAATGCTTAAATTGGCAGTTACCTGAAAAGAGGAGTGAATGATTGGGGAAGGGTAGCAAATGATGTGGAAACAGAACAAATTATCCTGGATGAAGAGGCTGGATCGTGCAAGGGGAAAATGAGCTCGGTAGTGCAAATGCGTGGATCTATACCCCTTTTCTGGTCACAAGAAGCATCAAGATTTAGTCCTAAACCTGACATTGTCTGTAAGAACTTCTCTTTTAGCTTTTCTTTGCATTGTATGTATTACATACCCTATCTTTCTCCATTTTGTAAGAGCATTCCAATTATTCATTTTGCAATAGTGCAAAGGTATGATCCAACATATGAAGCAACGAAACTGCATTTTGAAGACCTGATGAAGAGATATGGCAATCCAATCATCGTTCTGAATTTAATTAAGGTATCCCATTTGGTCAAGTGCTATCAAATGCTGAATTTGTATGGTTGTTCTGCTGTAATTTTGTAAAAAAACCCATCAAAATGCTTAATTTTGCAGACTGTTGAGAAGAGGCCTAGAGAAATGATGCTTAGGAGGGAGTTTGCAAATGCTGTTGGATATTTGAACACAATTCTTCCAGAGGAAAGCCATCTGAAATTCATACACTGGGACTTCCACAAATTTGCCAAGACGTAAGAAAATGTCTCCGGTAGGTCAATTTCATAGTTTAGGGGATTTGTCTGACATTTTGGCTGCGTTTTTCTTTTCCAAAAGCAAGTCAGCCAACGTTTTAGCTGTTTTGGGCGCTGTAGCAAGGGAAGCACTGGATTTGACTGACTTCTATTATAGTGGTAAAACAGCTGTTGTCAAGAGGAGAACCACTGCATTGAGCAGAACAAGCACTGCAAGGTAATTCTTGTACTTCTGATGCTTGTATCCTGGATTTTAAGAGCGCAAAAGTTTGAAAGAGTTAAGTAAAAGCGTGAATATTGATTGAAAACTTGGTTATTTGATTGACTAGAGGCAACAACTAGTTGTATCAGCCATAGTCTTTTTATCTCAGGTCAGAAGAGCATACATGTTTCAAAAGTTGTGTGGAACTAGCATGCCTAAGAATGAATCGTGAATTTTATGTTCTGTTCAACTTCATTCTTTCAGTTGTTGTAGCAGCTGTATATGCTTCTTCATTTGTAAAGAATACTAGCCTTTGGGAAGAATATTTAATTCCTCCAACACCCCCTCCCCTCCAAATAAAACCCCCAGACCCTAGAAAAAATGTTCCAAAGTTTTATTACCAAATATTTCTTGATATTATACAGATTAATAGAGTGACAGGCCTCATATTATACAAAAGTTGTGCGAGACTTATTTCAAGAGGAACGAGACATTTTTCATCTTCCTCTTGTCCTCAATTCTTTTACAGGGATGCTTCACTTAGAGATCTCAGAACTAGCTCTGGTGAGCTTGTACGGGTTGCGAGCAGTAATGAGATCTTGAACTCCATCCTTAATCGAGATAGAGATCCCACTCCTCCTCTTCATGGCAACCAAGGCAATCCCAACTTGGAAGGACCACGTTTCCAAAGTGGAGTTCTTCGTACTAATTGCATCGACTGCTTGGACCGCACCAACGTTGCCCAATATGCTTATGGTTTAGCAGCATTAGGACGACAACTTCATGCGATGAATCTCACGGATGTGCCCAAAGTGGATGCTGATAGTTCCATTGCCGCAGCTCTCATGGATATGTATCAGAGTATGGGAGACGCTCTTGCACAGCAATATGGTGGCTCAGCTGCGCACAACACTGTATCTATTCTTAAATCTGATATTTTTTACTTGTTGATTGATTCTGATTCTTTTCTCGTCCTTCAACTCTGTCATTGTATATTTCAGGTTTTCCCCGAGAGGCAAGGGAAGTGGAAAGCTACAACTCAATCTAGAGAGTTTATTAAATCAATCAAGAGATATTACAGCAATGCTTATACTGATGGTGAAAAGCAGGATGCGATAAACTTGTATGTGTGCTTTCCTCTGCACTTCGAAACTATACTATAACATCTAGTAAAGTTCTTTCAATGGTTCCTATTCTATTTCACCAGGTTCCTTGGTTACTTCCGGCCACAAGAAGGTAGACCGGCTCTCTGGGAGTTAGATACCGACTACTATCTTCACATTGCAGCTGTTGGAGATGACCCTGTGGAGAATGGGTTAGCAGAGAGACAAAACTTTGCAGTTCCGGTTCTTCAGTTTTCATAATTTTCCCACTTGACTAAATTATACCAACTGCATTTGCAGCATTGGAACAATTAATCTGGGACCTGGAGTAGGATTGAACCTTGCTCCCATTCCTGCTTGCAAGGAAGACTTTTCCCGAATGAAGTTGACATCATTCGATAGGTTAATCGAGAGGACATGCAGTTCGATAAGAGAAGTTAGATTGTCGAGTGAACCTGATCCACGACCAGGAGGCTATGGCTCTGGAACCTCAGGCGTTGCACCTGATGCAGCGTAAGGATCCCTAACATAAAATTTTCCCTATGGGCCGGGGTTAACAGTTACCTGGTGACCATATAATACAAACGGTTTCGGTTTTAAGTATCTGGTTTCAGTTATTGATTCCTTAATAGGTTTTATGCTTCTGGTTCGGTAAAGCCGTTACTCACCTATGATATAACACACGTTCTGACCCCATTTGTGCAGTGAAATCCAGCTTAAAAGTCCAAATTGGCTCTTCGGCCAGAGGAAATATGAAGGGACGACTGCCAAGGAAGCCGAGCTAGAAACCGAAAATGAAGGCGATGAAGACGGTGGCATTGGCACTCTATGTGATATAAATTGGCTGTCTTCCAGTGATGCGAATGAACAAGATGTCTTCCAAAGGTAAACATTATTTGAACGAGCATTTTTCCCGTCATCGCCCACATTATGCAGAATGTTGAAATCTACCATCTACTCGTCTATACAGATACCTCGAAATGACCTCTGTTGATGAAGCCACGGGGTGGTACGGTGGCTCACTGCTGGCTGATCAAGACGAAAACAGTGAGATATATAAACATTATGCTGAATTATGTCAGGTAATAAATTCTGGAAAACTCCCAGTTTCGTCACTGTACTTCGATTCTAACTAGTTTTTCGTTGGAATTTGAAATAACAAACATAACAATCACTTCGTTAATCTCCGCCCAAATTGTTCATATTAGTCAGCCAACCCAACTGAACTAATAATAGGAAGGCCATGTACACCCTAACTGTACTTTGATTCCTTCTGCTTTGAACGTATCTCCTTTTAGCATTTAAGTGTTTGGATTCATCGGATACAGGGCCCTGCGAGGGATCTCTTCCACCACGATCCAGAACTGGAGCAGCATTACACTGACGTTCTACGCATGAACGCCATCGATGTAGTGGACAATGCTTCGGTTGAAGCCGAGATGGAAGCAGCTCTGAACGATTACAATGAAATCGGTCGCGACCTTGGGATACTGCCGATGTCGTGTAAGCCCTTTGCGGATGATCCCAGTTGGCTGACCAGGTTGATCCTTGGGGAGGGGAAAGCTGAAAGGGTGTGAAAAATCTGTGAATGAGTAAATTGAGTCAAGTAAATTCTCCCTCGTTGCTTCTTCTCTTGTCTTTGTTTCCTGAAAAATATGTATTCATTTGTCTCCCACACTGATAGCTGATAAGTTTGTGTCTGTTGTTAATCTTGCTTGAAATTCTTCGGATTACAGTGAGTTGAAAGTGCGATATGAAAGATGAAGTATATTCTCTGTAACACTATTGTACGTAGTCATTGAAGTGTAAAACAGATGAGAGGTTCACTGGATTAAAATAGGTGATGAGCTTTTTTGGGAAATAATTTTGTCAAAGTGTGAGTGTAGACTTGTGAGATTTTGTGTTGTTGCTATCGGTCGCTATTCTAAATGTCAAATGTACATTTTTCCCGTTATGAGTTATGTGACTATAATAAAAAAAAATTGAAACTCAATGAGATGAAGTCATACGGATCGTGTGGTAAGAACAAGGTTGTCAAACCGATTTATGCCAGTGTGCCGGTTTAGCAAGTGGAATGGTTCAACCGGTGGCACATACCGGTTTGTGCTGGTTAATGCCGGTCAATATTACAAATAAAATTATAAATAAACATGACATTTAATGTCAATACCTAAACATTTATATTTGAATCCAACAAATAACATCAATATCTAACTTTTATACTCATAAAATAAATAATAAAATAATTTTTATCAATTAAATTCTCTAAAATAAGATCATTTTACTTAGAGATTCGTATATCGATCATGCCGGTTATATCGGTGGTGTCACGCCAATTTTATGACCGGTACCGGTTGAACCCGGTACAACCGGTGGCACGTCGGCCGGCGTGACAACCATGGGTAAGAATGTAAGATTATATAATGGATAGTTTGGAGATGAATATATTTTGAAAATTTTCAAACACAAAAGTACACCATGGGCAATAAAAAGTTAATAAGATTCATCTTTTTATTTTTACATAAGATGTGATTCTAGCTATGTCACGTATTAGTTTTATAAATCTATAAAATAATGTCTTCCCTGAACAATAAATTCCATTGTCGTCCAGCGGTTAGGATATCTGGCTTTCACCCAGGAGACCCGGGTTCGATTCCCGGCAATGGAACTTTTTTAACTACCCCAATATATTTTTTTTTATTATATAATTTTCCCACCGTCCTTGAATATTCTACTCTGTTTGCAACAGAGAAGAACAGTCAGCCGTCAGGACACCCAGCCGCTTCACAAACTCGTCCAAAACCAGTACGTGTCGCAATTGCCAACTGAATCAAACCATTTATAATCATCATACATCAACCAAACAAGTCAACAACGATCCCAAAAGGCACCAAAAGCTTCACCTCTGCCTCCAGTTCTGCTCCCATGGTGGAAGATGACCACAACGACGAGCTCTACGCGATGCAGCTCGCCACCGCCTCGGTCTTACCCATGGCGCTGAAAGCCGCCATCGAGCTCGGCGTGTTCGACATCATCAGCTCCGCCGGCTCCACCGCTTCCCTCTCCCCTGCCCAAATCGCCTCCCAACTTGCCGCTTCTACCACTGGTAGCAGCTCCTCTGCCGCTGCTGATGTCGGCCAGAGGCTTGATCCGATCCTCCACCTCCTGGCTTCCCACTCTGTCCTCACTTCTTGTCCTACTAAAACCCGCGGTGATGGGTTCCCCAGATCGTACGGCCTGGCTCCCGTGGCGAAATTCTTCCTCAAGGATCATGGGAAAGGTAGCAGCAGTGAAGGCAAGAGAAGAGGGTCTCTGGCTCCCTTCGTGTCCTTGGTCCAGGACAGAGTCATTCTCGATTCCTGGTAAGGGGAAAGTCCATCTGTTTATTGCTCGTTCTAGTATGTTCTATTTCTATAACTAGTACAAAATTCTACCTAGTGGATAAATTAAACAAAAACAGCAATCGGATCGGAGAATGCGATTGCAATATTAAGACGAAACTGTCCAAAGCGAAGGAAGCTCAAATTGATGTAACATCAAACACATTGATCCGGAAGTGACAAGGAGAGCAACAAAAGTTCACCGAACCGCGCCTAATTGACACCAACGCTTAAGATTCCCTTCTACTTTAGGATCCCATAGTAATGTTAGTGTTGTGGTATATGATTAGAGCTGTCAATTTGATTTTGGCTTTTTGATTTTAACCGAAACCAAACCATTAAAAAGATAATGGTTTTGGTTTTTCGGTTTTAAACCATTTAGCATATGAATGGTTTTGGTTTCGGTTAAAACCGAAAAACCAATAAAAAACCAAAAATCCGATAAGGACCCCCTGTTTTCTTGAAAGACTCCTGGTTTCTTTGAAGTCAACAATGTTTTTGGTTTTTGGTTTATCAAAACCATTAAGGAGCTTATCGGTTTATGGTTATCCAAAAACCGCTAAGCCTCTTAATGGTTTTGGTTTTTGTGAATATGCCTAATTTGGTTTTTGGTTTTCATGCTAATGGTTTGGTTTGGTTTGGTTTTGGTTATCCAAATTGACAGCCCTATATGTGATCCACGATTGAACATCTCCCAACAATTCGAGTTATTGAGAGCAACTGAGTCTTGACATGGTATCAGAGCCTTATGTGACCGAGAAGTCTTGTGTTCGATTCCCGGTGACCCCCATTTGTTAAGCACATGGTATTCTTGTCTTCAAATCTGTGCAAACTTCAAGCCCTTGTGAGTGGTTTTCGTTTGAGGGAGCGTGTTAATGTTGTGGTATATGATCGACGATTGAACTTCTCCCAACAACTCGAATTATTGAGAGCAACTGGTTCTTGACAAGTAACAACAAACATCGGTACCATTATGCAAATTAGGACCTCTTACACCTTCCTTGCCCTTGTTAATGGCCTTTGCCCTTTCGTGCAATTCCAGACTTCCCAAATGTCCAATTGTTGGAACTATCCTATTGAGATTGGTATTGATATTAATTCCAATACATGCTATCAGCACTTAAATGCTATAGGATCTCTCATTGGATATCTTCTGGTAATTCCGACTTTTATGTGTGGTGAAAGGATGCACTTGAAGGATTGGGTGATGGAAGGTGGCGGGACACCGTTCTACAAGGCTCATGGAATGAACGGCATGGAGTACATGAACAAGGATCCAAGGTTCAAGGATGTGTTTGCCTCCTCCAATTCAGAGCTCAGCCCTCTTGTCACGGAGGCGGTGGTGGACAGCTACTGTGAAGAGCAGCAAGGTTTTGCAGGTGTGAAGTCACTGGTGGACGTTGGTGGTGGTGATGGTTCGACCATACATCGGATACTCTCCAGGGTCCCGACGATCGTCAAGGCTATCAACTTCGATCTGCCTACCGTCGTCCAGAAGTCTCCATCATTTCCAGGTGAATTCTAGAAAAAACCCAGATCACATTTCCATGTGTTCTGATGAGATGGTGCATTTGATATTTGGTTGTGTGATGTTATTGCAGGTGTGGAGCATGTGGCAGGGGATATGTTTGAAAGTGTCCCACAAGGAGATGCCGTCTTCATCAAGGTAAAACCGAGTCAGTACGTCTTTAACAATTCCTATATCCAACAAATAACAATAGCTATGGTAATATTCAAACCCAAATCCGACAACCAATTTGATAAAAAAAAAAAGGTATTAATTGATGAATCTGATTCGTCGAAATGTAGCAGCGAAATACATCTAACGGGCAAATCAATATATGGTACTATTTTCTATGCACTAATAAACCCATCTGCCAAAATTTCTGGTGATTTGGTTCAATTCAGTGGGTTGTGCACATGGTGGATGATGAGCAGTGCCTGAAACTACTCAAGAACTGCCACCAATCTACACCAGAGAAGGGCAAAGTGGTGATTGTGGAGGTTGTCATCCCAGAGACCTCTGAAACTAATGTTGCTGCAAAAGCCTTGCTACAGTTCAACCTCTATAGAAATGGGGTGAAACCTCATGGCAAGGAGAGGACTCTCAGAGAACTGGAGAGCTTGGCTGGGCAAGCTGGATTTGCTCGTGTTCGAGTCGCCTGTAGTGCGTACAACTTCTCCGTCGTCGAGTTGCTCAAACTGTGTGATGCACCTGCTTAGCTGAAAATTTTCTTTAGTGGTTGTTAGTTCATCACCCAAGGGATTGTTTTTTTATTTTTTGGATAATGATAGTTCAATAAGGGATTGTTGAAATGGATTCATTTAAATTGAGTGGATGAATTGTTATGCGCACAATAGATGGAGTCTTGTTGTTGTACTTTTGTCACTAGCAATATTGTGAACCCTCCTTCACCAATCCTTTTTCAAAATGATGTTTGTTCAAAAGTTTTGCATGGTAGATTGTATCATTCTATGTTTTTCCCTTTTTTTTTTGTCTCTTTAATCATTTTGCCTTAATAACCCCTCTCTCTTATATTTTGTCTCTTTAAACATGCATATTCCTACGATGCATTAGCAATTACCTGACTTTTCATAATGTAGTGGTATACATATATGTCTTTCGTACTCTTGATCTAATAAGAAGATCAAGTTAACAAAAATATTACATTTGATTAAATTGTTATGTAATAACCCATTAACCATACAAAACCTTTATAAAATAGTGTATAAATTTTTTGAAAGTTTTATGTAATGTATTTGTAATTACATAACTTTTATAAAATAGTGGTGCACAAATTTTCGTACTTTGTGATCTAATAATGAAATCAAGTTAAGAAAATAAAAAAAATTGATTAAATAGGTATATAAAAAATAACTTATCTTACCGTACACTAGTAATGTAATGCAAATAATAAAGAGACAATGGTGAAGATCAAGTTAAGAGAATTAAGAAAATATAAAATTTGATTAAATTTATGTGTAAAAAATAATATTTGTAATTACGTAGAATAGTTTTACACAAATAGTTCATATTATGTGGTCTAATGATAAAGAGTTTATGATCTAATGTTAAAATCATATGAAGAAAATATAACGTGTGATTAAACTGTTGTGTAAAAAAACTAACCTTAGCAAACAATAATGAATGCAAATAATAAAGAGCCTATAGTGAAATTGGTTGTAGGAGATAATACCCCTTGTGTACAGTACATGCAGAAAATAAAACAGCTTATAGTGAAATTGGGTGTGTAAGATAAATACATCTTGTGAATAGTAATTGCACCTTGTAATTACGTAACAGTTGTTAGAATGGTCTTACACATATCTTTCATGTAGTCTGATGATAAAGAGCTTATGAGCTAATGATAAAATCACGTTGAGAAAATATAACATTTGATTAAATTGTTGTGTAAAAAAACTAACCTTAGAAAACCTTAATGCAATGCAAATATATTAAAGAATTTATAGTGAAATTGGGTGTAGGGATCAATATCCCTTGTGAACAATACCTACGAAAAAAAAAATCCCGACAATTTTGTAAGTAACACTGATAGTACTTGAGCTTTTAATTATTATTATTATTATTATTATTATTATTATTAAACCCTTGAATTATCAACTTTGTGAACTTTCTATGTAAAATTGGCCCCTTTGCCTCCTTTAGAAGTATACATGTAAATGTAATACATTGATCAAAGATTCAACTTCTGTACAATTAAAATTCCTCACATTATGTTCTCTCATGTAAAATCTGTACTGTACCTTCCTACAATCTTCTCTCTTGGAAAAGTCTATGCAACAGAAAACTAGTCAAAAGTTGAAAAACAACCATTACGTGTATCGATTGCCAACTTAATCAAAACCCCGTTTCATAAACCAGATTTATAAACACAATCAGCAGCAAACAATATACTTACCACCATCAAGAAAACGGGCAACCAATGGAAGACGACCACGACGCCGAGCTGTACGCGATGCAACTCGCAACCGCATCGGTTCTCCCCATGGCGATGAAAGCCGCCATCGAGCTCGGCGTGTTCGATGTCATCAACTCCGCCGGCCCCGCCGCTTCCCTCTCCCCTGCCCAAATCGCCTCCCAACTTGCCGCTTCTACTACTGGCAGCTCCTCTGCTTCTGCTGATGATGTTGGCCAGAGGCTTGATCCAATTCTCCACCTCCTAGCTTCCCACTCTGTCCTCACTTCTTCGCCTAGAAACGTCGATCACGGCGGCGGCGGCGGCGACGGTGATGGGTTCCCGAGATCCTACGGCCTGGCGCCCGTGGCGAAGTATTTCCTCAAAGATGGGAACAAAACAGGGTCTCTGGCTCCTCTGCTGTCCATGATTCAGGACAAAGTCGTTCTTGATGCCTGGTAATTTAGTTCACCTTTTTTTTTTTCTTTTTGGTAAAAAGGCATGTGAATATCGAAGAAGGTAAGTTTTGTAAATGGCAATTTTAACCCGCTCCGTCGGTTATCATCTGACCTGATTGTGTAGGGTTAGTTAGTACCCAATTCGCAGTAATGTGGGGTGGCGAATGTGTATTGCTTCCGTTTTATTTTATCTATCTTCTGTTCTTAATCTGTTTTCTACTTTGGTTTGTCTCAATATTTAATGTTGTTTCTCATATTTTTTTTATTGATGAAGGCTGTTTCTCATATTTTGACTCATCTTAAATTATATTTCCATTCAATAATACTTTAGATAGGTGCAAAAGTTTATCTTTCAACTCATTTCACTCAATTAGTCTACCTATTATCTTTGCTTTCCATTTATGAACTATTTTCCTTTTGTTTTTATCGTTATAAATAAAAATTCTCTTCACATTATGTATAAAAATGAGCCGATCGACCTGTCCCGCTCCATACCCATGTGAGTATTACCTGACCTAACATGTACTTGACGAAGCGAATATGAGTATTAATCTGCCCGTTCCATCTCATTGCCATCGTTATTTGTAACCACAATCTCCCAACAACTCGACTGACTATCGAAAATCGTTGCATGTGGTGGTGTGTGAAGGATGCATTTGAAGGATTCAGTGGTGGAAGGCGGGACGCCGTTCAACAGAGCATATAGAATGGACGGTATGGAGTTCATGAGGGAAAATCCGAGGTTCCGGGAAGTGTTCGCCGGCTCCATCACAGAATTCAGCCCTCTAGTCATGGAGGCGTTCTTAGAAAGGTACTGTGAAGAAGGATTTGCAGGCGTGAAGTCACTTGTGGACGTTGGTGGCGGCGATGGCTCGAGCAGTCATGCCATAGTTTCGAGGGTCCCGACGATTAGGAATGCGATCAACTTCGATCTGCCTTCCGCCGTCCAGAATGCTCCGTCGTATGCAGGTAAATTAATACACCCAGTTCAAAACTAGTTCGTTCCAATAACTTGATTTTGTTTGAATGATGGGCTGGAAGTTGGAACATTTTGTAGGTGTGGAGCATGTCGCAGGGGATATGTTTGAGGGTGTTCCTAAAGGGGATGTCATCTTCATGAAGGTAAAATGGTTCACTTCCATTTATGCACTTAAACCTCCGGAATCAATAATAGAATGCTGTTCCGACTAAAACAACTGTGAATTTGTGGTGATTCAGTGGATTCTGCACTTATGGGATGATGAGCAGTGCGTGAAAATATTCAAAAACTGCTACCAAGCTACACCAGAGAATGGCAAAGTGGTGATTGTGGATGCTCTAATTCCAGAGACCTCTGAAACTTCTGCTGCTGCTGCTAAGGCCTCGCTCATGTTCAATCTCTACAGGATGAGCATGAAACCTCAGGGCAAAGAAAGGACCCTTTCACAGTTCGAGAGCTTGGCAAAACAGGCTGGATTTTCTCATGCTCGTATCGCGTGTTTTGCTTACAACTTTGCAGTAGTTGAGTTCCTCAAATCCATCTAGCTAATATTCTTAGCAGTTCGTCTGGATGACAAATCATTAGAAAAAAATTCGTTTGAAATGCATCTCGTTTATTCGTACTTCTCTAGCATTATTGTGTAAACCATTCACAACCTCATGTTATGTAAGCTTTTGGAATGAACTAGTCTTGTCGTGGTATCATAATTCATAATCTAGCGATTTGCAGATCATGACTACATAAGCACAATGTATATTGACAAATCAAATCCTGAAACTTTTTCATAATCTCCCCTCTCTCTCTCTCTAAGCAGAAACTGAAACTGAAAAGGAGCTCTATCTTTCTTCCCGCCAAGACACATAAAGCAAAATGCCAATCTTATTCGAGAAAGAAAGCAACCAAATTTCCAGTCCTTGGCTATTGCACAAATCATAACATGGACAGCAAACAAAGAAAACGAAGGGGAAAAAAAAATCAATCTTTCTACTTCAAATTACCACCAAGAGCTGCTGCACGTGAAAGAAGAACTGGTTTGTGTTCCATCAGAAGAAAGTTAAAGAATTTCTCACACTTTCAAATCTGGGTTTTCAGCAAGTCCAAGAGCTTGATCTCTTGAGCACAGGCTTCATTTGTTTGTCTTCTTCGAGTGAAATCATTCCCAAGTGCGACGGATCCTCGAGCATCATCTTTGCCACCAGATATCCAGCGATGGACCATGTCTGATATTTTCTTGCCTGCTTCCCTACGTATCTACCGAGCTTCCCATCGTAGTACTCTGGCCAACCGTCCTTCAGAAGCCGAGACTCTGCAAGATCAATTGCTTTTCTTGCAATTTGGGGTCTTCCCGTCTTGATGCAGGCAGCGGTCAGCATCCATAAAAGCACTGATGACGCAGAACATTCATGAGGGGCCAGTATCAGAAGAGTAAAATGACAAATTCATTGGTGATATTCAATCTTAGTATGTAACTGGAGCTCTCTTTTATTAATTCCCAAGTTCAAAGGTAACTGCACTAGCAAGTAGCAATCTTTCTACAAGGCACCTAGATGATAGTTTGTATTCAGTATTCACTAACCAAGGCATGAGAACTAATAGCCATATAAGACCGAGAAGAAAAGGGACATACCTGGCCAAGACCCGCCATTGTGATAGCTCCACCTTGTGTTCTTGGGATCACAGCCCGTGACAATGCGCCATTCATGGCTCTCTATAGCAGGATAGGCAATTTTGAGAGGCATCTCTCCAACCAACTCCTCCCATCGAGCTTCGATGAGATCCATGATGGCCAACGACTGTTCCGGAGTGGTGAGAGACGCTAGGATGGCAACACAATTCCCCAAAGCAAACCAACGGAAATCCATCCTTGCTGGACTCACATTGCCAATGAAGTAGCCACCGCGAGTTGGCATAAAGTCAAACACCCAATCAGGGATAGAATCGGGGATCACGTTAAACTTATTTACTGCAGTATGCGAGTACTCCTCGGTTTTATATCTGTATATGTCATTTAGCTGTTGGAAGTCCAGCCAGAAGTAACTCCGCATGTGGAAACTCAAGGCATGCAACCGTTTCACGATCCTCTCAATGAACTCTTTGCCTTCTGTGTCATGCTTCATCATGGACAGAGCAGACCGCAATGCCATGAAGAAGAGTGATTGGATTTCAATGGGATAGCCATAGACGCCCTGCAAAATAAAAGGATATCAGGGCACTTGGTAAGCTGCAAGAAGAGACATGCCCTAGTAACAAAACGCCATAATCACGAAGTCAGCGCAGGACATAGTTGCAGCAAAATGTATGAAACTCCTTCAGGGAGAAGTCAAAATGAGAACAACAAAACATCTTTCCAAGCATTTTTGTAAATGTCATACACTCCAGAATAGTATAGCAAGTTCCCCAAATGGACATATCGAGGACAGACATTAGATCACTGCAGAGTTTTGAAGTTGCAATGCAGAACTGGAAAGCTAGATAACTAAAAGCAAGGGACACCTAAAAGATGCTGAAAAAACTTGCTAAAGAGGAACACATTTAATGGACCTGAAATAATAGTGACACTTAAATAGCATACTCTTAACAGCAAGTGATACATATATACTCCAGGAAACAACAGTAGCAGCAGTAACTTACCATTCTACGATCAATCATAGAGCATCCATCGGCACAAAGCAAGGTAGGAAATGTATCAAACCCTTCTGACAAACACAATGAGAGTATAAGTCTCATTCCCTTTTGACATTCTGGTGTCTCCGACAATGTCATATCCCCAGTTGACTTTGTATATGCACGTAGCAAGATGATCCACCAGAACCCAGAATCGACAGGAGCAACCCTTCCAATCGCACTCTCACCGAAATCCGCAATTAAGGTATCAGTTTTCCTTTCAGGGTCATGAAGAACTTTAAAACTGGCAGGCATAGCTCCTTCTCCAAGCTTGAATCTATCTATCCTCTTTTCCCACCCTTGGAGATACAACGTTTTTAAGAGAAAGTTCTTTACAATATCGGGCTCTCCGTTCATGAGAAACGCCAGAGCACTTGGCACAAAATCACGCACAAAGACCTGATGCAAAATATATATGCATGGATTATAAATTTGCATATAATTCATGAATAGTAATACCAGTGACAAATTATAACAAGTAACCCCCCCCCCCCCCCAAAAAAAAAAAAAAGACACCACCAATTGACAGAAGCACCCAGGAACAACCTGAAATATCTCTTTACTGTTCAACCTTACTCCTGGATTGAGGCAACAAAAACAAAAAAGATATGCCTCATCCATATGATTCCCATAAGGTGGAGGTGCTTACAAAATGTCATTGCATTAGCAAGGAACAGAATACTGAAATTAGCGCTAAATTCATCACACCTTCACTAAGATTTTAGTTTCAGGATCATCATGCTTATATGAATGAAATACATCTCATAAATCTAGGAACAAGAAAGGATATATCCCACTTACTACACCTTTCATTACACATGAATGCTATCAAAGGAATAACAGCAAAAAGACCATACCTGATCATAGTTCAAAACCTCTTCGGAGGCATGGTCAACAGCAGCAATGGTTCCAACCGGTTGACCTCTAAAGTACACAATAGATTTTCTAAGAGCTTCCCAAGCATCTGCCACCATAGGATGGGGTTCAAAAGAGTTCCTGGTTGATGAGGCTGGTGTGTCGAACCCCGACCGCCCACCAGGTGAGTATGTGTTCTCATAATTATCATGTCTTCCCAGCCCAATTGAAAGCTCACTCAGCGATCTCTCGTCAAATGATCTTTTTCTTTCAATATTCAGCCTCGGCTTGTCAAGGAGGCGTGAGAGATCAAAGTCATCCATCTCCGATATCGAGCATGTTGAGCTAACATTCCTGAGTCCCCCCTCCTTAGGCCCATCCATTTGCTCTCTCACTCTTTCAACTTTTCAACTCCAAGCAACTGAAACAAATGCTTTGCTCCTACCACCACGAAGATTACTTACAGTCAGTAATCACATAACCTCAAACATCAGAATCGACAACTACAAAGTTACAGCCTACATGTTGTGAACAATCAATAGCATAAGATGGAAACTTTAGGTTACACCCGTAAAGGCTCTCCATAGTCGATGACTAACCATCCAATTTCTAAGGAGATCATGTAAAACCCAACAATTACTACACATTTCCACATTGATCCCTCAATTACCGAACCAAGGCAGCAATGGGAAGTTGTGATTAAGAGTAAAGGATTAGCAGCTGCAGAATAACACACTTCGAACTAACTATGTTCTCAAAGAATGTGAAATGACATCACAATTCCTTCCATCACCCAGCTCCTTAGTTCAAGCAATAAACAAATTCGCACACATGTAGAGTGACAGAATGAAGCAAATCAGAACAACAGAAGCATAAACAAATCAACAAAAGTTCTGACTCTGGAGAAACAGGGCAAAAGGAATAAAGAGGTAAAAGAGATCCCTTTTATATGAATATTTTACTGAAAATGTCTGCATTATAACAAGATACAAACTTTGTCTAACTACAAAGGGCAAACGATAAAAAAAAAAACCATTATAAAGGGATAATCAGAAGCAAAATTTTAATCCCTCAAACAGATCAAGATCCAGAAAATTGGGGGAAATGGGATTCAATGGAAAATGCCAAACGAGAAGATCATAAGTAAGAAGGAACCAAATTTAGCTGGGGAGACAAACAGAACCCAGATCTATAGATATGCCAAGAAAGAGAGAATGAATTGAATGAGAGGAGAAAGAGCTGAGAGAAGTGTGAAGAGGGAAAGAGCTAACCTTTTTGGGCGGTGGGAATGGCGAGATAAATAAGGAAGGAAGGGAAGGCAAAAAGAAGGGTTGGTTTCTCTTTCTCCGGCGTCAACCAACGGGAAATTCGCCGGGAAATGGCCGGCGGCCAATTGCCGAGGGGAGGAAAAGGGAGGAAGAAACAAAGGGGAAAAAAGAGAGAAAGAAGAAGAAAAAGTATAATGTTGTTCCAGAGCATATACTTATAGTGAGAGGAACTCAAGGACAACGAACAAGAGAGACTCAATTCATAAAAATAAATAAATAAATAATAAACATAAAAACCGGACTTTCCTGTGTCCGACCGACTTTGTGTAAGAGGGATCACCGGGAGCATCCGGTGAGGCTTTCCTACGTGGACAAAACGACGTTGCTCGCGGTGGCGCTGGCTGGTTTAAGTGAGTATTGGAATCTCCACCGGTGGCCGTTGGCTGGTTTTGGGGAGTGTTGGAATCTCCACCGGCAACTTGTGTTATCGGTTTCTTTTTTCTTTTGGGTAAATTAAAAAACCTTTCTTTTTCCCTTTGCTTCAATTTTTTGGGTAGGGAAAGACCAAAAATAGTGCCGAGGAAAGTCCAATTTTATGTCTTTGTATTTTGGGTTTCTTTTTTGGGGTGATTTCTTTGACCAAGACATTGCATTGCATGCTTGGTTGGGAGGTTAGGTGGAAATTAGGGATGAGAAACTGTGTGGTCTAGTCTAGATCAGTTTATATAGACGGTTTACCATTTAGATCGAGAGACTAAAGTATAGATTAGAGATCAGAACACATACTATACGGTCCAGACCATATTATGTATAAAATCCAACATGAATGAATAATTTTGACACCCTAAATCTTAGTAAATAACAAAGATACAAAGTCAAAGAATCCCAACTCGCAACATAACGTCACAACATTAGCATAATGTCATATGGAGACACGATCGTCTATACTCTCTAGTGAAATGTGGTTGTGAATGAAGGGGGGGATGAGATTCTCAAAATTAAGGTTGAGACTTGAGTCTCGTTGGGGGAGTTGGGAGAGTTGAGAGAGTGGTCAAGTGGGCTACTAACATGTATTGGGAAGTCGGCTAGATCTACGGTTTGGTCCGGTAAAACGCGGTGTAGACCAGACAAAGAGATCAAAACTTCATATAATACAGACCATGGACAAGACTATACCATTTTTCACGGTCTACGGTCCGAACCAAACTGCGCGGTCCGGTTTAGTCCACGATTTTTCAAACGGTCTGATCTATTTTCCCAACCCTAAATATGATTAGTCAACAACACTCTTTGCCTATGCCCCCATGGTAATACGCACATATATTTAAAACTAGGGGGTAGATAGTGGGTGTTATCTATTTAACAAAATAAAAATCTATTTACGTGAACCTCATTTATTCAGGTTGGACTGTCTCACTAAAACTTGGTTCTACTTTTCTCTCTAACTATGGTGCTAACTTGATCGTCGGAGTGCTAATGAACCACGAGAATCCGCGGTACGCCTCGTGTGCAGGGTTCAAGGCGCCTCGCTCACAAAGGGGAGTCACAAAAAAGAAGCCCCTAGTAGAGAGAAAATTTGGAACTTGGCTCAAATAATTTCATAGTGTTTTTTTATATGATTATTATCCGCTAAAATTCGATCTCCTTTCCCATAAGGATATGGCCTTTAAGCACGTCATGGAAACCATTTTCCTGAAGTAAGGGGAACAAATTATTTGTTTGAATAATTAAAGTAGTAGCATGCATGGTTCACATTGTCAAACAAAAGCCACTTGCACTGCATCAACCTTCCCATTTATACTCCATCCAATAAATTAAAGCAACCGTGATTGTCTGGCCGACATGACCAAGTAACCCATGCCTATATAGAGAAATATTGAAATAAATGAAGAAAAGGTGATATAGAGAATTATTGAAATAAATGAAGGAAATGTGAGACTTAAATTTGTTGTTTTCTTATTTCAATGAGATTTCACCAATAACACTTTGTATAAATTTCACATCGACAAAGTATGGATGTAATTTATAATTCATAAGAAACATTCAATCTTTGCTGATAAGAATCGTTTTATGGTGAAAGAGATGAGTTCTTAACTTCTTTATAAGCACTATAATGGGTCGTTTGATTGGATCAATTGAAAATGAGAGAATTTGGCTAATTGTCTCCTTTTAGAAAACAAGTCGATTTGAATTGTCCGCCCCTACCCTGGACAATTGTGATTGCCTCAAAATGAGTCGATTTGAAACTTCTTAATTAGGTCAAGTTGCTCCATCAAAATTTTATATTTCAAGCGGGTCAATGTAGCCATATTGCCTCAAAACGAGACGATTGGGTCACATTGATCCATTAGAATTCCGCATTCAAACGAACCCTAAAGTTAAATGTACTCAGGTGAAGTAGTCTCCATTAATATATAGTAGAGTTTTGTAAACTTTTCTCCATTTCAAATTTCCTGCAATGAGAGTGAAAGTAGGAAGGATATTTTTGTCTTTACAATTAATTATTTATTTCATAAAAAATATCAATATCAAGACTTGAACCCGGGTCTCTTCAAAGAAAGATAGCAATCATAACCAATTATACTAAATGTATTTGTTGTTCCTTTTTTAATACAAAACATACATGTATTTAAACTGTGAAAAGCAGAGAACTTTTCCATCATGATTAAAAAGTGCACTAAGTCTACTATATGTATTTTCATGGTGATTAATACTTCAATTTTTATAGTACAGTTTCATTTAATTTTATCAATTTTAGAATTCATGCTCTCTCTTTTATTTTCGCTAAAGGTAAATTGGTAATTGGCTAACATGGAAGAAACTATTTCCTTTACTATGTGTTGTGTCCTTGCATTTTTCAATATAAATTTAAATTTTGTGCCTTTTTTATCTTTGTTCTTATCTCTTTCTAATTTTCTCCGAAATTTCCTCCATCGTGCAATAGTTTGCGTGCTTTCACTTCCCAGTATAAGGAGCATTTGAAAATCAACATTCCGGTATCTTTTGGCACTGCAGTTTTATTCTTGGGGATTTAAGCTGGACAAGTAGAAGATTTCAACTCTCATATCAATCCATGGCCAATAGAATGGAGTTCAATCAAGTAGTTATGGCATGACCTTGCTTATCTCGCTCGATTCCTCTGCACTGGCATCACCCAATGGTTCTGTCTCTCCCCGATGTACTATCAGAAGAACTATTTTGCTGCTTCTATTGCTGAAGGCAATGTTTGATCAGTTATACCTTTCGCCTTTACTCCTCTTCCTATACCAGGCATTGACCTTTAATAGGTTTTCGATTTCCGATCAAGGTTAATCGCTTTACACATGTAAGTTATTCGTTTCTTCTCTATGTCTCATGGTTTTATCTTTCTGATTAATAACAAAGCGACTTTTATTTTCACGTTGTCTCATGAGCACAACATGCATAATATCTATTTATTTTGATCTTATTGCCTGAAACGATGCTTAAAGCTCGGGGGATCTCCTGCGTGATTTCTCCTCTTTCTGTTATTAGGTTTCAACTTCAATGTGTTTCTATCTTCATATTAGGTTCATCGAATTGAACTGGAAGGCTATTATTTCCTTCCCGGTTTATCTAAGTTTTTTGTTTATGAATGATTTATTAAATATAGAAAATGAATTTGAACGATGGTTTGGGTACTATATTTGTTTGTAAGCAAAAGAGATGTTTGTGTAGAACATGGCAGTTGTACTTTGCTAGAGCCCTGTCCACTTTGTTGTGTGTTTCCTGTACTTTATTTTTGTTCTTTGCTTAGCTATTGAAATAATAAAATAAGATCAAAATGAGAAAAAAGATTTCTTTTCAATTACAATATTTCCGCTCATATTTGATTTTGTGATAACTAATGTTCTCCGCAACCATAATTTTCCTCATTAATTTTTATTCTTATCTCACTAATCAAATTTTGATATTGTTTTAGAATTATTTAGAAATTGAGCTTTCATGCAACACTCTAGGAGTTTGAGGTGTTGAACTTGGAGTAGAAGAGTTAGGATTGAGTTTGAAAATGAGAGTGGTGGGGGGAAGAAAAATTCAACTGTAGCATGTTAAGGCAGAGAAGAGGGAGTTACCGAGGGTAGTGATCGAATTGAGGAGGGTGTTGAAAGACGCGAAAGCAAAACTGGAGCAGTTAAAGAGAGAGAAGTGAGAGATGATGAGGATATTAATAAAAATGGAGAGGGTATTGAAGGACATGGAAGTGTACTGAAGCATGTGAAGGCATACAAGGGGGGAGATGAGCATATTGATGGAATTGGAGATGAGTTTTGGTTTTAGCGAACTTATTATAACTGGCCTTGAGGAAGATGAGTTGGCAAAACATAGGAAGAGGATTGAGGAGTTGAAGAGCGAGTTGACAAAAACCCTAATTGGAAGAGAAATTGAGGGTCACAGAGAGAAGGTCCATCAAAGTAGCAGAAATGGAGTTGCAGAAGGAGGATTAGAAAGTGAATGTTTGGTTGAAACATATGCTTCTTGAGATTGAAGATAGAGTAGATAAAAATTTGGTCGTTCAATGGAGAGTGGTCGCTATTGGATCATTAGGTTTATAGTTTTTGCAGCTACCACAACCTATTTCTATCTTAAAACGAGTAATCATTGATTGATTTAATGAAGTAGGTTGATTCTTTATTCAACCTACTGGAACTGATAGATAAGGAATGTCTAATTTTGCGTCATATTACTTTGATCGAGTCTATTAGTATATTGGAGGTAACCCAATTTACTTTGATCGTTTGCTCTCAAGTTTTGATGGTCCACTCTTAGCCGAGTTGTTAGTATATAGTTGACTTGAACCTACAACTATCCATTTCTTTTTTATTAGTGGCATATTGCCCCCAAAATGAGAGAATTGAACCATTTACGTAGGATTGTGAGGTTTTAGATTCAGTTTCAAACTATCTATGAGTCGTGTGGGAATTCCAGTGAGCTTTTATACTCTATCTTTCTTAACAATCAACTAACCAATAACATATTAACTGGGCTTAATTATCATTATGAAAATGAGATCAATCATACATTTTTATGTTTTATTTTCTCAAATGATGATGATATTTCTCTGAATGTTCGACCTATATATTCTTTCTTTATGTATCATCTCGATCGAAAGATTGCCAATAAAATTAAACAGGTTGATAGACTTTAACGTAACATAAAAAGTATAAAAAATAAAATATAAACATTCCGGCCAACGGGCCGGATTATAAGCTAGTTCAAAGATGAGTGGACTTTCGAGAAGTCATCATGATACGCCCAAAAGCAAAACCGTACAAAATTTTACCCAAAAGGAACAATATCTTGACCAGAAAAATCGGAACGTTACAAATATCCGCTTGTGCACATAAATTCTTCAAACCTTTTGCTTTCTTCCCTTGTTTATGTGTAAATTTGCTTCTTTTTTAGCGTGTCGATCACTATCGACACATTCACCACACCATATCAACATAAAGCTGGATAAATACTTCGTATAAAATATAAGAAAGATAATTCAAGTCATGATTCATATACAATACTTCTATCAACAAAGGGGGAAAAACCTTGAGATTAACTCTATGTATAATAGCATCCACGTCAATGCAATTGCATTTTAAGTTTTTAGTGCCATTTCAATGATTTTGCAATCCAACTCATACTAATTTTATTGCACCCACACCAATGCAATCTACCTGTAATTGCATATGTAGTAAAATATTATGTTTAAATTATGATAAACTAAAGTAAAAGGGAAATTAAAATAAAGAATTCGTATTTTTTAGATAATTTTGACTTGCATATTCAATTGGATTTGTTGCAAGGTTGCAAATACACAAATACAACAGATAGCACAATGACGCAATTGGTTTTGCAATTGCAAAAGTCCATACATTTTCATATTGCAATGGAAATGCAAAACCAACATGAATACTCTAAAACCCCAATGAAATTGATTGATATTTTTCCAATATAATATGAGAAATATCTTGCTAGGAAGGATGCAACCTTAGAGAGAGTGGCCTACCACCAGCAGCACGCACCATCCACCAGCCATACATACCCACCAAATTGCATTAATCGAACCATCTGATTTTCAGCAAACCTGCTGTCATTTTCTCCACCATATGGAAAACGAGAAGGGAAAAAGTTTGGTGGCCAATTGGATTTGGTGTTGACCTAATCCACACACAATATGCACATTGCATGCTTTGCCATTATTTTTCCAAACTTGTAACCAAAACTAATGTTTATCGTTTTTCCTATCATACAGGCAGTCCTTTGTTCACACGCATAAACCCTTTATTTCTGGCACGAGCTTTTTCCTAGCAATAGACTTTCTTTTAAGAAAGCGCTTAAAATAAAATGTTATAAGATTTAATCTTGAATTTTTCCTTTATAATTTACAAATTACTCATAATGAACAAACTCTTGGCTTATATCCATGGTTCTAAACAACGCGCTTAGAGCATGCATAGCCTCGTGTAGGTGATAGGCAATGCCAAAATGCTTTACCTAGGGGTTTTGTAGCGATTCGGGAATCAAGAACACGATGGTAGAGTACGACAACAGCTAGATGTAGTTAGGTGGAGCTAAACAGTCGATATCAAAACGAGAAAATTAACATCATCTACAAGCACAATTTTTTTTTCTCTCAATCTTATTTAATATCTCAAGAAATTTGTGAGCTAATCAGCCGTTGTATCTATGAAGTTGTGAGATTTTTTTCGTATTGTTTAGTGTTAAGCAAAACCTTAATCATTGGAACCAAAATAGAAGTGTCGTAAAAAGCTAGTTCCATTCATCGTTTACTACTAACTTCTGTTTTTGCTATCATTGTCTAGACACGCGTAGGTGAAGTCAAGAGAGAAGTTAGACGCTAGACAAGATGTCAACGCCCGCCTTACATCTAGGACAAGATCTCCTACGTTAGAGAAAATGATGAGTTTAAAATTTTACAAGATGCATAATCGACTACTTCAAGATTATCGATCTGCCCGCAACCGCTACCAGTAGACCAATGGGGGAGAGTGCACCGGTCATTAATGTTTGTATGACAACTTTGCTTCATTTGTGCCCTAGTAGGCAAGGGAAATTAATGATTGAAGGACAAATATTATTGCGTGCAGTTGTCTGTGATTATTGCCGTAGCTAGTTGGTCCGTATTATTGGTATTCAAAGTGTTTCAACAAATCCTTGGATGCCTTCATTCTTAGGGAAAATGACCTGCTTCTGCGGCAAGTGTGCGCACGTTCTTGTCAAGATAGTACGGACTGTTGATTTCTGTGTCTCTTTCAAGCATTTATTTATCGTTTGGAATAAATAACTTATTTTCCTGTTAGAAAATTTTAACACAAGTATGCATTGGACGTACGTTGTGAGAGCTTGGGCCGTCAGCAGAGAGTGGGCTTCATGCAGCGGCCAAGTGGTTGTGGACTGTAAGGAGAGTGGGCTTGGACTGGGCATAATTTCTCAAACCAAACGATAAATTTGATAAAATGCCACGATTTGTGAGATTGTGGCAAAAATCACCCATATATACCATTTCAACGCGAACATTTAATTACTAGAATCACTAGATTGATGATTCATTTACAAAATTCTCAAATTCAACATAACAGCCATTCAACCAAAACGATCATCAGGGTGAACAAGAATTGGGGATCAGATGTCAGCGAGGGCCAATGACTCAGATGTTCAATCGACTCCCTCGAAAATGATAACAAACATTTTAAAGTACTCGATCCGAAAGCTCATCGATCATGACAGGCTAGTGTACGTCAGTCGAGTTTTACTATTTAAAACCCGAATTAACCGGAGTTTGGGGCATGATACTATACCCTAACCTCTAATGGATGAACCTCAGTCTCTAATTCTCTAAAGGGTACGCAAAACCAGCGAAGACAATGGCTCCTTGGTTGGCGTGAGAATAGTGGATCTTAACTACTATTCATATTGTTCTCAAGGTGTGAGCTTGCCTAGCAGCAGCACGCAACCCTCTGGGTCTGCAGGCTCTCCTTTTGTTTCAGGTTGATGTGGGTTGTTTGCCATTTTTCGAGTGTTATGTTCTTCGATGTTACTGGTTTCACTAGGTAGGACACTTTGAACTCACATGTCCACTTCTTGTGGAAAGTTGAGCTACTCTTCCTTTTTTCTTCTTGTTATTTTGTTTCTCCTTCAATAAAGTTCATCACCATTATATATATAAAAAATTCTCTAACCCAAATCACAAGATTGATTTAATCTAAAAAAATAATAACCAACGGTTCTGATTCAGCAAAATATATTAAAATGCAAAAAATAAATGTGAACACAGGCATACAACGTACTGTACGCTAGCCTCTGCCCCATATATATATATATCCCCTCTAATTAAGAATCCAACGCCTTCACCTTCTCCTTGAACTCGTCCAACAACTCCAATGCAATATCCTTAACCCTATCTCTCACCTTCTTAGAGTAGTCTCCAGCCGCCATGATTTCTCGAAGGAGGGCCGAGTGATCCACCATTGATCTCACGATCCTCATCCTCTCCACGTACTCCTTATCCTCCAAGGCGTGCTTCTCTCCTTCTCGAACCATCTTCTCCACCTCCTCTGCAGGCAGAAGAATCAAGCTTTTCTGGCTCATGATCTTCTGTCCGGTTTCCTTGTCCTCGACAGATGCATTCAGATTGCCGTCAATGTCGACGTCAAGGCTAAGTGTAATTAAACTTCCGACCACCTCTGGGAGCAGGAGGAATACCATAGAAAACTAGTTTGTTAAGAAACTTGTTGTCGCTTGCCTTGCTTCTTTGCCCTTGGTAGAACGTAAAGGATATGTTTTTCTGGTTGTCCAACTGGGTGGTTATGGCCATCTTAAACTTCTTGGTTGGGATGGCGGTGTTCTTTGGGATGCAAACATGCATTATGCCTTCAGCGTTTACAAAACCAATGGAGAGCGGAACCGCATCGTTCGGTCGATGATGATCAACGTCTTTTACCTCCTGAATTCATAAAAACTGATTGCCTTAGCTAGGGTTTAGGTTATTCAAAAAAACAATTGGTCACCCTAACTCATTAAGAGAATAACTCGAGGTTTCGAAATAGTATCTCGATCGATACAACTATATATAGTGAGCCAACATAGACTCCACTATCACATGTTAAATTCCACGCGAATAAGAGTTTGGTCCAGTGATTTGATCTTAGAACATGAAGGTTTTATGGATTCGAATCCCTTAAAAGAACCTAACTTTAACAACAAACCTTAAAACGTGTAAAACTCTAATAAACTCAAAGTATCCGCAAGCTTGGTGGCAAAAACATATAGAAATAAGAGATCAAAATTAATTTTAGGAACGTACCAGCTGATGGTTCTGTTTGTGCGGTTGATCATCATGTGTGTTGATGGCAATGGCAGATCCTGCTTTGCTGTTATTAGCCCCCATCTCAGATTGACGATTGGTCTATCTATACGAAACAAAACTAACAAATTAAAGCTATGCTTTTAGAGTACGTAATTCCCAGTTGCTTGATAATTAGGGTTTCCAAGACCAAGGCTACATAGGAGCCTCATATATATAGGGCTACGTTGGTTTACAAGCCGGTTTGTTGGGCTGACCGGCGCGTCTGGTAGAAACATGGTTCTTAGGGTTTTCTATAATTAATTATGGTAGGATAATTATTGTGAGGGTTAGTAGTATTTGAGTCGTATTAGGTTATTTAATTAGGTTTATTCCGGTATTTAGCTATATATATGTACTTTGGGTCGTTTATTGGGGTAAGCAGAAATCAATAAAAGAATTATCTTCTTAAACTCTAAGCTCTCCCTATCTCTGAATTTCTCTTCTTCCCTAGTCTAAGGCTTCGCCCAATTCTTATTATGTTCTTCCTCCCCTAATTCCCTATCTCAATTCCTAATTCTGTTCGTATAAACCCTAATCTCCAAATATCAAAGCCGATAGAAACCCTGTCTCTATCAGCGTCCCTTTTGCTTGTTTGGGCTTTGCTGAAGCTGACGACTGTAATGGGTTACAAGACCTAGTTCAATTGTCTTCTCAAGTGCAAATCTATAAATATGTAGCAATGGATCATTAGATTTCGAAGAACTTTGAATTAATACCATCACTACTGCTACCGGTTAGTACAATGTTGGATTGCATATGAGTCGAGTCCCGTCGAGTTTTTATCTAATATGAGCTTAGTTTGTTAATAAATAAGTCGAGCTCGAGTTCACGAGCTCTAATCGAGTTCGACTCATCAATCAGCTCTCAAGTCATGCTCTAGCTCGTGTATCACATTATTTAGTTCATAAATTTCAATTATTCATGTAATTTTATTTAATAGTTATTAGTATCTAAATAATCTACGTTACATAATGTCTCTTTAAAATTATAAATGAGACATATTTGCCCACGTACTCAAAGTTTTAAACATCGTATATGTTGTAAGATGCACAATTTAACAAACCTATGAATTATCAACAAGCAAATTCATAAGCTATAAAATCAATTCACCATAAGTCGCTAGTCGAGTTAGCTCGCTAGCAGCCACACTGTCGAGCAAGGTTATAGCTCAAAACGAGATTGGTTACAAGTTGAGCTCACCAAACTACTGAGTCGATCTAGCTCGCGAGCTTTTCGAGCTGTATAAGGCCAAGCTCACGACTCCCCCCCCCCCCCCCCCCCCCCCCAATATCTTCCATTGTGTTAAAAACACATGGTATGTAGACTTGTAGAAGCTTGTGCAAACTTCAAACCCACAAATGGATTTTTGTTTGAGGGGCTTGTAAGAAAATGGTTAAGTACCATATACATAAATTTCTCCCAACAAACACGTGAGACCAATTAGTTTATGAGCACATCTACTATGCTATATAGTATTGGTGCTTAGTTGTACTATAACATTAAATGTATAAGTTTAGGTTGTACCATAAAGCAATTTGTACCCTTATGTTATGGTACAACTTTACAACTTGAAGTTGTACTATCACATAAAGGTACAAGTTCAAGTTGTACCATAAAAGAATTTGTACAAAAAGTATAGGTAGTTAGGTACAATCTGAAGTTGTACCATAACGTAAATGTACAATTTTAAGTTGTACCATAAAAGTAAAAACCTATAGCACCAATACTACGTAGTATTGTAAAATTTCTCCTTGTTTATAAGAATAACAAAACATTGATACGTGTTGTCTCGGAAGAGGACAAGATCGAGTTCCCAGTCAAACATCGGCATCCATATATATGAGAACGGCGGCATCGACATATCGCTATCATATGAGAAACCAAGTAGGAAAAAAACACTGTATATAAAATGGGCAGGCAGCCGCAGCATCTAGATATCGCTATCATATGGAAGAAGGCAAGTCAAGAACACGTACAAGTCTAGATCTAGATATGGACTAGACGGCAGCAGGAGCATCTTATGGCCCGACGGCTACGATATAATAAGACAGCAATATACATTTCTCAGCCGTGCACTGCATGCCTATATAAACCATCGCGCCAGACCTTAATTTAAACACACAAACACACGACGCTATAATACATATTTCTCGATATCTCCATCGCTCTACACCGTGAAAAGAATGAATTCGAGCAGCAAAGTTCTCCTTGTTCTCCTGCTGATCTTTGCGTTGGCGGCAGCGGTGCCTCGTCACTCCATGGCTGCAGTCCCGTTGCCCCGCTCTCAGGGCCATGCTAATGGTACGTGTTAGTAAGCAGTACATGATATATGCTTCATAATTGAACATTTCTCAATATTAATCAAGTTAGATTGGAACCAACGCATTCAGGGGCCATGCTTTCGTTTTAGGGGGTGTGTTATGTATATGTGGGTGAACTTTATTTTTTTTTAATGATGAATGGATGGTTGTATTTAACAGAGACGACGGCGGTGGGGGAAGGCGGCGGCGAATCAGCAGGTGGGAGAATTCAGCCGGACAAGTTTTACTGCCACAAGAAAAACAAAAGATGCCCAACTGGTTATTGTTGTTACTGTACTGGTTCAGGCGGTGCTCTCAGTTATTGCTCCGATTGTTGCTAATCATCGAACCCACTTCCTACCACCAGAACGGTAAGTCTAATTTGCAAGTGATTTGGGTAGACTTAATTAATTATTGCTTTCATTTCTAACGTTTGAGTAAAAGGTTTAATGGGAAATCAATCATGCATGCATAAAATAAAATAGATGTAGTTGGTAATTTGAATCCAATCAATCAATTCAATCTAACCACTAAAAAATTCAATTAGTCAAAATTCATTTGGATAGGTGGATTGTTAGATTGATGAAAAATTATAGTTTCATAATTTGATATCCAATATTCAATTTTTCAAAATGGAATATGTTTTTTTTTAAATAAATTACATTTTGGTACTTACATTTTTATAATGAAATTTTAGTAACTAGGTTTATCAAAATTTTCATAATACGGTATTCTAAAGCTTAATTGCCATTTGGATTTACGAATTCAATTGCTTGACTAATAATTATTTATGTTGATGTGACTTGAATCGGACTATCAGCCGCTACGACTGGTAGTCGGGTTCTGGGCTTTTATTTTAACTTTGCTTCCCCCTTTCAACACAAATGCAGATGCATGAAGTCGCCTGTGAACTGAAGAAGAAGAAGAACAAGCATATATTATATATAAAATATCAATAATCAAGCGCATGCTCATTGTATGTTCAAGTCGTCCTGTGCTTGAATGATGTGTTGTGTGCTTATAATTATATTCGTGTTTCCAACGTTATTTACTGTTCTCGTGATGTTTTATTCCGACCTTGTATTGTAAGTGTGTCATGGAAACTTATCAGTACTTATATGAAAAACTAAGTTTGTGGCTCTTACTTTCCCTTGTAATATTAAAATGGATTTTTCTTTACTTTATTATTTTCGTTGATTCTATACTTTTAGGTATAATAGTTAATTGAGAACTAAAATTAGGGTGTGTATAATAAAGGTTGATTTTGTACGTGTCAAGTCGAATTGTTCTATAGTTTTCTCTTTACTTTCCTTTAATAAACAAAAGTATTTCACCATTATCAAAATGACAAAGAGAATATATATAGAAACAAGAGATTGTTTCATACGGTAAAAAACAATTTAAATCAATTGAAAACATCCAGAAAAGTGATCAATGCTAGGAAGCAAATAAAAAATAAACAAAAGTCTTACAAAAGAAAATGTTGAGAACTCCAAACTCATTCACCTATGATTGATCATAACAAGGGAATAAAAGAAGAAGAAGAAAAAAAACTTAAGCTAGTTCGAAACATCTTGTTCTTGTCCCCCTTAACGCTCCAACTCCTTCACCTTCTCTTTAAACTCGTCCAACATCTTCGCGACGACGTTGTTCAATATATCATTCACCTTGGTTCTGTCAGCCACGGAGACCAGCTTCGTGGAACCTTCACTTCCCTCTATCGTCTGATGATCTCCTCTCGTCGTCATGGCGCATGCATAATACAACATTGCACTCGCCGCGACAGCCCTGCCGGCGTACTCTTCGTCCTCCAGCTTGTGCTCTTCTCCTTCTCGAACCATCTTCTCCACCTCTTCATCCGTCACCATCAGCTTGCCCTTCACCCCGACGCCTTCCACCACCAGCTTCAGATTCCGTCCGGTGGCTTGGTGCTCGATACGTACGTTTAGGGCGCCTCTCGCGTCGATGTCGAGGCTGAGCGTGACCTTCTCGACGCCTTTGGGAGCAGCAGGGAGGTTGGGGAATTCGAGTTGGGCGAGGAGCTTGTTTTGGCTCGCCTTGCTTCTTTCGCCGAGGTAGACCTTCAAGTTTACAACTTGTTGGTTGTCGTAGGACGTGCTGAAGACCGTCTCGAACTTTTGGGTTGTAGGGATGGCGGTGTTTCTTGGGATAAGCTTCGTCATTCGGTCGTAAATATTGCCTACGCCAATGGAGGCCGGAGTCACGTAATAGAGATCGGCATCTTCCACCTACGATAAACATGTCAATCGTGAAGCAAACCAATAATCAAACGAACACTGAACATGAGATTTACGTGGTTTCCCCCGACGATAAATGTCGAGACTGGTCCACGACACAAAGACGTTAGGTTGTCTTATTCAACGGTGTTCCAAGAGACCTTACAAATAGTCTCAAAGGACTATATATATGGTTAATGGGATTAATGTGATGGTCGATATTGTCTTGTTATGTGTACAATCATCTGAAACCAAATATACTTATTTGGATAGGACCCAAATGTGTTGCTCAGATTGGAAATAAATTCAAACCTAACGTGAACCCAAAACAATTAGAAGTTCATATGAGTCAATTTAGGTCTGATCCAATATGCATATGGGTCATGAAAATCGAGTCAAATTACCCAAGTCAATCTAATCTATTAGGATTCATAATAACTCTAGATATATTTCTTCGGTTTGACCTAGCTACATGGAACAAAAAACTCTAGTTTTATTAGGCAGTACTGGTTAGATACTAACAGGGGGAGCCAAATTAAGAAATTTGAGAAAGCTAGGACAGACTGTAAAAAGTAAATACGCTAGAAGCAATACAAAAATCTATCAAGTGAGAGAAGTGCTAGCTGGATCACACATGTTAAAAAAATAAGAACCAGTTTTTCTCAATAACAAATCTCGTAATCAGATAGCCGTCAGATTGCCGATAGAAATCGAAATCAAAATTAAAACTAGTGCACATACACCAACAGCTAGCTAACACACTGTAGGTACATATTGTCAATCATCATAAATCTTATATTATTTACTAAGATATATCGTGATCGAATTCCACCCTGCAACAAATTAATCTTGAAATCATCGATGTACTAATGAAAGTTTATATTAGAAGTACTTATTGCAAGCTAATTATTTGTGCTTTTAGTGGCGCAAGCATAAACCTACTTGTATACTTTATAATATGCATAATTAGGTACCTTGTTCTGTTTCTGCGGTTCATCATCTTCGTGTCTCTTTGCAGCATTGGCACCATAGCCTGCGGCTTTGCTGTTGTTAGCCCCCATCTCGAGTGGCGTCTGCCTATTGGGTTTCTAACCCTAGGAACCTCAGGAATATAATACTTGGTCGATAATACACAGAATAATTTACCTATATATATAGTTGATTATACAAGGCAATTAGGGTTTCGATGTGATAGACTCCTTACAAGTTACAACCATGATTTACTAATTAGGATTAAAGCTAAGATTTATTATTTATTATTCGTGATTTTCGATATATTTATTTCTACCCATTGCTGACTGTTACGTATCCTCCTTAGTCACATTTATTTTCTTTGGGACTGATTTGTAATTTCCCCATATTCTGTCCGCGTAGCTTTGGTAGAAGCGGACTCCCTTTTTATTGGGTTGTAATTATCGGCTGTAACCAATGTTGTCAGAACCGAGCCGGAGCATGACCCGGTAATGCGAACTGCTCGCACTTTAGTGGTACAACCGGCATTAGCTCGTTTAAAAACCGTTAGAGAACCGGTACCTAATAAACATTATCATTATAAATAGTGAACATTTCTTAATCAGATCTCTTCTCTTTCCTTCAAAATTATGAAATGGAAATAAGGATTCACTTTGAGAGCTCAACGTTTTTAGTTTATTTCAATTTTCAATTTTCTGCAATTTTTTTTTAATTAAATTTAACGGCTGAATGGCAAAAACCGGACGAGCGGCTCGATCGGCTCAAGCGGTTAACCGCCTCGGCCGCTCGTCAACCGTTACCTGAACCGGAGCAGCTTTTAGACTGTTCCGAGCCGGGACCGGTTGGCGGTTTTACCGGTCGGGCCGAGCGGCTCGGTTCGGCTTTAATAACATTGGTTGTAACCTACTTCTATTCCATCATAATCTCATCATCCTGAGAGTGGAAAGCCTCCGTGGAGTAGTTCCGTTCGATATGAACCGAGAAATCACGTAAATCTCGTTGTGTCTTTCATTTTTAGTTTACGTTTTATTCATGGTATAGAGCTGTGGAGACGATCTTCCAGCTTCATCAATCATGACTGATGAAGAATCCACGGTCTCTAGCAGCTGCGGTGACTCAAAGTTTTCCGTCTCACCGTCGCCCGTCTTTCTCCATCGTTCAGACAACCCTAGTCATTTGTATGCGGGCGATCTTCTCACTGAGCTCAACTACGGTGAGTGGCTCGGTGACATCACCGATTCCTTGCTGGCCCCACGACTCTACGAGCTGCATCGTACGATCGGAGCTCTCCATCAAGACAAGTCTTCGGTGGCCGCTCATTACTAGGGATGGCAATAAAACCAGAATCCACGGGTACCCGACCCGAGCCGATCAACACGGGTAAAACCCGTGTTGATGGGTTTTGGGCCGGATTCGGGTTTAAACCCGCTACACTATTCACGAGTTGGGTTGGGTTTGGGTTTAGGTATACCCGTCCCATGGGTACCCGCCCACACCTATATAATTAATTTTGCCCGTATATTTAATATTCTAAGCAATATATCTTCCTTTAACAGCTAATCTTCTTTATGTTTGTGGAGACATGTCCAAAAGAAAGACAGTTAATTTTTATATATGAATCACATATTGAATTTCATCAAATGTAAAGTAGGATCTTTGCAAATTATTAGTTCTATTTTTATATATGACTCAAGGCCGGCCTAGAGGGTGTGCTGGCCCGCCCTCCGGCACAGGGCCTCCGAATATTAGGGGCCTCCACTTAGATCCGTTAGTTATCGATCGTACACTGTAAATTGTATTTTTAGTGTATGATTGATTGATTATGAGTATGATGACGATTTTAATAGATAAATTTAGATAATATTATTTTAAACTATATAGAAAGATAGTACAATCATTTTAGTTTTATTATAGTTAAAAGTCAATTTGGACCACGTCTCGATTTTGAAACAAGGCCTCCACGAATCATTAGACCATCCTGCACCCACCTCTCGATCAATTTAGACTATTTTCATTTCTCCATTCAATTTTTGCGCTATATCCATTTTCTCTTCCCTCCAGATTTACTTTCCTCCCTACTAGGTTGGGAATTTGGTCTTGGTTTCTTCGTCAAACTGGAAACGTGACCATTTATTCATTTTGTAATTATTTTCCGAGTCTATGTATTTTTATAATTATTTAATAATTTTTATTTTTAATAAATTTATGGAAAAAAAATTTAGAACCACATTTTAAATTGTCGAAGAGGGACTCCGAATATCATGGGACGGCCCTGATATGACTTGCATTTGAAACCCTAACCGATCACACTCCGAGTCCTAACTAATGATCATCACAATCTATTTATTCCAAAAATGATAGACGGTCAATACTCAATAGCTAGCTAAGTTTTACACATCTTCTTGTCACCTTCCAATCCAAAATCCTTCGCCTTCTCCTTGAACTCGTCCAACATCTTTCCAACCGCGTCCATAAATGCGTCGTGCGCTTTCCCGGAGTAGGCTCCCGCAGCCGCGTTTTCCCGTACCACGATTGTATACTCCTTCATTGCTTTCACGACCTTCACCTTCTTCAAGAACTCCTCATCGTCCGACTTGTGCTTCTCTCCTTGTCGAGCCATCTCCTCCACCTCCACCGTCGACAAAAGCTTTCCTTCGACCCCGACGCCCGGTATGCTCATGGTCTCCTTCCGCCCCGTCGATTTGTCCTCGGCAGACACGTTCAGGTTGCCCTTGGCATCGATGTCGACGCAAACCGCGATCTTTGGAACACCCCTGGGAGCGGGCGGGATACCCTTGAACCCTAGGGTACCAATAAGCTTGTTGTCACTTGCCCTTTTTCTTTCGCCTTGGTAAAACGGAATTACCATGTCACCCTGGTTGTCCAACGCGGTGGTCGAGATCGTCTCGAACTTCTTGGTTGGGATGGTGGTGTTCTTTGGGATTTGCACCACCATTTCATCGTAACAATCAGACACGCCAATGGACAGCGGAGTTACGTAATAGTACTCGAGATCATCCTTCACCTCCTGACCGCGTTCATCATGTTGTACTAATAACAATAATACGAGAACTACAATCCAAAAAAAGAAGGTGCAATGATACTTGAAAACGGACCTGTTTGAGTGATTCCTCATTATCATCGCCATGCGCCTTTGCATAGCCGGCTGCTTCATCATGCGCCTTTGCATAGCCGGCTGCTTCATCACTACAATCCAAAAAAAAGAAGGTGCAATCTTACTAGTTACTACTTTGCTATGAACTTATTATAAATGTTAGTCAACTTTCTTAATAGTTAGTTGGAGAATTGTTTTTGCGGGTTAACCCACGACCCAACCGCACTCATTCGCCACCTATCCAACCCGACCCGTATAAGAATGTGGGTGGATTGCGGGTCACAATTATTCCAACCTGCTAGTAAGCGGATGGGTCAATTTAAGACGAAAACCCACCCAACCCGCCCATTGCCCACCCCTACCTGACAGTAATGTTTAGGGTAGTAAGCTTGGAGATACCCACTGATCCGGCACGACCGATTCTGAGGATCGGGTTGAGTCAATTTGTCCACAAGTTTATTTTAGCGTCGCGCGGGTCATCTTTTGATCATGTAACGGTGAAATCAAAGCAGGATCGGGTCATTTTTTTGGTCCTATGACCGTACCCATTACAATAACTAATGATATAAAATTTCCCAGACGATGTTGGACATGTTTGTAAGAGTTTAGGTACTATAATGCAAGGTGAAAAATATAAAGGTACTAAATATAATCTAACCATCAAAATTTCTGGACCTATTTGTAAAAAAAAAAGTACAATTACTAAATGGTAAGAACAATAAAATTGGGTACCAAATACAATTTTTAAAAAAAAATCAATATGGTGATTGATTTTGTGGCCCAATCAACCTCGACCCACTGACTCGGCCAGACCCGCCCGACCTTAGAGGACCAGGAAAGATCAACAAGGAAATAGAGATAATGGGACGGTCCAGTTTCATAAGTTAACAGCAACGTACGTGGTTAGACAAGATTTAAGTCATTGTTGCACCCCAACTCTATCTTCTTCTTCTTCTTCTTCATCTTAAAAAAAGTTCCTGTCTCGACCTTTAGACACTACTTCGAAAACAATAGGGAAGAAGAATTAAAAAAAGAGAGAAAAGAAGAAATCCTATTTTGATAGGAGAACTACTAGGTATACTCGGTAGTTAGTACGTAACTTTGATTCATGCCAAAACCCTAGCTTAGCTAGGGAGGTAATAGCTATATATATAAACTCTAGTGGCCGAGCTGGTGCATGCATCCGATCGATCTCTCGCTCCCTCCAAGCTGGCTGCGTGCTTACGTTGTTTTAGGTTAGCATGGCGATATCGGACAAGGCCTGGCTCGCGATTTTGGCAATGCCCGCTGTCGTGGGACTCATCCGCTGCCTCCTGTTGCGTGAGTGGGAGTTGGCAGGATGCTCTCTTCTGTGCTTCGGCCTTGTGCCCACCATGTGCGGTCTCGTGTGGCTGATGCAACGAACCATGATCAAGCTCATGAACGAACTTTTCGATTTACGTCGCGATCCAGTTATCAAACAGAGAATCCTCGAGCTGGAGAAGAAGGCCGCCTCCTCCTCCGCTTCCATCCGCCCGCCTAGTTTGTTCTTCTAGTTTAATTTTGTTTTTTCAATATTATTGACTAGTAGAATCTCATCGTCTTTCTTTGTGGGATCAATGGTGCAAATTTGGTTTTGTTATTTTCCGCCCCTTGTTTCCTTGTTGTGTGTTGTGTAATCTTCATCGAGATCCTAATTTAGCACTGTTGCTTGTGATTACCCAATCGATGCATGTATGGAAAAGTTACAACGGCGTAACAAGAAAACCATCGGCCCGTTTTTTTTTTTTTTTTTTTTTTTTGAAAGGAAGCCCTGTAAATTTTATTGCTTAAATCTCAACAGTTTGGGCTTTCTCAGCCTCAAGCAAACTCCTAATGAAGTTTGGTGGACAATCAATCCAAATACAAATTTGATTCCAATGGGTATTCATGTGGGCTAAACAATGGGCCACAGAATTTGAGCTTCTAGGCACAAAAGCCCACTCAACCTGCTTACCAGACATGGCCGAGTTGATTTCCGCCAAATCTCTCATCTCCTTGCACCACACCCCCAACTCAGTACGATCCTCAACATCCTTCTCCAATAACTGGATCATACTCAGACAATCAGATTCCACAATCAATGGACTCCATCCCCTTCGACCCTGACGCCTGGTATGGTCATAGTCTCCTTCAGGCTCGTCGACTTGTCTTCAACAGACACATTCAGGTTGCCCTTGGAATCTACATCGACGCAAATCGTGATCTTTGGAACACGCCTGAGAGAGGGATACCCTTGAATTCTAGAGTACCTAGAAGTTTGTTGTCACTTGTCCTTTTTCTTTCACCTTGGTTATAAGGCTGGCTATTGGGTCCGGGTTTTTTTTGTTTTACCCGAAATCGGACCATATAACCCGGACCGGGACCGGATAGTAAACAATCTAATCCAAGTTTTGGGCTTAGATTTGAGGTAAAAACCATTCGGGACCGGATCTAAAACTGGATGAAGATCGGATAAGAGAGCTCAACACCCAAAACTTAAAGGTAATTTGCATAAACGGTCACAAACCTTTGCACTTAGTAAAAAACTTAACCAACTCCTCACACTTTCAGGCCTTAGACCACTCAAATCTCCACAAGCTCAATATAAAATCAAGACCGAATTGGGACCGGACCAAGTCAAGACCGGACTGTATTCAATCCAATCTTTGGTCCTTATATTTTCGAAAAGACCGGACTGGAACAGAATCAATTTGGGCCAATTTAACTGGACCGGACCGTATAGCCACCCCTACTTGGTTAAAACGAGAAGTACAAAGAGTAGATTGTGTAACGGTTAGATCAACTTAGGATCAGATAATTTTTCATACGATATTTGAACAAACAAGATCGACCTTATGACCCATAACAACTACTGATGATATAAAATTTCTCTCATACGATAATTGGACATGTTTGTAAAAGTTTAGGTACTATAAAGCAAAGTAAAAAAAGAAATATAAAGGTACTAAACGTAATTCAACCATCAAAATTTATGGACCTATTTGTGAAAAAAAAATTAGGTACTAAATGATAAGAAAAACAAAGTTAGGTGTCAAAATCAATATGTTGATTGATTTGGTCCGAGTTAGACCCGACCTACGGACTCAACCAGACCCGACCTTAGAGGACTATACACATAGAGGTGGGAAGGTATAGTTTCATAAATTAACAGTACAGGAACGGGCAAGGGCAAGATTTGAGTCATGTTGCATCTCAGCTCTATCTTCTTCGTTTTTTAAATAGAGTTTCTGGCCGATGAGACTGAGATTTGGCTCAACCGGGCCCCTATCTTTCTCATACCTCTTTTTATCTAAAGGTGGCATTTTAGTACCTGAACTTTCTTAATTTTCAATACAGATCTTCTTGTAAAAAAAAGAAAATAGAGTTTTTGGCCGGACGTTTTGCCTCTACTTCGAAAACAAAAGGGAAGAAGGATTATAAAAAGAAATCCTAATTTGATAGGAGAACTACTAGGTATTCGTAGTTAGTACGCAAAATTGATTCATGCCAAAACCCTAGCTAGCTGATTTCTATATAAACCCTAGTGGCCGGCCGGGCGGGCGGGCGGGTGCATGCATATATATTCTTCTCCGATATTATATTTATAGTTTCCCTGCGTCTGCGTGCGTACGTTGTTTTAGTTAGTATGAGGATACGGGACAAGACCTGCATCGCGATTGTGGCAATGCCCACTGTCGTGGGATTCATCCTCTGCCGCCTGTTGCGCGAGTGGCCGGAGTTGGCAAGAGAAGCTCTTTTGTGCTCCGGCCTTGCGCTCACCATGTGCGGCCTCGGGTGTCTGCTGCTCCGAGCCATCACCAAACTCAAGAACGAGATTGCCACGCTACGTCGAGATCCAGTTATCAAGCAAAGAATCCTCGAGTTGGAGAAGAAGGCCTCCTCCTCCTCCGATGGAATGTAGTTTGATCTTCTAGCTTAATTTGTTTTCATGGTTATTGTTATTGTTGTTGTTAGTCCATGCAAAAGGAGAGACGTACGTTTGCTGGTGGGTTTAGTTGCAGGGTCCATACGGTTTTGTTCTTATGATCAAAGATTTCATTTATCACGGGTAGAATCTCGTTTCTTTGTCGGATCAACGGTGCAAAGTTGGTTTTTGTTTTTTTTTTTCTTTTGTCGAGCACTGCTATTATGTTTTAACGCATTGGTGTTTTAAAGTACAATTTCAAATTGTACCAGAAAAGTATTTATACAAGGGAATATAAGTACAATATGAAATTTGTATCATAAGCAATAAAACTCCAAAGCATTGTAAAGTTCCTCTTTTTTTCCCTTCTTAATCGATGCATGAAAATCTATCGATCTTTCTGTTTCCTACCGTGGTGGCCTTTCTACTCACGTATTTTTTTTTCCTGGAAAATTCGTAGCTCCAACCATGTTTTGAACGCAGAAGCTCCAACCATCCAAGGTGTCGATTTGTTATGATAATGATTGTGATGGTCATACATGATCTTATGACGATCCTTATGATGAGGCAAAAATTGCAAGTTGATGTGATGCATTAATGTTGCTTCATTTTGAAGATTTGAGAAATTTTACGTGCAATAATTTCAACAACTTCAATTTTTAAACTCATTTGTTATTTATGATTTATGTTATTGTATAATTTAAATTTAGCTCTTGTACTCCGTGCACTTTTTCTTATAACCTAGAGGTTGCTCTTGGTTGAGAGTTTATCCATTTTTGTAATTTGTGGGTTGGATCTAGTGTGGATTTTTGTTATAAAGTGAAATCATTCTTTAATTATTGAACAACATAATGATTATCGGAGTACAAGATCCTAGAAAGAACAAATTTGCATTCACCAGTAATTTCTTATGATTGTTTGATTAAATCTTGAGAGAAATTTGCTATTTCAGCCTCCCAGATCGGTCACCCTCTTATTCTTTGGTTGTTGGTTGTTGTCAACTTCAAATTTTCCATTTCGACCATTCTGTCTCATTGTTTGCTTGACGCAAAGCATAGCGAGCAGACTTATCCAGTCCGTATTTGCTGAACATTGGTTCTTTTCTGGCTGTGGTATTAAACGTTGTGGAAAGTGGAAATAGAGTCTTGCACGTTGTGAAATCCAAAAATCACAAGGTACGTCCAAATAGTTCGAATAAATCAGGGTAGTTATAGAAGGAATTTCATTATATTAGTTGGTGCTGGCTATTTGGTCCGGACTGTTTGGTTTTACCCGAAATCGGACCGTATAATCCGGACCGGGATCGAATTGGGACCGGATAGCAAACAATCCAATCTCATATTCGGGCTTATATTTGAGGTAAAAAAAACTCGGATAAGAGACCCCCAACACCTAAAATCAAGATCAAATTGGAACCGGACCGAGTTAAGACCGAACCGGATCAAGACCGGACTGTATCCAATCCAATCTTTGATCCTTATATTCCTGAAAAGACCGGACTGAGACTGAATCAATTTGGTCCAATTTAACCGGACCGGACCGTATACCCACCCCTAATATTAGTATAGGATTGTTTTTGGAGAGATCATTAAGCATAACATTATTATTTTAGTGAAATCCTTCCTCTCATATTCTTCCTTTTCTCTGTAGAGTCCTCCCTCCCAAAACCCCCTTTCATTCTTCTTCTCTTCTCCTCCCACGTCGAGAAACCTTTCTTCCTTCCTCAAAACCCCAAACTTCTTCTTTTCTTGACTAGAAATCCAATTGCATACACCTCTCAAGACCCACGCCTACAACACATTCATGGTTGAATCAAATCAATCTCTAATCCCCCAAAAAAAAAAAAAAGCTTTTCTCATCCAAATTCTCCATTTAAATCTCTGAATCTCTATCTCTCAATTCCCAATTCCCATCATCCAATCCAACTCCCAGTTCAGTGACCCGATTATGAACGCCCTAGATCCGAGTTTCCAACACTTCGTAATTATTATTGGTAATGAATAAGGAGTTTGTTGGATTTCAAATACTACAAAATGAACGGATCGAAGGAAAAAGAACATGAAATACTTCGAATAAGCAAAAACCAGAACACAAGTGGAGATCCAATGAAAGCCCTAAATCGACCACGATCTATGAATGTCAAAAGGTGAGCTAGGTTTTACACATCTTCGTGTCACCTTCCAATCCAAAGTCCTTTGCCTTCTCCTTAAACTCATCCAGCATCTTTTCAACCACGTCCATGAACGCAACTTCCGCTTTTCGGGAGTAGGCTCCCGCCGCCGCATTTTCTCTGATCACAATTGTATACTCCTCCATTGCTTTCATGACCCTCACCTTCTTCGAGTGCTCGTCATCCTCCGACTTGTGCTTCTCTCCTTGTCGAGCCATCTCCTCCACCTCCTCCACCGTCGACAAAAGCTTTCCTTCGACCCCGACGCCCGGTTTGCTCATGGTCACCTTCCGGCCGGTCGATTTGTCCTCGGCAGACACGTTTAGGTTGCCATTGGCATCGATGTCGAGGCAAACCGTGATATTTGCAACGCCCCTGGGAGCTGGCGGGATACCCCTGAACGGTAGGGCACAAAGGAGTTTGTTGTCACTTGCCCTTTTTCTTTCACCTAGGTAGAACTTTAAGTACATGGATTCCTGGTTGTCCAACGCGGTGGTTGTGACAAACTCGAACTTCTTGGTTGGGATGGTGGTGTTCTTTGGAATTCGCACTAACAATTCGTCGCAGCAATGAGCCGAACTGATAGACAGCGGAGTCTTGTCATAGACGAGATCCTCGTGATCAATGGTTTTCATCACCTCCTAAATTCGATCATTGTGATAGTAAATCACAATGAGTAATCGATATATTAATCGTTCGATCGTGCCGAGACGATCTAAATATGAGCAAAATTACTATCCAAAAAAGGAGTGTGCAAAAATATTCAAACACGAACCTGCTGGTTGTTCTGTTTTAGTGATTCCACATCATCGCCATGCGGCGGCTTCACGTAGCCGGCTGCTTTTGCTTTGCTGTTTTGAGCCCCCATTTTGTCTCTCTCACTCTCTCTCTGTGTTTGCGAATGAATGCGCACCAATTACTAATCTGCTTCCAGTATTAGGGTTTTTCCAAGGTAACGAGGCTCAGAGATATACATTGAATCAATACAGGATCAACAGAAATATATCCCAGATTTGCGTTCGTTGTACCAGACTCCTAATTACAAGCCGGAATTAAACAAGCACAACTAATGCGTCAATTAAATCAATCAAGGGAACTTCTATCACTTCTCTTGATCACCTGACAGTAATGTTTAGGGCAGTAAGCTTGGCTCCAGATACCCACTCACCTGGGCCCAATTGACTTTTGAGAGAGTCGGGCTGAGTTAATTTGTCCACTAAGTATCGAGTTATTTTTTGATCCTGTAAGGATTGAATCAACTTAGGGCCGGATCAGTTTTTGACCTTATGATCCATCGCAACAACGAGTGATACAAAATTTCTCATACGACACCTGCGTCTGCGTGCGTAGGTTGTTTTGGTTAGTATGAGGATATCGGACAACATCTGCATCGCGATTGCGGCAATGCCGCTTGTCGTCTGCGTCTGCCTCGTGTTGCACGAGTTGCCGGAGTTGGCAAGAGAAGCTCTTCTGTGCTCCGGCCTTGTGCTCACGATGTGCGGTCTCGGATGGCTGATGCAACGAATCATCATCAAGCTCATGAACAAACTTTTCGAGTCGCGATCCAGTTATCAAACAGAGAATCCTCGAGATGGAGAAGATCAAGGCAGCCTATCTGCCTAGTTTGTGTTAGAAATAAGTTCTCCTAGTTTGTTGCGTGTGATTACCCAATCAAAAGTTACAACCGCGCGCGTAAGAAGAAAACCGATTTTTTTTTTCTTTGCTTCTTCTGTGGTGTTCTTGTCAAGAGAACCAGTTGATTTTAATAACTCGAGTTGTTTGAAGAGGTTCAATCGTGAATATCATATATCACTTGCTAAAAGTCCTCTGCCGACTTTGGGGTCAGGTTCAATGGGTCGATGGTCGATATACTAACATCAGTTATTAATTCTAATTAAGCAAAATTAACCCCAAATAAAACTAGGGTTGAGCCCCCATCTCCCTCTACAACAACAAATCTGCGCCGACAATTGCTTCCAGTATTAGGGTTTCCAAGGCTACGAACCTGAGAAGTGATTGACAGCAAAAATACCCAAACACATACACACAAACATTTTATTTCCCAGATTGCGTTTGTTGTAACAGACTCCTAGCAAGTCTGAAACGCAACTAATTAATTACCTACTACTGAAGGTAGTGGACAACTTTTAACTACTTCTAATTATCAAAAAAAAAATATATCACTCGTGTAGTGGTGTTCCAATTTTATTTAATATGAAAATTATGTTACGCCATATGATCGATACATTTGTGTGATTTGTATCTTGTCATTTTCAATGAACATTAGAGATAACAATGGACCAGTCGGTGTTCAAATTTCAAAGAGATGTTTGACTTTTGTTGACGTGCATCTTGTCAATTCCTGCGGGATTGCACATGGCTAAACAACCAATTCCCGTGAGCAAAAACACAACAATAGAGATCCAATGATGATAGATCTGCAAGTCCAAAAATTTTGAAGCCCTAACAACCGACCACGATCTATTAATTAATCTCAAAGATGAGCTAAGGTTTTCACACATGCATCTTCCTGTCACCTTCCAATCCAAATTCCGTTGCCTTCTCCTTAAACTCGTCCAGCATCTTGTCAACCACATCCCTGAACCCGTCCTCCGTTTTTCGGGAGTAATCCCCCGCCGCCGCGTTTTCTCTGATCACGATTGCATACTCCTTCATTGCTCTCATGGCGTTCACCTTCTCCACGTACTCGTCATCCTCCGACTCGTGCTTCTCTCCTTGTCGAGCCATCTCCGCCACCTCCTCCGCCGTCAGAAGCTTTCCCTTCACCCCGACGCCCGGTACGCTCATGGTCTCCTTCCGCCCGGTCGACTTGTCCTCGGCGGACACGTTCAGGTTGCCCTTGCCGTCGACGTCGACGCAAAACGTGATCTCCGCCACACCGCAGGGAGCGGGCGGGATACCCTTGAATTCTAGGGTTCCAAGAAGCTTGTTGTCACTCGCCTTTGCTCTTTCGCCTTGGTAAAACGATAACTTCATGGATTCCTGGTTGTCCAACGCGGTGGCCATGAAAAACTCGAACTTGTTGGTTGGGATGGTGGTGTTCCTTGGGATTTGCACCCACAATTCGTCGTAGACACAAGCCGAACCGATGGACAGCGGAGTCTTGTCGTAGACGAGATCCTCGTGATCAATGGTTATCACGGCCTCCTGAATTCGATTATCATGTATTAGCAATGATAATGATGACCGATCACTACAAGGAAATAAGAGCAAACTGCGATCCAAATAGAAGGTACAACAATAATAATAATAATACTTGAGACGAACCTCTTTGTTCTGTTTGAGTGATTCCTCATCATCGCTGTGCGTCTTTGTATAGCCAGCTGCTTCAGCTTTGCTGTTGTAAGCTCCCATCTCTCTCTTTATGCACTATGTAAAATCGTATTATATCCAGATGATAGTGAATTAGTGATTACTCAAGCATTTGGTGAATATTGACATAATTGCTTGGATGGATGTATATACAAGGAATCATTGGGAATTTAGTTTGTGAGATGAAAGACGTTGTAGGGTGATGATGTAATAGGATGATAAAATCACTTCTCTCTCAACGCCGTTCCTTTCTAAAATTACATCCTAATTGTTATCTCACCTTTAAATCTTCCATGTAATTTTCAGTTGTACGTTGCAAACAGGTTTATTTCGTTGTGTCGAAATATCAGGTGGTAGCGGTTCCAGCGGAGTCCAACAGGTTCATAACGGTTTAACAAAATATATAGAAATGTGAAAAATCATTTCACATCAAGTGAATTTAAGCATATATAAAGCATATTTCAAGACAGTTATACTTGAATTCAACAAATAGCATCAACATTTAACTTTCTAATTCATGAAATAAAAAAAAAAAATTTATCGATTAAATTCATTAAAACGACTGTTTAAATGTCAGAAATCAATCATGCATATTATCCAGGTGGTAATCATATCGATTTCATAACTGATACCGATTATTCAACCAGCCGACATGCCAATGACATTATAACACTGCTATAAAGACATACTCTCAATCACCGAAAAATCCAAATAACGTAGCCCGGACCATTTTTCTAGTTAATTAATTAAGGAAGGGATTTTAATTACTGATAACCCGTAAATCCTCAACCGGGGGGCCGTCCTCTGAAAAAAAGAAGTGACAACTCCTATCAGTTCTCATCACTATGATAGTAATAGTGACAACACCGGCCATCATATTCCCATCATATCAAGAAATTACCATGATAATAATTATATCGTAATGTGACAGTGGCAAGATACTATGAATTTCTTTAACCAAAAATTATCAAATGGACATCATCTTGTAGTACAAAAATTATAATTTTCTACGCAAATATTTTTATATCCGATGTAGAACAAATTAGCGAGGTATCATCCTTGATCACATGGCTCTCCTACTTGCAGTAGGTAGGGGTGGCTATTTGGACCGGGATCGGATTAAAAACCGGAAACCGGACCGTATAACCCGGACCGAGATCGGATCGGGACCGGATAGTAAACAATTCAATCCAATCTTTGGGCTTAGATTTGAGGTAAAAAACCGGATAAAGACCGGATAAGAGAGCTCAACACCCAAAACTTAAGGGTAATTTGGATAAACGGTCACAAACCTTTGCACTTAGTACAAAACTTAACCAACTTCTCACCCTTTAAGGCCTTAGGCCACTCAAATCCCACAATCTCAATGTAAAATCAAGACCGAATTGGGACCGGACCGGATCAAAACTGGACCGGATCAAGACCAGACTGTATCCAATACAATCTTTGGTCATTATATTTTCAAAAAGACCGGACTGGACTGAATCAATTTGGACCAATTTAACCAGACCGGACCGTATAGCCACCCCTAGCAGTAGGTACGTAACTTCTTCCCATCTTGTTGTTGTTGTCATCATCATCTACCCTTGCATTGATTGTTATTACTAACAAGAAGAAACTTTGAAATTACCATTCGCACTAAACAAGCCAAGGAGTTAATCGGATTTCAGACACTATAAAATGAACCGACGAAGCAAAAAAGAAGAACAAATAGAAATAGTTCGAATAAGCAAAAGCAAAATCCATTTCCCTAACTACGTACCGACCACGATCTATTAATTCATTTCAATCAGATGAGCTAGCTAGGTTTTACACATGCATCACCTTCCAATCCAAAATCCTTCGCCTTCTCCTTAAGCTCGTCCAGCATCTTTTCAGCCACAACCCTAAATTCGTCTTCCGCTTTTCGGGAGTAGGCTCCCGCCGCCGCATTTTCTCTGATCTTCATTGTATACTCCTTCATCACTTTCATGACAATCACCTTCATCAGGTACTCGTCATCCTCCGACTTGTGCTTCTCTCCTTGTCGAGCCATCTCCACCACCTCCTCCGCCGACAAAAGCTTTCCTCTGACCCCGACGCCCGGTATGCTCATGGTCTCCATCCGGCCGGTCGACCTGTCCTCGGCAGACACGTTCAGGTTGCCCTTGGCATCGATGTCGACGGAGACCGTGATCTTTGCAACGCCCCTGGGAGCGGGCGGGATACCCTTGAACTCTAGGGCACCAAGAAGTTTGTTGTCACTTGCCCTTGTTCTTTCACCTTGGTAAAACGCTATCGCCATGGTTTCCTGGTTGTCACTCGCGGTGAACGTGACGAACTCGAACTTCTTGGTTGGGATGGCGGTGTTCTTTGGGATTTCCACCCACATTTCATCGTAGCTATGAGCCGAACCGATAGACAGCGGAGTCTTGTCAAAGACGAGATCCTCATGATCAATGGTTTTCATCACCTCCTGAATTCGATATCATGTATTAGCAATGATGATGATCGTTGTATGCATGCGAGCGAGACTACAGGAAATAAGAGCAAACTACGATCCAAAAAGAAGGGTGCAACAATAACATATATACTTGAAACGAACCTCTTTGTTCTGTTTGAGTGATTCCTCATCATCGCCATGCGTCTTTGCGTAGACAGCTGCTTCTGCTTTACTGTTGTAAGCCCCCATCTCTCTCTCTCTATGCACACCAAACAAATCTGCGCCTATATATGCTTGCTTCAAGGATTAGGGTTTCGAAGGCTACGAGCCTCAGAGATATATTGCGTTTGTTGTAACAGACTCCTAACAATTCTGAAATGTTCTACCCACTTCTAATTATCACCTGGCTGGCAGTAATGTTGTACCCCAGCTTTCTATTTTCGGCTATTTTATTTCAATATGACAATCATATGATACTTTTCTATCGTTCGTATCTTGACGCTTTCGTTGAACGTTAGAAAAAAAAACGATTGACAAGACGATGGTAAAAAAATGGTGACTTTCGCTGATGTGGTGAAAAAGATATATGTCACGTAATTGACAAATAAATGTTTTAACTCGAAAATCAAATTGAAATACAATAAAATTAAAAAAATCCCTTCCCAGCCCATTGACTTCTTGCCCCATCACTGCAGCCGGAGCTCCCACTAATGTCGGCAATCTTCAACCATGTAATCATCCCCAAAAAATCACCCAGCTAGATCAAATCTTCTCCCATCTAATCATCCAATATGATTTTGTCGTCCTATCGTAATTATAGGTTTGTTATTAGTATTCGTTAATTATAGTGGTGACGAGTAATAGTACCACATTAGTCATGCTAGAGAATTGACCTGCGTTTTGCAGCGGGATCATATGTTATCTGAAATTTGAGATCAATTGCATCGTTGTGCCATTTGTTGGGAAAACGAACCTTTAATTTTGTGCCCTAAGTACTGTAGCCACCAATTAAATTGTTCAGGGTATGAGAGAGATGATTTTGTAAAACCTAAATAGCATACAGAGTCTCTCAAAAAATTTACACTTAAAAATCGTATTAGTTATATTTTTCAAAATGACATCCACTTCGATATATATTGAAACATAAAAATTGTGACTTTTGTTATCAGTCCATATATACCATTCGCTACTATGAGTATACCACGCAGTATGAAAGTGAATCATGGTGGTATAAACACAGGAAAGTGTAGAATGACGGTATACATGGTAGAATAAATATATTAACCGTCATATAAAACTTTTTATCAACCTATACCACTAGAACCCACAATGTACCAGGGTGGAATTTTTTGCCCTGAAAATTTTTTCGGAAATATTTGTAGATTTAATGGATCAAGAAGAACTCGTTCCCTCTAGGAAAAAAATTCAAATTTTGAGGTAAAAACCAAGGTGGTAACCTATGGTAAGGGTTGAAAATAGATCTCATTTTGTAGATCATAACGAGCCCGTTTCCTTTGTGCAAATTTTTATGAAATTCAAATTAAAACGATGAAGATAAAAGTCAATTAATAAAACTAAGGACAATAAAATGCTCTTTTATTCTCACCCCTTAAATCCAATCCCATTTAAAATCAAAGACACAACTCTTATTATGCAAGTGTGCACATTCAAGAGTTATACACCATACCTAAACCTCGACATTCTGCAAATTGAAGGAATTTGTAGAATCGCCATAATGTACCCATTGTGGTTTCAGTAACTTTAGGTATTTTTTTATATTAGAATTAGGGTTGTAATAAAAGTAAGTAGCTTTATTCTATATAACCCTATTGTGGTTTCAGGAATAATGAAGCCTAATTATGATTGCGTATTTCTTCCTTCAGTGTAGTAGTTGGTAGCTGTTTTTGTGTTTGTTCTCGTCATTAAAAAGAGTTTCTATTCGAGAGTTCCTAGCGTTAAGTAGTTCGTACGGAACATATTAGAGGTACTAAAACAGCTACCGTCATTATTGGATCACTTGAATAATTAATCCCAACACCAGGAGAGAATCAGTCGCAATAAATAATTGAGAATTACAACTAAGATAATGGTAAATCAATATTTTGAAATCAAGGAATAATTATAAACTTTGTAACATACTGAGCAAATTAAACTAACGTAGAAAAGAAACAACAAATTATTATTCGATATAAACAAAAGAAACCCTAACCGATTGTACGAGAAAGCAAACCAATTCATATCCATCGAATAACAAGAAACTTGGAAACATACTGGAGCAAGCTTAGAAAAGAAACAGCAGCAAAGTATTCGAATAAATAAAACAAAAAAGCAAAACACAGACAGAATATTATCTATCAGTCCCAAAAACTAGTTGAAACCCTAGGGTTTTACACAATGCTTCGTCTTCTTGTTACCTTCCAGTCCAAACTCCTTTGACTTCTCCGTGAACTCATCCAACATCGTTCCGGCCACATCCTTAAATGCTACGCCCACTTTTCTAGAGTAGGCTCCGGCCGCCGCGTTCTCTCTTACCACGACCATGTAATCATTCATCGCTTTCATGACGTTCACCTTCTTCGAGTGCTCCTCGTCCTCCGACTTGTGCTTCTCTCCTTGTCCAGCCATCTTCTCCACCTCCACCGCCGACAGAAGCTTTCCTTCGACCCCGACGCCCGGTATGCTCACAGTCTCCTTCCTGCCCGTCGACTTGTCCTCGGCAGACACGTTCAGATTGCCCTTGGCGTCGATGTAACCGCAAACCTTGACCTTTGCAACGCCCCTGGGAGCGGGAGGGATGCCCTTGAACTTTAGGGCACCAAGAAGTTGGTTGGCACTTGCCTTCTTCCTTTCACCTTGGTAAAACCCTATAACCATGGTTTCCTGATTGTCGTACGAGGTGGTATAGCTTGTCTCGAACTTGTTGGTTGGGATGGTGGTCTTCTTTGGGATCTGCACCAGCATGTCGCCGTAGCTATCATCCGAACCGATAGACAGCGGTGTCTTGCGGTAGACGAGACGACCCTGAATCATCGGCGGCGTGCTTGCTTCTGCTTTGCTGGTTCGAGCACCCATCTCTCCCTATGCGAATGCAAACGAACAAATCTGCGCCGATATATGAGTTGCGCGCGTACTTCCAGTTCCAGTAGTAGGGTTTTAAAGGCTCACGATCGAATTTTCCTCAAAGAGAGATAGATATATATACAGAATTGGCCGAATGCCATGCTTATCCGAAATACGGTCGTAGAAAGGAATCCTAACAACGCAAAAACACTACACCATTAACTTAAATTAATAAAGTATTATTTATCATATAATTAAAGTGAGCTTTTCCCAGCTTACGTGAAGGAACGACTTGGGCCGAGACGGGAATCAAATCAGCATGGGACCGGCCGGCTCCATGGCGCGGGTCAGATCTCAATGCTTAAGCCTATAAAGTTAACCAAATGTTTAAAGCATGAATATTGGCAGATAGGGATTTAGTTTTTTTTAAGTAGGAAGATGAGAGAAAGTTCCCGGTGGCGGATCCAGAAATTATATCAAGGGTATTCAACGATAAAAGAAAATCACTAAGCATTGTCGATGTAGTTTTGAGTTCAAATACTATCATCATTAAAGTAAAGTTCATAAAAGGAATTTTGTCCCACAATTGGAACAAGGTTTGTCAATTGACAAGCCTTGGACAACCTAGATCCGCCCCTCAAACCCCCCTGCTGCCTGGCTCTTAAATTAATCGAAACTGGGCAATGCCCAAAGAATCATAAAAGGTCCAAAAACACAGACCCAAATCATAAATGTTAAACAAGTGTGTTCCTAACTCAGCTGAGTGCCCTTTTGTAGGCGAGGTAATCTGCGGCTTTATTGCATTCCCTATAGAGTATGAGAGGTTTTTACCTCCCAATTTTGGTTCAAGAGATCCCTGATTTTCTATATCAGGATTTGGAAGCAGCAATCTTGTTGATTGGAGGTTATGAGATGGAGATGGAGAGCAGTGGTGGAGTCGACTTGGAGAAGAACTTTTCGGTGACCTGCCACGACCACGGGAAGAGATCCTGTAACTAAAGGGGAGTGCTTATTCACTATCACAACCAAGTTAGGCAATTGATCTTGTAGGCTTTCAAACATCCCATTATGTTTGGCCTGTGCTTTCGGCTCATCAATGCCTATTATTTTTTGCCCTAACAATAAGCATGGTCGTAATCGGTTGACCGTTTAACTGTCGGTTATTAATTAGCTATAAATTTAACTAGGGCTGGGCATGCGAGCGAATTACCCGCAGGTTTGAACCGACCCACCCGCATTTGACCAGAATTTAGCTATGTGGGTGGGTCTTTGGGAGGGTAACGGGTTGCTTTGGGAGCCATTCGCCGGGTGCGCGGGTGCGCGGGTAACCCGCTCAACTGGAGAAGAACTTTTCGGTGACCTGCCACGACCACAGGAAGAGATCCTGTAACTAAAGGGGAGTGCTTATTCACTATCACAACCAAGTTAGGCAATTGATCTTGTAGGCTTTCAAACATCCCATTATGTTTGGCCTGTGCTTTCGGCTCATCAATGCCTATTATTTTTTGCCCTAACAATAAGCATGGTCGTAATCGGTTGACCGTTTAACTGTCGGTTATTAATTAGCTATAAATTTAACTAGGGCTGGGCATGCGAGCGAATTACCCGCAGGTTTGAACCGACCCACCCGCATTTGACCAGAATTTAGTTATGTGGGTGGGTCTTGGGAGGGTAACGGGTTGCTTTGGGAGCCATTCGCCGAGTGGCGGGTGCGCGGGTAACCCGCTCAACCCAACTGCAAAAAGAACAAAGTCGTTGGTGTTGTAGAGGGGAGAGTGGAGACGTTAGACGGAAACTAGGGTTGCTCCAAGAGATTGAACCTCAAAGCCAACCTTCCAAATCGCGATCCCCTTTTTCCTTTTATTTTTTCCTCTGATTCTAGTGCTTAGATCACCTCTTTTTCCTCTATTGAATTATTTTTCTTAGTTCCCTGCACTTGATAATCATCTTCATCGGTTGAAAACTCCATAATAGAATTTCTATCCAATTTCAGAACTAATTCGACATTTTTTCTTCCTATTCCATTTTCTTGTTTCCGCCCTATAACTCTCTGCAGCGATTACCTTGTCAAGTTGACTCCTTTATATTATATATATTGTGATGTGGGTGAACCCACAAACCCACCCGCATCACCCACCATCCGCCCGACCCAACCCAAGACTAAATGTGGGTGTGTGCTGGGTTAAAATTTATCAATCCGTTTAATCGCACGTGGGTGAGTTTCATGGTTAAAATCCGCCCAACCCACCCAACACCCACCCCTAAATTTGACTGCCAAGAACCGACTTTTTATTATTATTTAATCATCAGTTACTGGTGTAATAGTTAACCATCGATTCCGGTTCGGTTATCGATCACACCCGTAACAGGATAATCGTTAACCAGCCCTAACTAGGTAGTAGCTAGCATATTACCCTAATCAAGGAGAAAGTATTTTACATTGTGATTGTACGCAGCAGCAAAAGAAACTTTGGAACATCCTGAGCCAACTTAGAAAAGAAACAGCAAAGTATTCGAATAAACAAGAGCAAAACACAATGAATATTGTCCGATGAATTTCTATACTTCCCAAACTAGTTGGAACCCTAACCGATCGTGCTTCGAATCCGATGATTGGATAATGTGCTAGGCTTCACACCTCTTCTTGTCACCTTCCAATCCAAACTCCTTTGCCTTCTCATTGAACTCGCCGAGCATCTTCCCAAACGCATCCCTAAATGCGTCGTCCGCTTTCCAGGAGTAGGCTCCAGCAGCCGCGTTCTCTCTGACCAGGTATGCATACTCCTTCATTGCTATCATGGCATTCACCTCCTTCGTGTGCTCTTCGTCCTCCGACTTGTGCTTCTCTCCTTGTCGGGCCATCTTCTCCACCTCCTCGGTCGTCAGAAACTTTCCTCTGACCCCGACGCCCGGTATGCTCATGGTCGCCTTCCGGCCGGTCGACTTGTCCTCGGCAGACACGTTCAGGTTGCCCTTGGCATCGATGTCGACGCAAATCTTGACCTTTGCAACGCCCATGGGAGCGGGAGGGATGCCCTCGAACACCAGGACGCCAAGAAGTTGGTTGGCGCTTGCCTTCTTTCTTTCACCTTGGTAAAAAGATATCTTCACGGATTCCTGGAAGTCAGACGCGGTGGTTGAGACAAATTCGAACTTCCTGGTTGGGATGGTGGTGTTCTTTGGGATTCTCACCAGCATGTCGCCGTAGATATTATCCGAACCGATAGACAGCGGTGTCTTGGGGTAGACGAGATCCTGAATTAATGATCGATCATCGAACCGTCATATAAAAGAGACTAAGGTACTTTGAAAATTAATAATCATCGATTAACACTTGAAACGAACCTGTTTGTTCTGTTTGAGTGATTCCTCATCATCGCCGCCATGCGCCTTTGCATAGGCAACAGCTGCTTCTGCTTTGCTGTTTTGCGCCCCCATCTCTCTCTCTCTCTCGAGACAAAATCTGCGCCTATATATACTTGCTTCCAGAATTAGGGTTTTCTGAGATATATTGAATCAATACAGAACTGACAGAAAGGAAACCTAAAAACACACAAATGTATTATATATAACGCAGACTGCGTTTGTTTGTTGTAACAGACTCCTAATAAGTGAGAAACACAACTACTTAATTAATAATTTAATTAAGGAAGTAGACAACGTCTTGTATCACTTCTCATGATCACTTGACATTAATGGTGAAGATTAATGTGGATGCGGCGTGCTTGGAAGATTAATGGTGAAGATTAAGTGTGGGCTACTAACACACCTTGTTTCCTTGTACCTCTTCTTAGAGAGGATGAAACCTTTGATTAAATAATTGAAAGCAGTTTTCCATAAAAATAAAAAAAATGTACCTGGGTATTGGGTCGTGCTTGGCCGGCACGGCACAGGTATGTTTCTCTATTGTCGTGCTTGGCACGGCTGGTAGGCTTTCGTTTCGTGCCATCGCAGCCCATTTTTCTAAACTTTCTACGCACATCAGGTACGGTTTGTTAGTGTTGTGCCTAATAGTGTTCTTGTCGTGCTAGTATTCATGTTTAATGAAAAGGAAGAAAATGAAAGAGAAATTGAAAAGAAGGAGAAAATTGGACGATGAAAGTATCAGTTGAAAATATTTGAGAAAAATAACAATGAGGGGGGAAGAAGAAAATTGATAGCGAGTGCGATTTTTTTGATTCTTCGATCATTTTTACTTATGGTAGTAATTACATATGTATCTTTATAATTACTTCTACTCCTAGCCAGCGAGTCATGTCTCTCTCTTCTGGAACTCTACCGAGGAGCCGACACTGCTCCTAAGGCTGACATGCACGACCGCCGCCCACTTGACATCGACCTTTCCCCTGTTTCTACTACAAGAAAAAGGCTCATTGATCACGGAAAAAATTCGTCGTTTTTAAGCAAATATTCGTTGTTAATAGTAGGGATGACAATTTCGATATAACCCGCTTTACCCGGCCTGTTTGGCCTATTTTGTGGTGGGTAGAACCTGCCCCGTAGGCGGGACGGGGAGGTCATGGGTACCTCTCATCGAGCCGACCTGTCCTGACTCGCCGCATTCTCGACCCGTTCTTGCCTAAATTACATGTAACCCTAGTCAAAATACTTAGGTTTTGCCTTATTAATACCTCATATTTTAGCTATAATGAAGTTGTAAATAATTGAAAAGCTCAATTTCTCCAATAATTTAACTACATTCTATAATATTATGGTTGGTTTTTTTGGTCTTTTAATGAAATAACAACTATGAAAAGTTAATGGTTGGCCATTAAATTATTTTTGGAAAGAACTGACTATTATTTTGTTTAAAACGAAAGATTTGACTATTATATTGTATTTACCTTATTTTTATAATCCTTGTAGTACTAAAAAACTATTAGCGTTATCGAATCGGTAAATTCGCTATTAAATAATTAAGGATGTACTCATTGATTTGACTCTAATCATTAGATCGTTTCCACGAAACCTTGTGCGGACTGAACATTTAGCACCAAAATAACAACAAGAAGCTTTAAAACATACAGAGCAAACAGTTTACTGAATTTCAAATACTATAACAACTCGAACCGATAGAAAAGAAACAGCAAATTATTATTCGAAATAAACAAAGGCAACACATAATGAATATCCATACATCCCAATAATTTTAGAAAATCTACACGTCCCAAACTAATCGAAAGTAAGAAACCCTAACCGTAACGAGCTAGGTTTCGCACCTCTTCTTGTCACCTGATTGTAACCCAAACTCCTTTGACTTCTCCGTGAACTCATCCAACATCGTTCCGGCGACACCCTTGAATGCTTGGCGGACTTTTCCAGAGTAGGCTCCGGCCGCCGCGTTCTCTCTTACCACGATCATGTAATCATTCATCCCTTTCATGACTTTCACCTTCTTCGAGTGCTCCTCGTCCTCCGACTTGTGCTTCTCTCCTTGTCCAGCCATCTTCTCCACCTCCACCGCCGACAAAAGCTTTCCTTCGACCCCGACGCCCGGTATGCTCATAGTCACCTCCCGACCGGTCGATTTATCCTCGGCAGACACGTTCAGGTTGCCCTTGGCATCGACGTTGACGCAGACCGTGATCCTTGCAACGCCCCTGGGAGCGGGTGGGATGCCCTTCAACACTAGGGTACCAAGAAGTTTGTTGGCGCTTGCCTTCTTTCTTTCACCTTGGTAAAAACATAACTTCACGGCTTCCTGGTTGTCCAACACGGTGGTTTGGATTAACTCAAACTTCTTTGTTGGGATGGCGGTGCTCTTTGGGATTTGCACAAACATGTAGTCGTAGACACAAGACAAACCGATAGACAGCGGAGTCTTGTCATAGACGAGATCCTGAATCAATTCATCATGCAATAATCCGACGTCAATGTAAATTGTAAAGTAATTATTTGTCAAGAACCTGTTTGTATAGTAATATTAACACTTGAAACGAACCTGTTTGTTCTGTTTGAGTGATTCCTCATCATCGCCATTCGCCTTTGCATAGCCGGCTGCTGCTTCTGCTTTGCTGTTTTGCGCCCCCATCTCTCTCTCTCTCTCTCTCTCACAACAAAACCTGCGCCTATATTTGCTTCCAGTATTTGAATCAATACAGAATCGACAGAAATAAACCTAAACGCACACAAAAATATATATATCCTAGATTGCGTTTGTTTGTTGTAACAGACTACTAACAAGCTAAGTCAGAAACACAACTAATTAATTAAATAATTACATAATTAAGGAAGTAGACAACTTCTATCACTAGTCACGTCAAATCGGTTTAAATCATTGAGCCGGTCAAGCTAGAATTTTGAGATTTATTGGTCTCATCAGGGTCCTTCCGGTTTGAGTCGTTTTATACGTTTTTCTTTTTGTTAATTTTTTATATGTTTTCTAAATATATATAGAAATAAAGTAGTATAAAAAAATTAATTACTGAAATGAAATTAATTTTACATATATCTATTAAAAACTTATTTCCCACCAAATAAAACTCTCTAACCTTCATGACCACCCAACCATCTTCCTTCCTACTTTCCCCCTCCTTCCTTCCCTCGATCTCTTTTCTTCTCCCTCCATATGGGTCAGACCAGAAAGCTTTCTGAAGGCCATTTTAAACTCGACTTAGGTCGACCGGGTCCAACCGGGGACCCGATAGGGGTTTAACAACTACTTCTCATAATCACTTGAGAGTAATGTTTGTACTTGGGTATTGGGCCAGTGTTTGGGCTGACATGGCACGTACGGGCATTTTTTTTCTCTTGTCGTGCTTGGTGTCAAGAACCAGTTGCTCCCAATAACTCGAGTTGTTGGGAAAGGTTCGATCGTGGATCATATACCACAACACTAACACGCCCCCTCAAACGAAAGCCACTCACAAGGGCTTGAAGTTTGCACAGGTCTGAAGACAAGAATACCATGTGCTTAACAAATGGGGGTCACCGGGAATCGAACACAAGACCTCTCGGTCACAGAAGGCTCTGATACCATGTCAAGAACCAGTTGGTCCCAATAACTCGAATTGTTGGGAGAGGTTAAATCATGGATCATATACCACAACACTAACACGCCCCCTCAAACGAAAGCCACTCACAAGGGCTTGAAGTTTGCACAGGTCTGAAGACAAGAATACCATGTGCTTAACAAATGGGGGTCACCGAGAATCGAACACAAGACCTCTCAGTCACAGAAGGCTCTGATACCATGTCAAGAACCAGTTGCTCCCAATAACTCGAGTTGTTGGGAAAGGTTCGATCGTGGATCATATACCACAACACTAACACTTGGCACATTCCATTAGTCGTTCCCTCCTTGTTCATTTTACAAATTCGCTCGTCCATATATGGGTATAGTTTGAACGGTGTCGTGCCCAAAATATATGTGATCATTTTAGTTAATTAATAAATCAACTCCATAATATAAATAGACTAAATTCAGCTCCCGCTGACAAGTGGAGCAGTCACTACTCCTTCAGCTTCTGTCTACTCTCTCGGTCTTGTTTCAAACTTCCAAGCGGAAACCGGCGAGCTGCCGGCCGCCGTTAACGATGCCGAGTAACTACTTCAAGCGGCCGGAAATCGTTGTCAAGGGAAAGCAGAGTCCACTTCTCAGTTCTAACATCGATTCACTGTTTGTAAGGTATGTAATACATTATGCTCTCCTAACCCTTTTCCCCTAATTTGCTACTGAAGGTTTTAACCTAAAAAGAAAAATCCCCAATTCTTAACACTCCAGAGAGACCATAACCATAGCTTCAGCATTTCTCAAATTAAAGTGATGCTAGTGAGTGGGTATCGCTAAGATGTGAGCTTAAAGCGAAAGCTAAGCGATTTTTGGGTTTTGAGTAATCATGAGACGAAGCAGATTGGTGGCAGATCAAGAGAGCTCCATAGCGCTGTTTCTTCACCTGTGGTGCTTTGTGGGTTCTGCTGCTGTTTATCTACCATAACAAAGCTTTCATCTTTATCTTCTTTGGCCAATACCCTCTGCTCTATTTCCTGACTCTGTTCTTTGTTGTTCCTTCTGCAGACATTCTGTAGATTGGATAAATGTTCAGACGGAGATGACACTGCGGACCCACTAAGCTGCAGCCTCAAGCACTCTGGGATCCCATGGAAAGCATACAGAGAAGCCGAGAACTTCCTCTCGTACTTCATCCGCTTCATTGCTGCTCTTAGCTGCATTGATGGCTCGTCGTCATCAACGCCATTATTGTTGCTCTGATGATATGACTCCAGCACAGGCTCCTCCTGAATCTCTTGAGCGATCTCGAACGGAGAGTAGTGAGCTGCTGCAGCGCCGGAGGGTGCTCCAAGGTCGTTGACGAAATTGAAATCCAAATCCAAATCGCCACCCTGATCACCTACATGTTGCTGTAGTACTGCATTGGAATCGAATGGCTGGTAAAAGTTACTATCATAACAATTGCCTGTATCCCATCCTGTTACTGCTGCTGCTGCTGATGTTGATCTGCTATCCACAATCTCATAGGAAAAATCATCCTTTAGATCACCGCTCATACATAATGTTGACTCAACAATGCTTGCTTCCACGTAAGGATGTTTGGTTGTTGTAGTTATCCCAATGCTGGTGATGGGGATGACGTTTGTGAAATTGTTGAAGAAACCTGTGAATTCGGTAGGGGCTGCTTCTTCTTCTTCATCTTCATCGACCTGACCTTCTTGTGTTCCTCTAATGACGTATTGTTGCTGATTCTTCTGCTGCTGCTTGTTGACGACCATTGAAGAGGAGGAGGAAGAGAGATGACGGCTGGTGTTTTGAGCATTGAGGCGCTGGAGCAGAAGTTTGGTGATCTTGGAAGGCAATGCAGGAGGCTGTGATGGGGATGAAGAAGAGGAGGTAGGAGAGTGGTGGTGATGACGATGAGGATCAGCAGAAGGCCAGAAATTGGTCCTCGTGTTAGCACCACGAAGTAAGCAGGCGGCTTCATCATAAGCTCTTGCAGCTTCTTCTGCCGTGTCGAAGGTACCTAACCACACCCTGATCTTCTGAATTGTGTCTTTGATCTCTGCAACCCATCTCCCGGATGGCCTTTGCCTCACTCCCACAAACCTCTTCCTCCCTCTCCTCCCTCCTCCTCCTGTTGCTTCACTCACCATTTCTTCCCAGGCCATACCATCCTCCTCCACCTGGTCATCACCATCATCATGGAACTCATCACTCCCTTGCCTTTGTTGCTCCTGCTTCAGCATTGTTTCAGCTTCCGCAGCCCCAGCTTTTCTCTTTCTGCCCATCTTCCCCTTATCTTTGACTCCTTGATGTTTCTTTTGAACTTCTGTTTGTTTCTGCACAACCCAAATACTATAGACAGTTGGTTTTGTGGTTTCTTCTTTAATCTCCCTCTCTCACTTTGGTTCTGTGGTGGTAATGGGGATTATATAACAATGGGGGATAGGTTCTTCCTACTTATCACTGTTATCAGTAATGAATTGAGGTTTCATTGTCAAGACAAAGGGAGCTACAGGGGAAGAATCTTAGAAGGGAGGGTTTCATATAACTTGTTCAAATTAAACACTGTTGTTCTTTTCCCATCCAGCTCTGCTGTTTCCATGTGAGGCAACATATGGAGCCTCCCCTTCCATTTCGATTTCTAGCTGTCCCAAATGGCAAAACCTTGAGTGAAATCAAACATTTTATGTCAGTTATTCTATTGTGTAGTGTTTCTTTGACCTGGTTAGAACGGCTGATCCACTAAGCCCTGCCTTTTTGTATCTCACTTAGTGTTGTGGCCTGCTGTCTGGGATTCCTTTGTTCAATTGCGTTTAGAGTAAACCAACATATAGATGGAGCCAAAGCCAAACTTTAGCAAGGTTTGTCTGGCTGGCGTGATGGTGATCGAACCTAGTTATTGTTTGGCTTCAATGTATTTTGTAAAGACTAAAGAGTAATGTTTGCATCGCAGTGCCTAGTGAAGTCATCAACTACTGAAGTGCAATCCCAATCCAAGTTTAGGCCAGCCCAAGACCAAAGAACTGGCCCAAACTCACTCTACATGCAAACTTCAGCCCAAGAATAGATTTAGCCCATTACAAAATTTCAGCCCATTCCACCACCCTCACTCTATAGAGCATACAATCCAAATCGTTGTTACCGCCCTCGGACAAAGTTAAAGAAAAATTTCCGTCTTGGGAACAAATTACTCAGAACTTCTCAAAAAAAATTCCCATTTCTGTCGTTTCCCCAACTTCGAATTCCACCCAATCCCTATATTTTCACCTTCAAAACCTTTGAAGAAACAAAAACACTCAGAACGTTACATAATAATGATGATGATGATGAAGTACTGCTCCACGTCTACATTACTCTTTCTACTTCTCTTCCCCTCCATCCCATTCCCACGAAACGCCGTCGTCGTGGTGGACGCGCGAGTCGTCAGAAAGGCGAGGCTGACGCTCGTCAGCTTCGCCACGGTCTGGGAAGAAGACGGCGGGTGGGTCTCGCGGGGATGCGACTCCGGCGCCGTCGTCGGGGACAAGGAGAAGGTGGTGGCCTTGTCTTCGAGTTGGTTCGACAAGGGGCGGAGGTGCAACAAGTACGTCAGGATCACCGGCGGCGACAGCGGCCGGACGGTGACGGCGAGAGTGGTCGGCGAGTGCGACGCGTCGCTGGGTTGTGACGGCGATGTGATTGATGCCTCGAGGGCGGTTTGGATGGGGTTGAAGGTGGGTTCCAGGGATTGGGGACGACGTCGTTTGTATGTTTCGTGGTACGATGCTTGATTATTGATAATGCTTTTTCTCTCGTTGTAATCTGAATCTCCCTCGTTATTATTCATTTATAGATCGTATATCCACGAATGTGTTTCTCTATTTGGATTCACATTTTATTGCGGTCGTTGTACACGCCTTTTTAAACGAAAAAATTAAACTCATGAGTTTGAAGTTTACACCGTTCTAAAAAGGTGCTGCTCTCGGTGTGATTGTTGTCTCTCGTCTTCTACAAACTCCCACGGCAAAGCTAACAAGAGCCGTCTGATGAACTGGCCAATGCATGCATGGTCAATCTTGTCACTTTGTTAGTGCCGTCTTGATAAGGATTTGATTGACAGTTCTATTTACTCCACTTAAATATATTGAGTGTTATGAAAATATTATTATCATTATGGATGACCAACATTAGATGCTCCATGGTATGTTACAAGTTCTATGTAACTCATCTCCTTATATTTATATGACACATTAGATGCACAATTGGGTGTTACATGTAACCCCCCACCCCATTTCTATATCACATTCATTCTCACATTCATGTATATTGATTGTAAGAATGTAGAGGTTATGTGATGTGTGCCTATAAATAGATGATCTCCTTGTACTAAGGAATACATGAATAAGAAAGCTCTATTCCCCCACTCTTCTTGTGTCTCTACTCTTACTCTTATGTCTATTGCTCTTCCTTGCTATTTTACAACACGTTATCAGCACGAGCTCTGCCAAAGTAATGGTTGGTCATTGTCTCTCTACATAATCACATATACTTGAGTAAGATCACAACACGATCAAGGTATGCAAATTTTCATGCCATTTCTTGTTAGTATGTTTATCTATCTCATTGTCTTTGAGGGATTATTTGATCATGTTATTTGTTTATATTATTTTATATATGTCGATCTCGTAACATGGAGTTTGTGCTTGGACATTATCAGATAATGAAAATTGCTCCTGTAGTAGCAAAATCATTATGGGTTGACTTATCGATTGCTACATTCGACATATAGAGAAATGAAAGTCTAACGATCTCATTTTCCCCCGAAGTGGAAAAATGAAGAAAAAATGTGTCAAATGAAAGAAGTGGATCTGGTAACTAAATTATTGGAATATGAGTTACCATTGCGATGGGGGAAAATCATTGATCTTGTACCCGATGTATGAAAAGAATTTTTATTGGTCCAAGAATCAATGGAAGGAAAATGAAAATCTATATGTGCTCCTGCAGTAGCAATATTATGGAAGAGGGTTTATAAAACATAAGTTATTTCTTGTTTGTTAAAGGTGAAAAGTGTATTGGACTTGTGATGATGAGAAATATTATAAAATTTGATCCTAAGGCTGTTGTTTCATTCCTGGAAGCGAATGAAAACAAACCATTCTTAAAAGTGAATGGATCGAGACACACTATTATATTAATATAATTTGGTGTTTGGATAATGACAATCAGCAAAGGTATCTTTTCACCGGAAGTGAAAGATAAAATAATTATAAATGAGGATGATAATTCATGTAGCAAAAGTCATGATCATATACTGTAACCTTCGTATGCCGAAATGTGTTATGAAACACATATATGTTGTTGTTGTTGTTATTATTGTTATTATTATTATGTATGTTTTTTTATAGAATGAATATTTGCAAAAGTCAATACTGGTATTATATCATATAGTATGAAAGTAAGCAAAAGCTCCGGAAGAGATTGTGTTTTGTTACTTGAAGTAACTAATCAATATATTGGTGATTTCCATAGTATGAAAATATTATTATCACTATGTATATGAGCTTACAATAGTTCACCGAATCAGAAGGTGCCTCATGGCCAACATGTAGTACAAGAGTATGTGAAGGCTCCAGAAGAGCTAATGTTTTGAGACGTTAATGAACTAAACTGTCTGTTGAAGATGCATTACCGAATTATGAAGATATTCGCAGAAAAGAATATCATAATTGATATTGCATCAGAAATGTGTTATAAGAGAACATATACTTAACTGGAGAAATTTGTACTACATGTATATTAGTACATATGAAAGTGTAAACTAGAAGTTTGCAAGATCGGATAACTTTTTATTTTGGCATGTCCGGTCATACCATCCCGGATACAGATGCGAAAATGATTGAGATATCATATGGAAATTAAGTGAGAGTTCAGAGAATTCATCAATCAAAGGATTGATTATGTGATACATGGTCTCGAGGAGACTATACTCGTGAAAATAATTAAATCTGTTGAGATTTTATAAAAGTGTATGCAGAAAAATACACTCATCGTGCAAATCATATATGAATTTTATGATTTTGATTGATTCATCAACTATATCGTCATATATGTCTGTTATCTAAACGCAACCTGATGTTTGCGAGATTAGTTGCCGAATGATGGATATATTTTGAGGATTATCCAATCAAACAGAACTTCTCTTATGAGAACAAACTAAGTCTATCGATCTCTTATCGAGGCATATGATATCATTAATTCGCATGAAGCCAACAAGTTATCATAAGTTCCCTCTTTTCATACAAATGGTTTTGGTCAGGGACCAAACATTTAAAATGCTAGAAAATTTGGGTGTGCATAATACATCCCAATTGCTCCACCACAACACGTTATGAGTTCCATGAGAACTTATGTTGGACATGGTGTCCAATGCAATGAGAGATTTGTTCATGACTCTTTTTGCTAATATCATCATTTTGATGAGTTATTTTTCGAACGTTAAGGGGGAGAAAAGTAAACAGTTGGGCATAGATGTGAGTTGGAATCATCATTATCGCATTTTGATCCTCAAACGAAGAAACATGAACCCGAAGTTCATATGGTGATTCATGGAGAAAAAAAATGTATTGATTGCCAAACGCCTTTTTACTCACTAAAAGGAGTGATTATTTCACATGCCCAGTTGTGAATGCTCCAATACAAATTGATGTCCATATTGGATAATCTAATGAGTCTAAATGAGCGCATGAAGCGTGGTAGACCAATCGGTTCCAAGTATAAAAATCCTCGAGAAAGGAAGGAGCTATAAATTAAGATGGTAAACTCGAGGATAAAATAGCTCTAGAAGAGTCAAGTCATAAAATTGAGATCATAGTTCCAGAAGAATAGTAGGTACCTGAACGTTTTAAAATGAAGAGATCTCAATTAATTGGCTTGTATGAAAAAGTTGGAACCGAAGTGTATTTATTGTTATGCTGCAGCACTGAACATGATAGATACAAAGAGGATCAAAAGTAAAAGTCTATTGATGCATGCAAAGGAATATATATTGGGCAATATAAAAGAAAGCATTAGGCTATTTGGTATAAGTTTTGGACCAGAAGTCCTTACACCTGAAGATAAAACTAACTGGATACAAATAGGTTTTGTGCAAACGCGTATGGAAATTGCGAGAGATATAATATAATTTCTCGTGAGAGGTTTCTGGTAGAAACCTGACATCAATTATGAAGAGACATACTCTCTTGTGGTGGATGCAACTATGTTGTGCAATTTAAATAGTTTAGCAATTCAAAAAGCATGAAATTTGCATTTGGTAGATATTGTGATAGCCTATTTGTATGGATATTGATATTTATAAGAAAATCCCTGAAGGATTAGTTTTGCCAGAAGCAAACATGTGACGTTCTCGAGAACAATATCGATCGATAAAACAATACCTTGTATGGATTGAGATAAAATGGATGAATATGGTATATTCATCTAAGTGAATATCTACTGAAGGAAGTGGTCGTATAAGCATTGCGTGATTAAATTCGAATAAAGTGCATTAGAGCATTTGCATTTGGCATGTGTGATTGTGCAATGACATATAGGTTTATGTGCGTGATATTGTGGTTTTAGTTATGAGTTTGATTTATGAATGTGGTTTGGTTAAGTGATGTTGTGTGTATGACGTGCCTTTTGCTTGTGACCTTGTGTTATGAAGTAATTGTTTGCATACAATTGTGTTAGCTAAGTTTTATAGTTATTTGGAAGAAAAGAGTCGAGACGTTATTTTATAATGATCTCATATGTTTTAGTTGATATGAACTCCAGAAGAGCTTCATAAAGCATGGTTTGCTTAAAGAAAGAAAATTGAACATGGAGGATTTAAGAAGATTCTTTTGGATCAAGACGACAATGTCGGAAAAGTGAAAGAACAATTTTGTATGGAAAAAATTGCATACGTTCAACAGCCAAATGATCATAAGGTCACTAGAAGTGAACAAAGATCAATTTAGGCCTTGAGATAGAAGCGAGTTATTAGGTCCTGAAGTACCATATGCCAATGTCGTTAGAGCAAAAATGTATATTGCTATACTTCATTAAGTTATACTTTGTTACCTATTGGTAACGATGAGGATCATAGATGAGTAATTTGTTTACTCATGGTCGTACAAGTATCTCATGGAGATTCCAAAGAAATCACAATAACAACATCATCTGATCATGAACAATGGTCAACAATTCATGAGACTTGTTATGAATTGTTTGGTTAAGATTTGTGATTCAACACGTCTAAATGACTTGTGGTTGCGGATTATATTCATAGAAAATGATCTTTAAGATCATGTATGAAGAAAATGGTCCTAATGGATCATGCATAAAGTGACAATCTAGAAGATTTGTTCACTAAGAAGCTTACCATGACAATATTTGAAAGATTTGTTCACAACACTATTGATGTTGTCATGAGGGGGAGCATATACGCACTGCACTCTTTTTTCCTTAACCATGGTTTTTCCCACTGGGTTTTCCTGGTAAGGTTTTTAACGAGGCAGATTCAAATAGCGTATTATGCTGATTATGTACTCTTTTTCCTTCACTAGGATTTTATCCCACAGGGTTTTTCCTAGTAAGGTTTTAACGAGGCATATTCATGTCTAATGGTCATCCAAGGGGGAGTGTTATGAAAATATTTTTTTTTTTTTGTTGATGATGATCTATATTGAATGATTAAAAGTAATTAAACAATGATACAGGGCAGTGCAGCGAAAGGGCTGTGACTGTCACCAGCACTATGCGCTGCAACAACCAAACCGAAAATGCAAAATGCAAAATGCAAAAAGTAGGAGTTATGAAAATATTATTATCATTATGGATGACCAACATTAGATGCTCCATGGTATGTTACAAGTTCTATGTAACTCATCTCCTTATATTTATATGACACATTAGATGCACAATTGGGTGTTACATGTAACCCCCCACCCCATTTCTATATCACATTCATTCTCACATTCATGTATATTGATTGTAAGAATGTAGAGGTTATGTGATGTGTGCCTATAAATAGATGATCTCCTTGTACTAAGGAATACATGAATAAGAAAGCTCTATTCCCCCACTCTTCTTGTGTCTCTACTCTTACTCTTATGTCTATTGCTCTTCCTTGCTATTTTACAACATTGAGAACTTTGTTTTTGTATGGTGCTAGATTGATAATTAATTGCAAGATCCCGCAATATTTAGAATTGAAAAAAAAACATCTATCATTGGGGGGGAAATCCCAAATTATCGACATCAATCTTAATTAGCAATGAATTTGTAATTCAATGGAATTATGAAAGCATGTAATATGCAAAGTTATTGGGTGTTTGAGTTCCATCCATTCTTTGTAAACTCCGCATTTTTTCTTAGAGACTCTAATATATGTAGCAATACAATTATTTTATAACGTTCTGCCGATTTATTTGACCGGAAAGAAATACCGGCATCTTGATCACAACATTAGTGAATTAGAGCATCTACATGAAAATTAATTGTTTATATCTAATTAAGATAAATATTTCTAATTTGTTCATAATTAGGGCATTGATCTTAACTAAAACTTACAATTGCTAGATACCCTAAATTACAAGGTGAATCTAATGTACATTGCACATTTCTTGAGGTCGGATCATATACGTAGCATATTCCAGGTTAGCAATTTGTTATGCACCAAAGCTTTAAATAAATTACAGTTGTAGAGTTTACCCAAAAAAGACCGCCCATTTGAATCCTTCTTCTTCACCTGTGGCCTTATATAAGTCATGGCTACCCACCAAATTACAATATTCAAAATCAAATTACAAAGAGCTTCTAGCTATTTATAAAAAAACAGGAGAATGAAGAGAATCAATTTTGTACTCTATTCTATAACCCTAGCTCTTCTTCTTCTTCTACCACTCTTTAGTTCAAATGGGGACGTGGAAGCTGCTCGAGTCCACATTAACGACGTCTCTCAGGGCACGAGGGAGGGAACTCTGACTCTCAATGGCTTCGAGAAGGGCCAGGATGGCGGTGGTCCGGCTTCATGCGATGGCTCGTTCCACGACAACGACGAAATGATCGTGGCATTGCCCGCGAAATTCTTCGAGAAGGGTAAGAGGTGCAACAAGAACATTGTGATTGAAGGGAATGGCCACACTGTTAGTGCAAGAGTGGTGGATGAATGTGGGAAGGGATGTGGTGACGACATTGTGGACGGTTCGAAGGCGGTATGGGTAGGGTTGAGCGTTCAGGAGAAAGATAGGGGCGAGTTGGCAATCACTTGGCACGATGCTTAGATGAATCGATTTTTTTTCTTTTTTAAATGACGACGTTGATCACTTCGACGGTAGAATTTCAAAATTTTAGATGTATGTGTAGCTAGCTGGCATCTCCCTTACATTGTAATCACCTATATTAAGGTTTGATTGATACTCTTATGAATAATAATAACAATGTTTCTTTTTTTTCTTCTATAATTGTGATTGAGTAGTTAAAAGAAATGAAGAAAATGGTGGAAAGACAATTAAATCTCACCTTATGCCTTTATATTCAAAAGAGGATTGGTTTTACAAAAGGTGAAATTTTGCAAAATGGTTTTGCAAAATGGTGAAAAGACAATTATATTTGACCAAATAACTCGTTTTATAAATACACAAAACAAACGGTCCCATAGTAATCAAGTTCGAGCCTCATTTTTTGCCCTATTGCTATTCCTATCCACCATTGACGATTTGAAAAGTAGAGGTACTAAATCGTTACCTGGATCAAACTCTAGGCACCAGAACGTGATTAAGCCTTGAAGAAAGTTGACTTGACCACCTAACCAGCGTTTCTTAATCTGCAGGCTCCTCCTTTGGCTTTTGCTTCGGCCATTTCTTTTACTAGTCTTCTTCACTCTTCCGACGGCAAACATGTAACCGCTAAGGGGGGGAAAACGCCGCCACCGAACGCTCTATTTTCTTCTCTCTCTCCGCCAAAACCCAGAGAGAGAGAAAGAGAAAAAGTACCCGGAAATTCCCGACGCCTGGTATTCTCTCGCACAATGCTCTTGAAGAAACGCATCAACACAATCACCATTGCCCTGATGCTGCTGGCCGGGTTCCTGATCCTCTTCTTCGCCGGATTCCTCGAATTCCCTCCTCCGGCGTTAACGACGACTTCCATAGCCGATTCCGGGTTTCGGGTCGAGCCGACGAAGGCCGACCCGTTCGTCGACTTGTTCACTGCTTACAAGAAGTGGGACTCTCAGGTGGGTTGTGCCCGGTTCAGGGAAGGCCACAAGGACGCAATCCACGCCGCCGCCGGCTCTGGGTTTAATGGGTCGAAGGGTTCTCTGCAGCGGATTGGGGGCGATTCGGAGTGCGGCGAGCTGAAGATGGATCATGTGAGCGTTTTGGTCAAAGGGTGGACTTGGATCCCGGATAATCTGGATAATTTGTATTCTTGTCGATGTGGGTTGAGCTGTTTGTGGAGTAAATCGGCTGTGCTTGCTGACAAGCCTGATGCTTTGTTGTTTGAGACCACCACGCCTCCATTTCAGGTAACACTGCGGATTCGTTTCATTATTTCAATTTGATTAGACAGTAGGAAATGTTGAATCTTTGTGGCTGGAATGAGAGGAGTGATGCTTTTCTGCTGATCAAGTAGGTGGCTGGTATGAGAATGAATTGTCTAGCACACGGTGGATGAAATTTTGATGTACGAAGAACTCGGTTTGAGGTGTTAAGACTAGGTTTAGATTGATTAAACATGGGATCGGTACATTATCTTCGTTCTCCTGATGCGGTTTGGTGTTCGGATGGATGCCGGATTTTGGATGTGCCTTTCAGTTTCGTTTTAGTTCAGGAATGAATCTTCACTTGTATGTTGTGCATTGGGTTAGGGGGTTAAGAACTATAGGATTGGATATGCTGAGATCGGGAAACAGGATTGAATTTGAAGACGCATGCATATAGTGTCAATGTCCTCTGTGGAAGACAGTTCGGCTCTTTTGGAGACCAATAGTACTTGCAGAATCAATTGTGATCTTGGTATAGTTGCTTCAGCATCTGGTGGTGCTGTCTCTTTGTGCATGTATTCAGGCCTTCTCAGGTTGGACACTCCACATCATATGAATATTCCATATTTAAGCTCATAAGCATTCCCTTTTTGGCACCAAAATCGCTGGCGGAAAGAAGAGAATGCAGGGGGGAAATGCTCAACTGTTATGGTTAAAAAGATCAACTAGCGCTGTGATGGAAATTACTTGATATGGGTGTTCATAGAGGAAAATATGTTGTGTTTGCATTATATTAAATGCTGTACTTCTACCCGGAAAAAATGCTGTAGTACTTGGATACTAATGCTTGCTAGAGTAGTCAAGCTTTAACATCAAGGCTAGGAAACTATGTGGAATGGCAGCATGATGATCTAATCTTTCTTATTGCCCTTTACTTTACCATGCTTAAATAAGAATGTCGAAGTCCTAGGAGCAAATGTGATGTTTTTGGATCAGTTACAAAAAGCACGTGCTATCTCATGTTATGATACCCTGTATTTTGGCTGTCAGAGACGCAATGGAGATCCGCTTCGTGTCTATATGGACCTAGAGCCTGGCAGAAAACGCTCTGGTGTGGAAGATTTATTTATCAGTTATCATGCTGAAGATGATGTTCAGTCAACGTATGCTGGTGCCCTGTTTCACAATGGTCGAAATTATCATTTGTCTCCGACGAAGAACAATGTAAGTAGTAATGCTTCCAATCTATTGATACTTCACAAGAAAGATATGAAAAGGACATGGAATGATATCGAGCTATTTTTATTTGAAGGATACACTTGTATATTGGTCTTCCTCACGCTGTCTTGCTCAAAGAAACAAGCTCGCAAAGTCTCTCCTCAGCTTGCTGCCTCACCATTCCTTTGGCAAGTGCTTGAACAATGTCGGTGGACCTGACATGGCCCTTTCGTTATACCCAGAGTGCGCCAGCGATACCAGTGAGAAACCAAGATGGTGGGACCATCTACATTGTGCCATGTCTCACTACAAATTTGTGCTGGCTATAGAGAACACGGCCACTGAGAGTTACGTGACGGAAAAGTTGTTCTACGCTCTAGATTCTGGATCTGTCCCAATCTATTTTGGGGCGCCAAATGTGTGGGACTTCGTTCCTCCTCACTCAATCATAGACGGGAGCAAATTTAGATCCATGAACGAACTCGCTTCATACGTTAAGGCTCTAGCTAATGATGCAGTGGCATATGCTGAATACCATGCATGGAGGAGATGTGGTGTTCTAGGCAACTATGGGGAAACACGTTCGTTAAGTCTCGACACCCTGCCTTGCAGGTTGTGTGAAGAAGTCAGCAGAAGAGGGGGTCGAAATGCAAAATCCTAGCGTAATTTGATACACTTGTGAAGGCAATCATGGAATGGCTGTTCCCCGGCATTCGATCTTAGAAATGACGAAGTTAATGAGTGACAATTGAGTACAAGCCTAGAAGATCTGCTCTTTATTCTTCTTTTTTGCAGTCATAACTGATTGTTCTTCAATATTCTCTGCTGGTTTACAATGATGATACTTGAAAGCTAGTGAATTTGTGATTGTAGTTTCCGAAGTAGGTTTCATATACAGAAAAGGGATGTGGAGTGAAAGTTGTACTCGTTGAACCAGAAACATTTATTGGATAGAAATTGATGTATACAGAAGAACAGTCATGTCGGATTTTAGGGTACATTTCTGTTCAGTTTACCCTGTTACAATAAGTTTGGCGAAATAGGCTACTAATCTGTTCTCGGGTATGGATATCCAGAATTGAAGCCATTATTTCAGAGATTCAGGGAGCTTCACTCGCTGGCGATAGACCTTATACAGAACAAGAGAAAGGGTAAACAAGAAGAGCAGAAATGAATGAAGGGGGCAAACAGCTAAGAGAAATAGAATTTTCCTGGCTTACTTTTTGGTCCCTAGTAGGAGGAGGCTTCTTCTTCTGGATTTTGGAAGTCTTCAAATCTTGAGGCCTGTTCTTCAAGTATTCCTTCAATTGCTCATCGTTCATTGCACCCACCATGCCAACCTGGATTTTTATCAAAATCACAAGTAAAGAAGATGAAAAAAAAAAGGACTTTAGATACGCATGTGTAGGAGGAACATTCGAGAGCAACAAAATCGACGATGTATACCCATGCTCGAAGAGCTTGGATCTCGTTTAGCAACGATTTCTCTTCCTTATCAGCAATATTCTTCTTCTCTTGCCATGTAAGGTTGGAAGATGATCCTTCCTCTCTCTTCTTCTTCCTTCTCTTATCCATATCTCAAAACAACACTCTTTCTACAAAATCAATACCAAATATTTATAGGTAGCTTAGTTCTTGACGAGAATGAATGTTAGTTATATAAAAGTTGCATGGAAGAAATGCTTTGATATGTCAAAGTTTTACGTTATAGTGGAAAAGGGAATATGATCAAACTAACCATGGAGGAGCAAAATCCCAACTTAGATCGTTGAAGTTCATGGCACATAGGCCACAGCTTCAGCGCAAGACATGTGAAAGGAAAGGAAGTAACGAACTCTGTATATCCAACTTTTCTTCCCCCTTTGAATACCGTTACTTGATTTTGTGATCTTTTTCTTCTTTGGCCTTTTGATCTTTCTTTCCGTTGAAGCTGAACATGATCTGCACGACAGTTTTAACTATCAATAATTAATATCTACGATGTTAGAACATGGTAATTTTGATTGATGGCAACCATTAACCATAATGCTTCTCCTTAAGCAAAGACATGAATGTCAAACATGCCGTAATTAGAAAGGAGTTGATGAACCACACTCAACCACTTAGTAAGTAAACTTGTGAAAAATCGAGATTCACACCAACAATGCAACATTAACAATTGAGACACATACAACAAACTAACAATCCATCTCCGCATTTTTTGCGTGCTCGTGGCAAAGAGAATTAGGAGAGATATGCAAAGAAATCCGATTGTCATAATACACAAGGGGGTGGCAAACCTTTCAGCAAGCAATCAACCAAGCCATATAAATATTTTATTCAATTACGTTATTATTATTTTCAATTATCACATTATCTATTTAATAGTGCATAACTATAGGTTATGCAACTTAATAGATGTCATTGATCTGAGGCAGAGCCATCCTGCAGCTGGGATTGATGTTGGGTCTTAGGGGTATTTTTGTCTTGCATAAACATATCTGAGTCTTTGATTTTAAATGAGACCAAATTTAAGGGGTGACAATAAAGGAGCTTTTTTATTCTTTTCGAGTTTTTTAATTCGCATTTTTCTTCTTTATTTTAACATGGATTACAATAAACTTTACACATATGAAACGAGATCGCTGTGATCTACAAAATAAAATTCATTTTCAATATATTTTGAGAAAAAAAAATTCATACCACCCATACCACTCTTTACCAACCTAGAATCACCATTTCTTAAACTCGAATTTTGAAAAAATTTGCCTAGTTGATAACTCTTGAATAGAGACTTCGAGCGGAAACATCTATTAGATAATTAACTATTGGTTCTAAGCTATCTCTGGTGATGAACCAAGAACTTGAAGTGATGCTATCGTTGCTGTTATCAAAGAAGCAATATCAAATTCACCTTTAGAAAAATTCTAAGTGATCAGAGCTGTAATTGTCCGTACTTGTAAAGAACTCAAAGCACAACCAAGAACCTTCAAGGAATTCCAAGAATTCTTGCGAAACATAAAAAAAAAATTAGAATGGCCCTCACGAAAAAAGTATATATTGAAAAAAGTTCTTTTGTCCCTTCCAGACGATCGAAAAAGGAAAGAGTTCATCATAATCTAATGTATCTACAAATTTGAGAGGGGGATTTCAGGACCAAATATATCAACATTGGTATGGGGTAACTAGTGGTAGATGATGAAATGTGGTAAATGACAGTTAGTATATTCCTACAATTATGTATACGATAATTATATACTATAGTCATGGTACACTTCCATATCATGTGGTAAAACAGATTTACTTTCCTTATATATATATGATGATCACTTTGTTATTAATTAGATTTACTTTCCATATATCTATATGATCACTTTGTTATTAATTAGATTTACTTTCCTTATATCTATATGAGGACTTTGTTATTAATTCATGGAGTTGCCTCTCATATTATAGTTAGTCAACTTTAATTCATTCTTTTTCCGTTATGCGGTCATCACACTCCTACCCACCCATCTATATATAAACTGATGAAAGTCTTGTGGGTTTATAAAATTCTAGAATTAGAGAGAATTCAAAAGACAGAGGCAAGTGTAGATTTTCCTTGAATTTCAATGGCCAATTTAAACTTGAATGTTAATTCTGAGGACGTTCTTCTTGTGCAGGGAATTAGTAGTGAAAGATGATCATGGCTGCAAGGACTAAAGTTTCAATAATCTTGTTTTTGTGGTCATTTGCGGCACTAGGCCGTTATTATGTAATTTCAGGATATGAATTATCCGATCAAGAGTTGGAAAGACAACTAGAGCTTCTAAATAAGCCTGCCGTTACAACTATTCAGGTGAGATTGATGAAGTTGTGTGTAATTTTGTGTTTGCAAAAGTTTAATTTGGTTGTTTGATTCTCTTTCTTTTGTTTAATTTGATGATTTCCAAACAGACAAAATACGATGAGGAATATGATTGTGTTGATTTTTATCAACAACCTGCGTTTGATCATCCTTTATTAAAGGAGCATAAGTATGAGTATAAGGTACAATATTTTCTACATACCAACTACTTTTTTCATGGAATTTTCCCCCATATGTATGGTGCTACGTACATCAACGAAAATGTATTGTAACGTCATTCGCAAATGTGGTTATGGAATTATGTGGGATTTGATTGTCATTTTATATCAATATTGCTTGAAAGTATTACAAAAGTTACATAAAATATGGATAATATTATTATGACACATAAAAAGATCAATCTATAGTTTGTGGTTATAATTAAAAGTACTACCTCACACTTGTTAGTAGCAATTAAAAGGAAGAGATGTTACAATCTTTCTTTGATTTTGGTGCAGATGAGCTCGTACAATCACCAATTAAATCGAAGAACATATGATGATGCATCTTATATCAATCCATTCGATATTTGGAAAAATGGAAAAGGATGTCCAACCAATACAGTTCCGATTAAAAGAATAACAAAAGAAGACCTCATTCGAGCAAATTCAGCTAACGAATTAGCGTATACAAATTCAATCAATAATCTAAATCCAGGTGTTGAAGTGAGTTATGCAAATGATTGTTAAATATTGTTTTCTAGTTTTCTGCCTTTCTCTAACCAGTCATGCATTTATGTTCATACAAAACTAAGAGAAAATTCATCGGTAGGTAGCTGTGTTGCGTACTACAAAAAACAAGAAGTACTATGGAGGTGGAATGATCGGAGCTATATATCATCCTGCGGTTCAGAGTTCACAATATAGCTCTAGTCGTTTTAAATGTGAAAACTATCCAGATAGTATTGCTGTTGGATGGACGGTAAGTGTAGATGACTCCAAATCAGGCGATTGTCATTTGAATAAGAATATAAATGTATATAAATTTCCTTGAAGGATCGTACATGCATGTTCATCTTTCGATCATGTGCAGGTCAATCCAAGCTTATATCCGGATAATGAACCTCACCTTTTCATATATACCATTGTAAGTGTTGTTGTGATAACCCTAGAGAATGGTTTATCTATATTTTGTAACCAAATAACACAACATGAACCAATGAAGTATGAACACAAAACTTTGGGGTCTTCCTAATTTAAAATGAAATAAGATACATTTTAATATTGTATTTAAGGTTACGGTACATATTAATCTTGTACCTATAACTTTGTATAAAAATTCAACTTGTATCATAATATAAAGATATAAATCCATTTATGTTACAAACTGAACCTGTACCTTTAACGTTATGATACACATTGAATTTATATCTCGAAACACCAACACTTTAGAGCAAATTAAAAGACTATAAATCTAAATTGTTTAATCATTGATTCATCTTGATATTTTTTGCATTCAGACCAAGGACTCGCACTGTTATAATACCTACTGTCCTGGCTTTCTAATCATGTCCCCGGCGATACCTCTAGATTTGCTACTGAAACCATATTCTAGGCCCGGGATAAAGATGGTGGAGTTGAAGTTCCATATCCGCAAGGTAAATGACATTCTCTTGCTCTCTCTCTTCAATTTTATGGTTTCAATTTCTTACTCCTTTGGAAGTTAATTAGACAAAGATGGTTGGTTTGATTTTGGAAGGATGCTATAAATGGAGACTGGTTTCTACAGCTGGGACCTAACAATTTTACCGTCGGGTCTTGGCCGCAAAGAATATTCACAAGCTTGGCAGATTCGGCAGATTATGTAGAATGGGGAGGAGAAGTTTATAGCCCGCCGAACATGACTCCGCCGCAGATGGGCGCCGGCTACAAGCCTATGCAAAAGCTTCGATTCGATTGCTACGGTAGGCTGGTCAACCTAATAGATGAATTGCACGAAGATGATTATAATCCTCCATCGTGTAAAACTTATCAAAGCAGCAAGAGATATCAGATAATAGACGAAGGGGATGTTGGGTCAGGCTTGATACGCCTTATTCTCTTTGGTGGTAGCTAGGTGATTTATACACTCTAGAACCAAATAATGTAATAGGATAATATCATGTTACTATCTAAACTATGTGGGAATAAAAGAGTAATGACTCGTAGTGTTTTATGAGAAAATTATTGTTGAAATTGAATTGATTGCATATTGACTTGTTGAACATTGATTAATTATTCACAGTTCATGGTTCTTTAAAAAAAAGGTCAAACAATGGCGTTCGATGTTTTTTACAACTCACAAGGCAGATCTACATTAAATTAACTCTTTTTCTGTAGAGGTTTATTGAGAGCCCCATAATTACGATGATGGATAATTTTTAGAGAAAAACGATTAACTTGACAGTTGATGTCGAGTTGTGATTTATTTAGAGCACATAATCAGTTATATTCACCTCCTAGTTATTGCCACAAGAAGTAATTGTCTTGAAATAAGACCACTCTACTGACGTGGAGTGACAGTTACTCCCCAACTACTATAATGCTGACCGGGTAGTAGTAGTAGTGGTCTCCCCCTCAATTTTGGCCCTCCTCCACTTAGTAACTCCTCCTTAGCTTTGCTTGTCGACTGAGATCAACAGTAAGGCATGAAGACCCACTTGTCACATATGGGTGGGTGTTTAGATCACATGGCTCTAAATGACAAAAACAATTCACCACTTATGATCATGGGAACGGGGGTGGCCCTATTGCATGTTCCACGGGATCACTCTTGCCACACTAGGAGTATTGTTGATGCCCCCTCCTCATCACATCAGGGGGGGATATGTTGATGACAATCCCCTCAGTCCTCATCACACCAGGGGGTTTGTTGATGATCCCCTCATCACATAAGAGTGGTATTAACACTTAGTCAAATTTTTGTTTGTCACCATGTTACACTTATCTCCCTCGTCTCCACGATACTTGGCCATTTTTTATCCTACCTTATTGCACTAAAGAGGCTACACTGATAGACCCCCTAATTGTCATACCAGGGGTATGTTGATGACCCATCTTGTAAGGTGTAGTTTGAATATGTTTTATATTATATCATATTGATGGCACTATATTTATAGTCTCATATTTGATACATTTTTCCCTCATAATAATGCATCTTAGTACTTTCTTTCATATTTCATATCTAAATCATAACTATTTGATTAATCAGCCTTCAATAGACATAGGATATGGTTTTTTTACTCTTTAATGCCTTCTTAGTATGTTTTTTTTGGTTTTCAATGTATAAAATGACCTAAAAGGATTTGGATCAAGCATTGTACAACTCTTGAGCACCAAAGGGAGTAAACAGAGAAGATTAATGATCTTTCATGACAAAGATGAAGTCCAATGACGGAGAGGCCTACTAGTAACCACGAATAGAGTCTACGAGAAGCCCAATGGAGAAAGACTCGGTCCAAACAAAAGCAAGAACAAGTGGCGGCCCAACATCGAGTCCAACCGTCACCCATGGAAAACTGGACAAATCGTGATCAAATCTTCAGAGAGGTTGTCCATGGAACAAGGAGTCTGGCCCACAAAGAAAATAAGAGGCGGTTCCTACCGCCACCCAGCCTGATCATGGCCCAAACCCAAATGAAGGTCCAGAAGGCCTTACTTCGACCCCAAGTCAGAGAATCTGAGTCCTAGAGGTGTTAGTAAGCTTATGGTCGAGTTTAGGAGGAAATACCCCAGTGTACCCCTTCTCTTATACTATATAGAGGTGCTTTGACTTTAGTTAGAAACCAACTTTTACATTCAGAAATAGCTGAAGCTCTATCATATTGAGGAGAGAATGACTCCACCATCGATGCATTCATCCTTAATTCATATGGCTAGCTAACTACTATTTGGGATGTCGATTCTATAATGTGTGATATATTGCTTTCTGTGATATAATGAGATGCCCTATAGCATCGATTATTTGGTTTAGAGGATCGATGGCTTAGTCTTTGTATGTTTGTTATCTTTCTATGATGCATTACTATGTGTATTATTTATACTACTATTATGAGTGATAGGAAATTACTCTTGTGTAGTAGGCATCATTATTAGGCGTGTATAAGGGGTGGGCAATGGGCGGGTTGGGTGGATTTTGGTCTCAAATTGACTCACCCGCTTACTAGCGAGTTGGAATAATTGTGACCCGCAACTACCCACATTCTTCTGCGGGTTGGGTTGGGTGGGTGGCGGATAGGTGCGGTTGGATCACTGGTCAACCCGCAAAGCAATTCTCCAACTAGCTATTAAGAAAGTTAACTAACATTTATAATAAGTTCATAGCAAATTAGTAAGACTGTATAAATTTAGACACTTCTCAATTTGTCTCAAGTGAATCCATGTAGTATTTGCATAAAAATCTTACTACTCTATCAACCAATTGTGTAAAGAAAACTTACGCATTTTGTGATTTTGATACAATTAATAATTTATAGTTTGCATCCCAGTATTTAATGGATATTAACAATAATTTGCATCTCAATATCCTATATATAATGGATACTGCACAACAGAATAACTATTTTTATTTGCATCTTTTGAAGTATATGGTCAAACTGTAGTGCAGTTCAAAAATATGATGAATATTCGACACTATAAGAAACAACATTTTTCATGTGAAAATAGGATGTGGATCAGACGGGTGACCCGCAATCCACCTACCACCCACCCACATAAGTGCGGGTGGGAGATTTATCAATCCGCAATCCACCCACATCAATCACCCACTGCTTGCGGGTCGGATTATTTGCCAGTGGATCGATATTAATTCGCGGATTAACCACGTTCCCAACCCTAGAGTGTATAGGTGTGTGGATTGTGGGTGGGGGGGGGGGGGGGGGGGAGGGGGTGGTGTACAAGTCTTTATGTCTCAAATGATGATTTATTTTTATACTATCAATCCTCTTTTCCTATTGATTTATTTTTATACTATCTTTTCCCTGAAAACATATACATCACGATTAAGGAACATTAATAATTACAGATTTAGTTTCCCTATATAGAAATCCACTTTTTGTTATTAATTTATGGAGTTGCCTTCATATTATAGGCAGTCAACTTTAATTCATTCTATTTCCATTATGCGGTCCTCACACTTCTACCTACCCATCTATATATGAACTAATGAAAGTCATGTGGGTTTATAAAATTCTAGCATTAGAGAGAATTCAAAAGACAAAGGCAAGTGTAGATTTTCCTTTGAATTTCAATGGTTTATTTAAACATGATTGTTAATTCTTAGGATGTTCTTCTTGTGCAGGGAATTAGGAGTGTAAGATGATCATGGTTGCAAGGACTAGTTTTTCAATAATCTTGTTTTTGTGGTCATTTGTGGCATTAGGCCATTATTATGTAATTTCAGGATATGAATTATCCGATCAAGAGTTGGAAAGACAACTAGAGCTTCTAAATAAGCCTTTTGTTACAACTATTCAGGTGAGATGATGAAGTTGTGTGTAATTTTGTGTTTGCGAAAGTTTAATTCAGTTGTTCAATTCTCTTTCTTTTGTTTAATTGGATGATTTCCAAACAGACGAAATACGGCGAGGAATATGATTGTGTTGATTTTTATCAACAACCTGCTTTTGATCATCCTCTGTTGAAGGAACATAAGTATGAGTATCAGGTACAAGATCTTTTGTATATAATAACTGCATTTTGTTTCATGGGAATTTTTGCCAATTTATGGTGCTACATATCTTAAAAAAATTGTATTCCGACGTCATTTGCAAATGTGGTTATGAAATTATGTGAAAATAATTTTGATATCAATACTATTATGACACTAAAAATATCATCGCATAAAAAGATCAATACTATTTGATATCATAGTTTTGTGGTTACAATTACAAGTACTACGTACTACCTAAACAATTTTTATTAACAATTGAGAGAAGGATATGTTATAATCTTTCTTTGATATGGATGCAGATGATGTCAAATAATCACCGGTTAAATCCAAGAACATATAGTGACGCATCTTATATTAATCCATTTGATATTTGGATAAATGGAAAAGGATGTCCAACCAACACCGTTCCAATTAAAAGAATCACAAAAGAAGACCTTATTAGAGCAAATTCGGCTAGTGAATTAGCCTATACAAATTCCGACAATCTAAATCCAGGTGTTGAAGTAAGTTATGTGCGCAAATGATTGTTAAATATTATTTTTTAGTTCTCTTCGTTTATCTAGTCATACATTTATGTTCCTGCACAACTAAAAGCAAATTTGTATGGCACAGTGTTGTTAAAACCGAACCGGACATCGATCCGGATTAGTAAGAGGTTCAAGGTTTATCGGATAACCGGTAGTTAACCGGTATTAAAAACCGGTCATAAACCGGTGTTGGCCTATAATATCTCCACTCTAGTCTCTACAAATAAGGAAGAATAGAGAGAATTAATAAATTCAAAACTGAAAAGTAGAAGGGGTAGGCGACTGTTAGTGCTATAATATGGCATGGGAATGGGGATGAGAATTGAATTTTATCTCTTTTTTATTTTAATTTCTATGTAAGTTGCTTTTTCACGTTGCCTTGATCATTGTTTCAAAATTTTAATTGCAAGAAACGTGAATGGCAGGCGCCCAATTATTTTTGGAAGGTGCACAGTAATCAGCGCTGGAACTTCCGTTTTTTAACTTTCGGGACCGGATCAATGGCCGGGTCCGGGTTTTTCCGGTCTGACCGGACGGTCCGGCCCGGGTTTAATAACAATGGTATGGCAGGTTGCCGTTTTGAGGACAACTAAAAACAAGAAGTACTATGGAGGTGGAATGATTGGAGCTGTATATCATCCTGCAGTTCAAAGTTCACAATATAGCTCCAGTCGTTTTAAATGTGAAAACTATCCAGATAGTATTGCTGTTGGATGGACGGTAAGTTTGGATAACTCTACATCTTATGATCCTCATTTGAATATGAATATAAGTATGAAGGTAAAAATGTATATAAATTTCCCCGAAGTATCTGATATGCATGATCATCTTTTTATCATGTGCAGGTTAATCCAAGCTTATATCCAGACAATGAAACTCATCTTTTCATATATACAATTGTAAGTGTTGTTTTGAACTTGCGATACATATTTAGATTAAAACCTTGAAATGGGTTTATTAATATTTTCTCACCAAATAAAAACAATATTAACCGATGAAGTATGGAAACAAAACTTTTGAGTCTTCCTAATTTAAAAGGAAATAAGACACATTTCAATTATGGGTATTGGTTTGGAGGTTCAATTAATCGAACCAAAACCAGAAATAAGTATTTTCCCCAAAATTGAAATCAAAATCGGTAGGGGACTTAACAATTTTTGGCTAACGAAAAACCACAAGTCTTGAACGGTTTCGTTTTAGGTTAGATTAATTTATAAACTAATAGAAAGTAAGGCTACAAAAATTCTAGCTTAGGAATTTGAAACCCTATATGCCTAATTCAGTTTTCCTTCTTTTGAAATGTTTTTTCAGTTTGTTCCTCATCGAAACCTATATAGCCAATTCTTCTCCAACCCGATAGCACAACCCAATAAGATTAGACTATCGATTCAATTTTCGATTAACAGGAAAAAAACCCGAACCAAACTTGAAGGCCTAATTCCAATACTACAATAGATAGTAAATCTAATTATATAATTATTGCTTCATCTTGATCTTTATGGTTTTCAGACCAAGGACTCGCACTGTTATAATACCTACTGTCCTGGCTTTCTAATCATGTCCCCGGCGATACCTCTAGATTTGCTATTGAAACCATATTCTAGGCCTGGTATAAAGATGATGGAGTTGAAGTTCCATATCCGCAAGGTAAAATGACAATTCTCTTGCTCTCTCTTCATTTTTTATGTTTCCATTAATTTCTTGATTTCTTGGAAAATTAATTGGACTAAGATGATTTATTTGATTTTGGAAGGATGCTATAAATGGAGACTGGTTTCTTCAGCTGGGACCTAACAATTTTACCATCGGGTCTTGGCCGCAAAGAATATTCACAAGCTTGGCAGATTCGGCAAATTATGTAGAATGGGGAGGAGAAGTTTATAGCCCGCCGAACATGACTCCGCCGCAGATGGGCGCCGGCTACAAGCCTATGCAAAAGCTTCGATTCGATTGCTACGGTAGGCTGGTCAACCTAATAGATGAATTGCACGAAGATGATTATAATCCTCCATCGTGTAAAACTTATCAAAGCAGCAAGAGATATCAGATAATAGACGAAGGAGATGTCAAAGAAGACTTGAGTCGCCTTATTCTCTTTGGTGGTAGCTAGGTGATATGAACCAAATAATGTAATAGGACAATATCATGTTACTATGTAAACTGTGTGGGAATAAAAGATTGATTCGCAGTGGAGAGAATTTGTTTGGGAGATGACAAAGTTGGATTACCCATCTGGCCACATGGAAACTGGTTGATGTATTTTTTATCCTTGTCTGCTGCCCTCGAGCGCCCAATCGCGGATGCAGTGGTGATGGAACAAGTGGCGACATCCGTGAAGGATTGTGACCAGATCCTCGTCGGCAAGCTGCTCGAGGCAAATGCAGCAGCTACCATCGTTGATCGCTCCCAGACTCTCCTCTGCCACTGCCACATCCCCATACCTCTGCTCGGGCAGTGATTGCAGTTCTATTGCTGTTGCGACCTGACCTTCCTCAGCAGCAGCCTCATCATCTTGGTGGTGGTGGTTGTCGCTGAAAATGCAGCCCTTGATCAGCACGTACAGAACCACCGTGATTACCAGACAACTGAAGATGATGATTAGAAGGGTAGTCCTAGAAACGGTGGGTGAGAGACCATCCCACTCGTCGACTTCCGATGTTAAATGATCTTGGAGCCCGGCTTCCGCTGCTCCATATCCCTGGGGCATGACTTCTGCGTATTGGGAGTTTGATCAAGAGATGAAATCTCATTCCCATTGCTGCTTCAGAAGACCTATTTATGCATCATATTGCTTCAGTAGGAAGATATACAGATCAAGTAATAAGACACCATTCTCATTGCTTGCAGGTTTATAAGTTTCTATTACTCTGATTTTGTAAATGCTTATACGGTTGCAATTGAGACAGACTGACACACCCTTGGCCTTTTCTTCTACCTCCCTGGCTCCTACAAACTATACCACAAATACTTTTACTGTTAAGAGATATTAAATCATCTATCTATTCACGTCCAGTCCAAAGGAATTCACTGCCAAATGAAACACTTGGTCACTCCATTCACTTTACAGGAAGGAAGAACATCAATTTCATCCAGAAAAGAGACACACCAGGAAAAACAGCACCCAAAAGCCAGATCCATGGTTAAGATCATATATTCTCCCTGTTGCCTCTATTCCGCAAACACTCTTTGTCAAACTCTCCCAATGGAAACCTCTTACAAACAAAATCAACCATTCCATTCCCGTCTATAATTTACAACCAGAGGAAGAGGGCTTTTTTGAAGGAAAAGCGAACACACTGTTGATGAATAACATATGAGGTTGACAAGATGCACCGACATGGTTAACTTCCTCATACCGCGACAAGGTCGAACAGAGTTCCAAAATCCGGCTTTCAACAGTCAGGAAGGGAATGGGTAGAAGCAAACGGGGAGAAGCTCGCATTAGATTCACTACAGTGTAGAGGGCGAGGCTGATAACTCGTGGATCCCACTAAGCTCGGCGAGGCATTGCTTGGACTTGGGTTGTATACGGATGTGTAGCGCGTCGTGTTCAGGGGCGACATGGAAGGGTAACCATATGGAGAAATCAAATGTGAAGCTTGAGATCGATGTGAAGACATGTTCCTTAGATCAGCATTGCTTCGGCTCATGCTTAGGGAATAGGATGATTGATGGCACGAACCAATGGAGGACTGATGGGCATAAGGGGTGCCACCGGAGTACGAAGGGAAATGAGAAACTGAAGGGGACTGAGATGGCTGACCGATTCTTATAGCTGACGACATTGTGGATCTAAAGGATGATAGAACAGATGAGGAAGCTACTGAAGAAGGGTTTGATGAGAGCAATGGTGTGGATTCAGATGCTGGTGGCTCCCCTGTGCTCGTCCTTGCATCTCTCTTGCACACGGGACAGAATGTTCTCCATGATGTAAGCCAAGAATCGACACAGAAAGCATGGAACTCTGCAAAATTCACAAAATGGAAATTAGGGTAAAGGCATATCAGTCATAGTGGACAACAAAGTTAATTAAATGGAAGTACTAGTAATTAACATGATCTACATGCAATGAGGGCATCTACTTGCACTTTCCCATAAGTGCAAGTAGATCTGAAATGTCAAGCAATTTTTGATTACAAACCCTACACAAGAAAAGCCTACTAATCAGTTGGCAATCAGCCAGTTCCATGTACTCAGTATCTTGACTTGAGTACCAAATGAATTGTCTACTGGAACATTCCCTTAAACTGACTAGTAGGATCTCACTAACTGCACTAGATCCACCTTGGCCAATAGTGAGAGCAAATTCCCATATGGCACAGCTAAACCTTTTATTCTTCATGCATTACTCCATGCAGAACAGTAAAGAGTAAATTTATAGAGCCTAATAAATCTGGCATAGAAGAATACAGAAGAAGGAATTAGAAAGGTAAATAAAAAACTTACTGTGTCGACAAGGCAGAAGCCGGAGCTTTTCCCCGACACTGTAATCTTCAAGGCAAATGGCACAAGTTCTTGAAGTACAATTATCCTCCTGAACAGCAGAACTAAAGATGAGGCTTGGCATTGCTTTCACTAGGCGCTTGCTCATCCCGTGGAATTCCCTAACACGAGAAGACCGAGGATGTTCTCTTCTTATGCGATGCCTCCGGACAAAGAAACAAGTGGCTAAAACTGCTGACATGGCCAACAAAGATATGAAAGAGATTGCCATGATAGACCATGCTGAATTCTCATAGCTTGGAATTATCCATATCTCCACGTCAGTCCACCCAGCATACTTCTTTAGTGTTTCGCCTGCAGACTTTGCAACAAAGACAGCATGTATGCTTATGCCAGCCGAGTTCCCTGCCACTTCAAATTTTGCAAGACCAAACGATCAGGAACTGACAAGGAAAAGGTGAAAGTCTAGATGGAGAGTAAGAAATCACAGAACAAAATAACATGCTACATTTTCTCCAATTCTACCAATGCCCTAAGATGCTTATGCATATCATTATCAAGTAAGTTAGCGAAGTCAAACGTGCCATTTACTACAACTCTTATCTATCAGTCATAGAGCTTCAAGAAATAACACACAAAATCTTAATCAAAGATGCGGTTTTAAAACTAGAATTACGTTTGGATGACAAGGAAACTGAACCTGGCAACCAATAAAGAGTTTATTTATCAATTGAGGAAAATAAACAGGTGAAGCTGAAGCTTGAAGATCAAGCTCCTAGGCTAGCTTGAGCAAGGATGTGATCTTCTCAAGCAAGCATTTCATAAACTAGGACACTCATCACCAAGAATTCTATATCTAACAACTATATAAATAGTTAAACTCACACTAAAACATAAGAAAAGGTGGAACTTTTCAGACGATTAAAATTTCAACAGAGGCAAAATGTTATTACTTGCAACCAATAAACCACTGTCTTCATCATCGTAGACAATTGCAGCATGGAACCCAGCTTTCTGTGCTCTCCTGACTTTATCTTCGAAGCTGCATCCTCCTCTTATCATCAGCACAAACGGTGAGCTGGAATTCGAAGCGTTTACCACTTTATTAGTCAAATCTGAACAGGCATCAAGAGGCTCTGCTACATACAACACTCCGCATTCGCCCGAACCCTTCACCGGCGGAGCTGCAAATCACCCAACAAACAAATAAAGACGCAGAATTTCAATAACCCATTTAACAGAAAAAGATTCAGGATCAGTTTCTCGGCAACCAAACGCTGAATTCGAAAGGGTGGGGGAAAGCAGAAAGCACTCACCGAAATTAGCTTCAATGTCATCGAAAGACATTGTGACGTTATTCCCCATCAGAACCACACTCGCCGAAGTCATTGAACAACAACAGGTTAAGAAAGAAAACAATAGAAGCCCTATGACTACTCGTTTCTCCATCGCTAGCTGGAAAATCAAACACCAGAACACCTGAAATTTCGTTGATCGAGAGAGAGGGGCAGAGAGGGAGGAAAGAAGGAAGGGAAGAGGAGGAAGAAGAAGTAAGAAGAAGCTAGGGTTTAGATTCGATAGAGGATAGAGACGTCAGCTTCCATTTACGGATAGAAGGAACCAGAGAGACGGCGAACAAGGAGACAGAGAGTATCTGAATCTTCCCGTTTTCCCGACTCCGATTTGAAGCTTTTTTTCTTCACTTTCACCCCTTTTTCTCCAATCGAAGAGATACTTAGGCCTCTTGTCTTTCCAGTTTCTGCCTTTTCCTAGAAAATTTTCAGGGGAAGCTAGGAAAGAAAATCTCAAATTCTCAATCAGCGAGTTCTGGAACGGGAAGTGGCGAAGAGAGAGGAGGAGAGAAAGGAAGAATATCCGAATTTTATTTATTTATTATTTTCTATGTTTGAGGATATTTCAATTTCGCGCACTATTTTTATTTTATAGAAGTGATGTCATATACTTGTTTTGATGAGTATAATGTTGTCATATTGCTTTGCTAGATGAGGTTAAAAAGGTTGTTTACAGATGTTTTGTTTTGTATGTTTCATCTCATCCTATGAATCGATTATACATTATATTCGTTAACGTATTGAATCGTGTGTTATGTTTCGAGTTGAAAGTTTGGTTTACCTATAGGTATTGTATCATCAATTTTTAGTGGATCATTGTCTTTATCATTTAAAATATTGTCTTACTAAATTTTTACGAGTTATTAAATGAATGTATTCTAGCTCTGTGGACCTTAATTGATTCACATTACAAGTCACAAAAACATTAGTATTCTTTTGGGACTTGTATTATAATTTTATAATGGATACGAAAAAAACATTATCAATTGTATAAATAAAATTGAAAAAAGTCTAAATTTGTAATATTTTGATTGGCATAACAATCTCGTGTTAGAGAGAGTTGAGTAACCATTAGTTTAATGGAGCTACCTTTATTATTGTATATATTAGGTCAAAGAAATAAAGGCTTACTCCATTAATCCCTTTCCTAAAGGTCCATATCCGTGGATCTGTTTTGGGGATATTACATACATTTAATACCGGTTGATGTTATTAGAAGCCATGATGGACCAAGTTTGACTAAATTTTAGTGGCTAAGGTAATCCGTTAAAAAAAAAACAAGATAGCTCAAATTCAATGAAATTGTTACATTCGATCTCTGGTAAAAGTAGATGTCGTTGGATCATAAGTCTCGTGAATCTCACACGTTGGATGTGCCTGAAAGCGTTATTTACAAAATTGTCTATATATCGCAAATAACAATTGATGACCGTAGCAGGAAGAATAACCCAACAATGTTGATACTTAGACTTATCTGCTGCATGTTATGTTCAACCTAACTTTTGCTTTCGTGAAATTGAATGAACTAGTATATACCGATTTCTATCGAAAATTCCAATCGCGATGCAAGAGAGCAATCCGAAACTTCGCTGACAAAATTTTCACAGATCGAAATTTAGTGATCAACTTGTCAGCTAATCCGAAGTCCGGTATTTGTTGGTGTGGTGTGTAGTATTTGACCCGTGGTGATGGTGGGGGGCACAGCGGTGGTGGAGCCTCCACACATGACTCACCAAACCCAAAAATGTGTCGAGATGATGTCGAACAATTTTTTTGAAAGAAGATAGGGATTTGCTATGATTAGCAAACTCTGAACCTTGTCAACATCATCCAACCCATAATGGAGCAAAGCCCGGATGCTAGCTTCTGTGATGGCGAAGGCACGCTGCAGATTGAAAATAAAGCTAATTAGTGATATGTAAGAAAAGGAACCAACATAAACAAGAATACAAGCTGGACTGAAATTGAACTTACAATGCACTAGGAAGGCCTCAGAGGCTAGCCAATTCGCTTTAAATCCTGGACTGTTGAGGATTTGAAAGCGACAAAACAATGCTTCATATCTAATCGACTTGATGAACAATTCGCTGCATTCGATTCAATTGAGTTCTCTTCTCCAGAATGCTTGTTTACCAGTAGTCACTGCAAGAGCACTCGCCATCCCTGAAATGGTGGAACCGGTTTGAATCTCTCACAACAATCTCCCTCTCAAGTACCCCTGATGCCAACTTCATGAAGCTGTGACAGTCGACACAAATACGAATGTTCTTCATTATCCTTATCACACCGCTCTTCCTACTCCCCACACATGAATTCTCTTCGCCTTTCACCAAAGCAAAAGCCAGAGCTAGCTTCTCACTGTGGTAATACAGTTGCTGCTCCTTGTGCTCTTCCTCGATATCATGAAACGACAAGCTAGTGTCAGCCACGTAACCTTTTGCTCTCAGCTCTGCAACGAGGGAATTGAGCTTTCCGTATATGGCCTCTCTATCAGGATGGCGCCTTCCTCCAGAAGCAAACTCATGCACCTGGTTTCCAATCTCCATCCAGCTCAATCCGGGCTCCTTCAGTACCCTCGAGCCCTTCATTTCCTTCCTAATTAACCCTGCTTCTTTGTAACTACCATCTAGCGAAAATATGTTCGACATTTGTACATAGCCTAATGAATTATCAGGTTCAAGCTTGGTTAGTCGATCAGCAGCCAACTTGGCCAACTCTGTGTTGTTATGCTTTCTACATGAACCAAGCAGTGAACTCCAAATGACAGAATCAGGCTCCATTGGCATGCTGGTTATTAGCTTCATTGCTTCAGAAAGACCACCAGCTCGACCAAGGATATCAACCATGCAGGCGTAGTGGTCAAGCTGTGGGGAAACACCATGAATTTCAGACATTGAGTTGAAGATCTGAGTCCCTTTCTCCACCATTCCCACATGGCTACAAGCTGAGAGCAAAGATACAAACGTGGCAGGATCAGGTGGAACATCCATCTCCGAGAAGAGATCGAATGCCTCTTGCCCACCACCGTGCAAAGCATAAGCCTTTATCATCGAGTTCCAAGAAACCACATCACGGCAGTACTTCATCTCGTCAAAAACTTGCTTCGATGAAGCAATGACCCCACACCTTGCATAGGCATGGATCAAGGAGTTTGCAAGCACAGTGTCGGAATCAAACCCAGTTCTGATCACCAGCGAGTGAATCGATGAAGCGTAGTTATCAGTCACTAGTCCTGCACAGGCTTTAAGGATTGAGGAAAACGTGAACCAATCTGGCGAGAATGCCTCATCCCTGTGGAGTTGCCTGAAGAGGAAGAATGCTTCTTCTGGTTTATCTTCTGCAAAAGCGGTTATGATGCTCGTCCACGAAACGATATCTCGTCGACCATCCATTTCAGTGAAGAGTCTAAAGCATTCAGAAGGGTCTCCTCCGAGTGAAGAGTAAGCTTTTAGTAAAGAAGTTGCTACCTCAATTTCAGAGACGATCCCCGTCTTGATACCAAGGCAATGCACCTGGTTACAATGGCTAATACCTGAATCGACATTGCAGCCACTCAACGAACCAATGACACTAAGCAATGCTGCACGATCGAACCCAACTCCGTCTCTATGCATTTGACTAAACAGAACAACAGCTTTCCCCCATAGCTTCCTGCCATGGAACCCTGCAATCATGGAATTCCAGGACACACGATTTCGAAACACCATTCTCTCGAACACTCTCCAAGCTTCTCCGCAATCTGCAACTTTGCTGTACATAGTAATCAGAGCATTTCCCACATAAGCGCTAAAATCCAAAGCCAACCTCAATGCTAGACCGTGTATTTGCTTCCCGCAGTGAGCGTCCTCGCAGCAGGCCAGGACGCTCGAGAAAGCAAACTCATTGGGGCGGCAATCCGCAGCCGTCATCATGTCCGAAAACAACGAGAAGCATTCTTCCCCTCGGCCACGCTGCGCGTACCCAGAAATCAGCGTGGTCCAGGAGACGGTGTTTCTCTGGGGCATTTCATCGAACACTTTCCCCGCACTCTCCAAGTCGCCGCACTTGGCGTACATGTTGAGGAGGTGGTTCGAGAGGAAGACATCAGGGCGGTAATCGAGATGGCTGGAAAGCATGTGACGGTGCAAGTATCGGCCTTCTTGTAGGCAGCCATGGCCGGCGCAAGCTTGGAAGAGGGCGGTGTAGATGTGTTCGGAGAAGCTGATTGGAGGCGGCGGGGAGATGTCGCAGAATCGAGAGACCAGTTCTCTGACGTCGCCCCGCGTGGTGATCACGCGGACCCTGACGCGAAGGTTGCTGAGTTCTTGAGGTAAGGTGGTCGATGGCGGGATGCAGGTGGTGGTGAGGGTTCTGATGGAGATCAGCCACGCGCGGGTGGTCAGGCGGGACATCACCGCGAACTGAAGCAGACTAGTAAAACGACCAAATTGTGGCGCAGAAATGTTTCGTTCTACTACTTGGTCCTTGTTTTTGGAGGCAAAATTTTGGCTTCCACGTGGCATCATCCAAGGAGAAGAATGTAGCGCCTATCTGCGGACTGTGTATGGACTTTGACTGTTATGTTGGACTCTAAGCCTGGGCCTGGGCCTGCTAGCCTTCTGGACCGTGAAATCATATCCACAATGATACATACAACTAGCAATCAAACCCATTGGGTACTGTCACGACCTTACTCTCGATCGTGCGGCCCTAGCTCTCAATTCCGTTAGAGCGCTAGGCAGCCTTTCTCTCAACTCACTTGAAAGCAAAGAACAAGAACAAAGACAAAGGAAATGGGAGAACTCTCTAGTGTGTATTACTCTCAAAAATGATGGAATGAGTACAAATGAGGGAGATGGCTCCTTATATAGGCCTCTCCACATACAAGGCATCAATGCCCCTCATAAAGTCCCTCTACTACATCAATACACCCCATTAAGTCCCCCCATTATGCACTCTATCAATGTCACCATTATGTGACTCATAAGTGCACTATAAAGCTCTACATTATGGTGGAGAATCCTAGGAGCATCTCTATGCTACTAGTCTTCCATGCATGCCACATGTGCTGCTGCCATGTTGTCACCTTGTTGGTGCCATGTCATCTGCCACATGTGACATCCTCCCCCACCTATGCTCGCGACGCCCTCGTCGCGTCCTCTTGATGGAATGCCTCGATCAAGTCCTTGTTCTTCCAAAGCGTGAGCTCTTTCTCCCATGTTGCTTCACTCTCCGGAAGGTTGCGCCACTTGACTAAGTACTCCACAAAGCTTGGATGTACGCCGCGACGAGGAATGACACGACGCGCCATGATTTCTTCGACTTCATGGTCGTGTGTCTTGGTGACGAGTGTTGGTGCGCGCTGCGGCTCCCTTCGCTGCTCGTCCTCCTTGTCTTCGTGGTAAGGTTTGAGTTGGCTCACATGAAAGACCGGATGGATCTCCAAGTGCGTCGGCAGCTCTACCTTGTATACCACATTGCCAATCCTCTTCACGATGGGGAATGGCCCTTCATAGCGGTGAAGCAATCCCTTGTGCACGTTCTTGAGATGCTTGAAGCGATGAGGGTAGAACTTGACCATCACCATGTCTCCCTCTTCAAACTCCAAGTGCCGCCGCTTCTTGTCCGCCCATTTCTTCATCTTCTTACTAGCGCGGGCTAAGTAAGACTTGGCCATCTCCATCTTCTCGTGCCAACCTTTAGCGAACTTGTAGGCCGCCGGACTGTTGCCTCTATACCCCGTTGCCACCGTCGTAGGTGTCAAAGGTTGCTGCCCCGTCGCCAACTCGAATGGACTTGTGTTGGTCGACTCGCTGCGGTGTAAGTTGTAGGAGAACTGTGCCGTGTCCATCAACTTCACCCAATCTCGTTGGTTTGCACTCACGTAGTGCCGTAAGTACACTTCCAACAAGGCATTCACCCGCTCCGTCTGTCCGTCGCTTTGAGGATGAAATGCCGTCGAGAAGTTCAAGTTTGAGCCCATGATCTTGAACAACTCTCGCCAAAATCTGCCCGTGAAGCGCCCATCTCTGTCGCTCACGATGCTGCTAGGAATGCCCCAATACTTGACCACGTTCTTGAAGAATAGCCGTGCCGCATCCTCCGCCGTTAAGTCTTTTGGCCCAGGAATGAACACTCCATACTTCGAGAATCTGTCCACCACAACCATGATGCACCCGCATCCATCGACTTTGGGAAGTCCGATGATGAAGTCCATGCTCACACTCTCCCATGGTCGTTGAGGCGTGGGCAAGGGCTCTAGCAAGCCTGCCGGGCTTCTCTGCTCCATCTTGTCTTGTTGGCACACAAGACAAGTCTTCACATACATCTCCACGTCGTCTCTCATACGCGGCCAGAAATATGCTTCTTCGATGAGTGCTTGCGTTCTCTCGATGCCGGGATGGCCCGCCCACTTGGAATCATGGCACTCCTTCATGATCTCCTTCCTCAAGTTGGCCCATCTTGGCACGAACATCCGCTCTCCCTTGGTCATGATGAGCCCATCCTTCATCCAAAACCGCCGAGTTTTACCTTGCTCAATGTACTCCGCTACGGTTTTGGCGAAGGGGTCATGGCCAAGGCCTTCAACGATCCGCTCTTTCAAAGGAAATGTGGGCTGGCTGATGCTTGCGGCTGCACTCTTGCGGCTAAGAGCATCGGCAACGGAATTCGCCTTGCCTGGATTGTACTCCATAACGAAGTCGAACTCGGCCAAAAAGTCTTGCCACCTTGCTTGCTTAGGGGTGAGCTTCTTCTGCGTCAGAAAGTAGCTCGTTGCCACGTTGTCCGTCTTCACAACGAACTTTGACCCCAACAAGTAGTGCCTCCATGTGCGCAAGCAATGCACCACGGCCGTCATCTCCTTCTCTTGAACGGTGTATCGCCTCTCCGTCTCGCTGAGCTTCCGACTCTCGAAGGCAATGGGATGCCCATCTTGCATCAACACTCCTCCAATCGCGAAGTCGGACGCATCGGTTTGCACTTCGTAGGCCAACGTCGGGTTGGGGAGCACGAGCACGGGCTCCTTCATCACCGCTGCTTTCAAGGCCTCGAACGCTTCTTGGCACCTTTTCGACCAATCCCACGCCTTGTTCTTCTTCAAGAGATCCGTCAAGGGTGCTGCAATGTTGGAGTAGCCCTTGATAAACCTCCGATAGTAGTTGGCAAGGCCGAGGAATGACCACAACTCTGGTACCTTCGTCGGCGGCTCCCATTCTTGGATTGCCTGCACCTTCGCTCCATCCATCTTCAACTTGCCCCCACCAATGACGTGCCCCAAGAATGGAACCTCCATGGCGGCAAATGTGCACTTCTCCCTCTTGACGTACAACTCGTTGTCGCGAAGGACTTGGAAGACTTGGCGTAGATGCTCGGCATGCTCATCGAGTGTTTTGCTATACACGACGATGTCATCCAAGTAGACCACGACAAACCGGTCCAAGAATAGCTCGAACACTTGATTCATCAAAGTGCAAAACGTGGCTGGTGCGTTGGTGAGACCGAATGGCATCACAAGAAACTCGTAAGAGCCATACCTCGTCACACAAGCCGTCTTTGGCTCGTCGCCCTCTGCTATCCGCACTTGATAGTAGCCCGAGCGAAGATCTAGCTTGGTGAACCACATTGCATCTCCAAGCTGGTCGAACAAGTCGGCAATGTTGGGAATCGGCCACTTGTTCTTCACCGTCAACTTGTTGATGGCTCTATAGTCGATGCACATCCGCAACGACCCTTCCTTCTTCTTTTGGAACAGCACCGGTGCTACAAAAGGTGACTTCGATGGCCGCATGTAGCCTGCGTCCACCAAGTCCTTGAGTTGCCTCCGCAATTCTTCTAACTCCGGTGGCGACATGCGGTATGGTGCTCGCGAAGGGGGCTTCGCTCCTGGCTCCAACTCGATCTTGTGGTCCACTTCTCTTCTTGGTGGCAGCTTCTTGGGCAACTCCGATGGCATCACATCATCGAACTCTTCGAGGACACCTTCGACGATGGGAGTTGTGATTCCCGTTGAGCCTCCTTCTTCCTCCGTCTTCAAGGACACAAGAAAGGTTGGTTCATTCTTCTTGAACCCCTTCACCACTTGCATGGCCGATAGAGCACTATGGGGACCATCTTCTCTCAAGAGATGAATAGTATGGAACTCCCCTTCCTTCTCCAAGCACATCGTGTTGGAGTTGGGCTTCAAAAGCACTCCCTCCTTGTCGAGGAAGTGGATGCCAAGGATGACTGGGTGATCGTCCATGGTGACGACGGAAAAGTCGATGAGGCCTTCCCACTCGCCAAGCTTTATTGGTACGTTGTGAGCAACTCCATGGATCGGGATGGACTCCGAATTGATCGTCTTGAGCCTCCCTTGCCCCTTCTCGTAGGCAATACCCAGCCGGTTTGCCTCCTCGACGCGAAGAAAGTTGTCCGTGGCACCGGTATCCACCAAGGCTTTTGACTCGCCTTGCATGAATTGCGCCAGAACATAGCACCTCCCCCGCTTGCTCTCCTTGACGTCGGTCTTCACCGCGCCAAGCTTGCGGATTGAGCCAATCTTGGCCTCCGCCGCCTTGGGCTCCTCGACTTGAGCTTCCATGGCTGCCAATCTCGCCTTCCTTGGGCAATCTCGCACTCGATGTGGTCCGTCGCAAAGGAAGCAAGTCATGGGTTTTGGCTCGTACTTACCCCCTTTGCTCGAACCACCTTGGTGTTGTTGAGTGCGAGAACCCTCCTTGAAAGGCTTCTGCTGTTCTCCACCTTTGTTGGGCTTCGAACTCTTCTCTCTGCCGCTGCTCTCTTGTCGTTTGTACTCGACAAAAGATTCCGCCGTGGCCATGGCAGTTGCAAGGTCTTGCACTCCTCGCCGTTGCATCTCCATCTTGGCCCATGGTTGCAGCCCATCAAGAAAGCCGTGCATGGCCTCCTTGTCCGTGATGTCCGGGATCTCTAGAAGCAGCTCCGAGAATTCTTTCACGTATTCTCGAACTCCACCCCTCTGGGTGAGTCTTCTCAACTTCGAACGGGCTTCAAACTCCACGTTCTCTGGGTAGAACTGCCTCTTGATTTCTCTCTTGAAATCTTCATACGTTACCATCACACAAGTACCTCTTTCGACGTCCGCTTCACGTCGCCTCCACCACACCATGGCAACATCAACCAAGTAAAGTGGAGCGGTACGAATCTTTACCTCATCCTCTTGGATGCCAGACGCCTTGAAGTACTGCTCAAGACTCCAAAGGAAGTTCTCTAACTCCCTCGCATTCCGTGAACCTCCGAAGCTCTTCGGTCTTGGAATATCAGCACGTGGGACGGATTGCACCGTGGCTGGTCCGCTAGCCATGGCTCTCTTCACGAGAGTGACCTCACTCTTGAGATCTGCAATCTCCTCCTTCACGCCGACCAGCTCAGCTTGGACTTGCTCTTTCACAACTCCAATGGCGTTGTTCAAGGATGTGGTGATGGTGTTGTTGATGAGGGCCACAAGCTCTTCTCGTAAGCCATCATTACCAATCTCCAAGCTCGACAAACGAGCATTCATACCTTGAAAATCGCTTTCGACTTGGGTGAAGTTTGCTCCCAAATCCTCGATGGCACTGATGTCTTCCGCCAACTTCACCTCCATTCTAGAGACACGCCTCTCTAGAGACGTCATAGGGTCACGAGTGCTTGACTTGTCACCCTTTGGTTTGGGATTCTTCACGGTATCCCTTCCACGGTGCTTCTCATCGTCGTGGACTTCTGATCCCGTCATTTTTGGTGAGGTTCTTCCTTTCCTTCTGGCTCTAGGTTCAACTTTGCTAGCACAAAGCCGAACCAGGCTCTGATACCACTTGTCACGACCTTACTCTCGATCGTGCGGCCCTAGCTCTCAATTCCGTTAGAGCGCTAGGCAGCCTTTCTCTCAACTCACTTGAAAGCAAAGAACAAGAACAAAGACAAAGGAAATGGGAGAACTCTCTAGTGTGTATTACTCTCAAAAATGATGGAATGAGTACAAATGAGGGAGATGGCTCCTTATATAGGCCTCTCCACATACAAGGCATCAATGCCCCTCATAAAGTCCCTCTACTACATCAATACACCCCATTAAGTCCCCCCATTATGCACTCTATCAATGTCACCATTATGTGACTCATAAGTGCACTATAAAGCTCTACATTATGGTGGAGAATCCTAGGAGCATCTCTATGCTACTAGTCTTCCATGCATGCCACATGTGCTGCTGCCATGTTGTCACCTTGTTGGTGCCATGTCATCTGCCACATGTGACAGTACCGAACGTAGGCAAAGTGGGAAATTCCTTAATTTGGATAAAATCACAAAAAATTTGATTGGGAACTCATACTCATAAGTCATCCCTATCCCATCAAATGGGTTTGATTTCATGATCTATTAGATTCGTTTAGTGTTGTAATTCAACATCTACATGTCGAATTTTATATATAGCAAGGTTGGATATCCGTCGACGAGTATTAATTACCAACGGTTACTAAAAATCGCGGGTACGGAGATGGGAATACAAAACCTCCCGCCACATGAGTACGAGGGCCGAGGGTATGGATTTGAGTATTTGAAAATGGAGATTGTGATGGTTTAGAAAAATCCGTTACATCGTCATCCGTATATAAAACTGAGTTTCTTTGGTTTATTGGTATATGCTTTTACCTTTTTTTATACTGGTTTTTGTATTGAGATAGGTTCTCCTAGTAGTACTGATTTTCTTGTTGATACTAGTACCATTTTGCTCATTGGTAATGGTACTAATATAAGTTTTGGTTATTGGTATAGTTTTTGGCTTTTTGTATTGGTTTGTAATGATATTGGTATAGGTTTTGCCTACTTAAATCTTAATTTGTTTTTTACTCGAGTTCGGCCCATTAATAAATGAGCTGATAGATAACTTACAACTAATTCACTTTTTGAATGTATGTTTATCATATGATCTAGTCTTTTTGTGAACTTTGATTTCTTTCCATCAATCTTTGGACTTGTTTGGACCAGATTCCATGCACATGCATTTCAATCCATTTCTAGACCTAATTACCAGCCGGATCAATCTGTGAAAGAAACAATCATATCACATCTACAAGTCTCCTAACTTTCTGGCACAACAGGAACATCTCAACCCATAGTTGTTGGACACCACTCGAGAATTCAAGGTACAGTTAATTTGTTTGTCTTATCTTATTATGTGCACTCACTTCATGGAAAAGTATACTATAAACAGAGCAAACTGTTTGGAACTTGCAAACAGGAATATGAACCCTACTTCTTTTATGGAACATCATCTACATGTGTTTGTGCAATCATATCAGATACCCAAACTGTATAGTTTTTTTTTTTTTTTTTGAGATTTAATTGGAATTTTTTTTAAAAAAGTTTATGGGTTCGTTTAATATTTTATATCTAGTTTGAATTTCTGGAATTTCATTTGAAGTTTTTTGAAATTTAATTCTATTTGAAATCAAGTGAGCTGCAAATGTCAAATAAAAGTGGATGGGATGAATGGGTTAAAAGTGGGTTGAAATTTAATTCTATTTGGATGCTTGATTCGATAGGATTGGATTTTGTAAGGTAAGTAGCAGGGTTAGATCGTCTGAGTTTAACGTAACCAAGTTCCACCCCTAACTACGTTCTCTTGGTAACTCCAAAATTGTAGCTATATTATATCACAATAATCATGAATTTCGATACAACGAGAGTAATTAAATCGAACTCGCCACTATCAAAAGTTGATAAGAAATCGGATTAGACAGAACCTACTGAATCCAAAGATGCTCATTCACCATCCCACAACCTTTTTTTTTATGAACGACGATAGTAATGAATAATCTCTCGCTACGCTATATACCAATAAATTGTTGGTTACAGAGTGACCTTTATATTGATGACTCCGTTGTAATATATATATATATATGGTGACTACTTCGGTGCACTCACAAAAATGAGTGCGTTCAATGCACCCAACTTAAAAACTAGTCTTAAGGTGTCGAATTTTGAATTTTAAGATGTAGAATTAGTGTAATATGATGATATAACATATGATAACAACTAATTAGTGGATAACCCTAAGCCCTAGACCTCCAATTTTGAGTTCTATCCGTAAACCCCAAATTATAAACCCTAACCTTAATCCTAAATCTCTAAACTCTAATCCTTCAAATTAAAGTAAATCTTTAATGGTTTTTTGTGCAAATTCATGTGTGTTATTGTTCATCACATCATAAGTGATGATTGACATCATTTTGACATAAATCGCATGTTTAAAATGACGGTTATGAAGCGAGTGCACTGAATGCACCCAAAAAAGTGAGTGCACCGAAGACGTCACCATATACATACATATACATATATATATATAAATACTTTAAATTCAAAATAGTTTAAGATTGAACTAAACATAAATCTATGATGAGAATCAGAGAATGTGAACCAGAGAATCTAGCTAAGGAAGAAAAAAAAAACTTCAGTCATCATGACTCATGAGCGATGACGAGTAGAGAATGTGAACTCAAGAATCTATCACGCCGGCCGGCGGTGGGGGCGAACATTGATTATATTCGTCGGTATCATAAAACACGTATATACACGTAGCACTAAATAATTAATACACACATACGAAAACGAAACCCCAAAACCAAAATGTCATTATCACTATTTAAATTAAATCATAATAGCACCATCACCATGTCGACCGGTTGATTTTAACCTTGACCGGCGGCGACGCCCTCCGTGATCCACCACCGCTATGGTGATGGTGGTGGTGAAGCAAGAACAGTCTCTTCAACACCTTGATCAGCACCACAAACCCCGGCTTCCCACTACTACTAGCACCACTACTGTTCACCAACCTCGCCGAGCCGCCGCCGCCGATCATCGGGGAAGGAACAGTAGTTGTCCGAGTATTATTACTAATACTACGCCGTTTCGGTGACAGCCGCAGCCGGGCTTCACCGCAGCCCACGTCCACGCTGCCGCCTTGCTTCGTAGCATTAACACTAATCTGACGTGGCGGCGACAGTAATAATCCCCTGTGGCCGCGCACAGGGTAGACCCTAGGCTTGGATCGGCTCACCGCCGTCGTCGATAGCTCCTCGTTGAAGTCTTCCCACAACATATCCATGTTTGTCTGCCCTCCATCTTGATTGAAGTTCTCATGGTTGGCTTTGGTGTACTCGGCCGCATGGGAAAAGCTCCTCCGATGGATGGGTGGCGGCGATGAATATGATTGAGGATGTATTGGAGAGGGAGATGGAGAGACGGCGGGAGAGAGCCGCCAGAGAGGTGGAGAGTCAAAGCCGGCCGCGTCGGCGGTGGAGGAAGCATCGGCGGTGGTGGGGAAGCTGAAATCGTCGGTGGTGGCGGTGGTGGTGGTGGTGGCGGCCATTTTTTGGGGTGGAGAGGGAGAGAAGGGAAGAAGATATGGTTTATTGGAGAAGTTTGGTTTGTCATTTGACATTTGGGGGTTCTTTTTGTTTAGGAAGAGGGGAGTCATATAATAGTAGTTGAACTAACTTATAAATATATATAAGTGGTGGATGACAAGTGTCCTTTTAATTTTGTTTGGGTTTTTTTTTTTTTTGAAAATTTGGAGGAATGAGATATCATGATCAATAGAGGTGTAGGGTTAGATGGAATTTGGGACCTAATAGCTTAATTATATCATTATTGATGCGTAGAGGGTTTGGTTTGGTTTAGAGACTATAGATAGTTTGGTAAGCGAATGTGTGTTTGATTTGGAGTAATTCTCTATAGTTGAGAATGTCATGAATGGAGGTGGTATGGCTTAAATATATATATATATATGTTGTCCAAATCAATAAGATGTTTGGATCCTCCATATTGTATATATGTTAAGGTGATGGTGGGATGGATGAGTGTTTAGTATTTAACATGTTTAATTTTTAACTTGTTGAGATTCATTTTTCTTAATGTAATGCAATATTCTTGAGATCGATTGATTGTTATAAGGGATAGTAGTTTTCCTCTGACTCATACCCATTTATTTGGGTTGAGTTGAGTTTTTAACCCCATGAATTAGGGTTTGTGCGCATATCCATATGCAAACTACAGTTTGGTAGTTAAACTTAAGAGATTTTTAAGATTTAGTATCTAAATCTAATCGGCTAATGGTCCGAGCATAATCTAGTCTATTTAAAAAATGCTATATAAGAATCATTCTTTTATATATACACCTTTCCGAACAACCTGAATAATTGTGATGAGGATTCTTGAAATTGTACTAAAAAATTATGCTGATTAGTCAAAGTAAATTAGAGTACTGATAAGAGTGAATATGTTGATATTTATAGTTACATGCTACTGCAAGGATTCAAACCTATAACGTTCATACTTAAAATTAGTGATATTACCACTAGGTCAAGTCATTTTTCTCGTCAAAATAAAATAGAATAATTAATAATTAAAAAAACCTAGAGGTTTGTTTGTTCTCAATTTACAAAATATTTAAGAATGTTAACCAGTAGTTTCATTACTAATGTCTCTATGTTTCAAATAATCTTTTCACTTATTATTTTAAACCATAAAATGAAAATACTCTTTCACCTTCCATAAGCTAGCCAACAATTACTGAATATATTATATGTATGATGTGACTCGTGGATTGACTTAATTCTCACAATAAACAAACGATTGTTTCTTATTTGCTTAAAGAATAAGACAAAATAAATTACATATATACAAACCTATGCAATGATGCTCAAGAATCATAATGATTGGTCTTTTGGAACAACATAGCTAGAATGATTCGATGCATAAATAATTAATATTTTTTATAAGATATAATTAATATATGTTATGCCTAAGTGATTTCAGCAGAAACTCTTCTGATAATTTGCTGATTAAACTCTTCTGATATACTTAACATATCCATTGCTATGTTTCGTAGGCAATCTTTCGTTTCAATTTAACTATATAAATCTTTCGCTTCAATTTTACTTGTTTCCCCCACAATTCCATACCTAAATTTTATTTTTAATGAAAAATATAATTGGAAAATCATCTTCGGTACACAAATTTTTTTATTATGACTTTTTAGTATCTAAACTTTTCAAAATATTCATGTTGGTCCAATATGTATATGTTTGTATGCCATTTGGATCCATCAATTCCATTAATCCATCAATACATTCGATCCAATTATCAATCCGATCCATCAGTCCATGAATCCAATCCATGTGCCACCTCTACGAAGAATCGATCATAGATATTATCGATGCCTATTTTTCCTATTCTATGTACATGAAATTTGATGGGTGTAAGCTATATTTCTCTATTTAAATAATGAAAGACCATAATGCATGAAATAGTTATAAGGAAGGACTTCCAAAAGAAACCATTAATGAACTAAATATTTTAAAGAAACCCCATAATAATCAAAGGAATACTACGTAATGCATGCAGGCAGATTTCAAGCCATCGGGTCTGTCGCCGGATTGAGAGGAGCAGAGAAGGGGGAAAACAACGTTGCTTCTGTTGGCAGAATTTCCATGGCTAATTGCGGTGTGGTTTGACTTTGCTGGTTAATTAGGCCGTGAAAGTGATCATTAACCTCACTTGCAGACAATACATAACATTCCATTGCCAAAGACAGGCAGTTTCTGTTTGGTAAAAATAGCATGTGGAAGAATGATATAATTAATCAACAGTCCGTCCATCTGGTTTGTCCTCAAGTCATTGTCGCGTTAACCACAATTAAAGGTAATTAAGAAAGAGGTACACTACTACTACTACACAGGATGAACAGAAAGAAAATTCATAATCTAATTTCACTAAATAAACTCAACATTATTAGCGTTACTTACACGGTGGAGAATTTGAGGAATGATGATCGTTTGATATATAATCCATTCATCATGTATCTTCTGATTGTGGCGACGAGTTACGGGAGACATGTTCGGTGTATCGTTAATTATCATGCGCTCCCGCAAGATGGAGGAATAATCAACGTCACCAATCTTGAATAGAAGAGGCTGGAAGCGATCGAGAGAAAGATCTAGTGTCTCTTCTTTCACCATTTTCTTTTTTGGCAATTGTGGTGAGAATGAAAGTTTATGTGTGTCTTCTTCGTGTTGATTTATGCACCGACTGTGATGGATTTGACTCTTTGTTGTCTCTTGGTATTACTACTAGGAGTTAACTGAACAAACAATCTGTTTTAATTCCACACGAAGCACAAAATTGAGGTCATGTTTCAAAGGAATGCTATCTTAAACAAAATTACACTTGTTGGAGTAGTCAATGTTGTAAACATGACATATAGTATATGGGGACTTGATACTACAGTTGTGTTAAATGTGTCAAGAGCTAGCCTGCCTGCGCGCATTTGCAAAAGATCACCGGAAAACAAATAGAGCAATCATGCTATTAGTGAAGAATTAACTCTATTGAGATGGTAATTAACTAGCTACAATTGCAAATCTGTTTTTATTTCCTATCTGAAGGAATTATAGCAAATAAAAGGCAATCATTGACTCTTAAACAGTTGATTCCCCACCAAACTAATTTCAATCAAACTAGCTTCCAAAAGGCCTTTTCAGTCATCTCCGTAAAATATTCATCTATTTAGATGCTCGTCTAGTTAGATATTCAGCTTGAATTTAGAATAATGATAGATTTTCACCCAAAAAAAAAAGAGAATAATGATAGATCATAAATATGGGAATCATTTACAACGTTAAAAACACAACCCTAAATCCTAACAAGGAAGGTGGAAATATAATAGTTGTTAATTTCTTACTTTTGAATTATTCTCGCCTCTTCTTCACCCTTTTCCTTTTTCTTTAAGCTTTTTTTTTTTTCTGAGAATGGAAGTGGTGAAAACGTACCTTATTTAGATAATTAATTTGAGTCATCACACAAGCCATCACAATCGAGGTGAAAGCCCATGTTTGTGGGTAGACTAGCTAATTGATTCATTCCCAACAATGTTAGCTTCAAAGCAATTCCAATTGGATTGCTTTGACACTCATAACCTGGTTCATTGGTTTAATCCTTAATCACATGTCAATGTCATCAAGCATACATGTATATATTAATACCCCAAAAAAAATGTACTTGATGGAGTATATATAGTAGAAAGAATTAGATGAGTAGTGTATATTTCATACCGATAGTGAACCACTGAGTGAACAAACAACAATATAGATGAGCATATTATGTGTTTGCCCATAACAAGGTGTAATATGGACTATTAATATAAAATATCGCTACCAATACGAAGTCCAACATAGAATAGAGGCTTTGCAACAAATATAACCCGTAAAAACAAAATCAATTCATTCACAAACCATATTAAAAACAGGTAAGAAGAGGCGCATACAAAATTTCAAACATTTTAACCCATCATATATATTCAATAAAAGTTATTTTCAACTTGACATTAATCACATGTATCATGCATGCTATACCAAATGAATATATGAAATACCAGTCAAGATTTTATTAAGCAAGCTAGCTCGAACTCGACTCGGCTCGTAATAAACGAGCTGAGCTCAAACTGGAGTAAAAATCAGTTCGACTCGATTTATTTACAGCCAAGAACCATTATATGTGAGATGTTTAATTATAAATCTTATACTAGCACTAACCGATTGATCAACAATAACCATTTGGGGTAGAAGATTAACTCCAAATTCGAAACAGATAAAATTGTAAATTGTAATCCTCATCACATAATTAAGAACTAGAAGACAAACTTCCATGCCATGAAGCCATTTTTGTCAACCGATATCATCCTATTTGGCATCCACTAGAGCCGAACACTTAATAATGTATTACTTTCGTTAAATAAATAATATTATTCTCATTTAATCATATTGCACATTTAAGTTAGGTTGACAATTTCCGTCCGACTTATCCTACGAGATTTTAGGGTGAATAACGTAGGAGAGACGGGATAAGCATGTGTACTCACTTTAAATAACTTGAGATATTATTTTTATTACATTATAGATCATTACAAGTACGAGTATCAAAATACTCCCACCAAATGAATCCTAATTTCAATTTTCAGAGCGGGAGCAATCGAACTTTGCTTTGTTAATTACTTACGTAAATGCATTATTTAGGTCCCATATCCCATCTCCAAAAGCCAAGTCAAATCCAACAAAATGTTTGAGAAAATGAGAACCATAAAAAAACAAAAAACTATAAATGGAGCTGAAAATGAGAGGAAGAATCATCCCCACTCTCCCACTGGGACCCATGTGGCATCCATCCATACTGGGACCCACGTGGCATCCATCCATCCATCCTCACCCACAAATCACAGCCGTCAAAGGGAAATGATCAAATGAAAAAAGAGGAAAACGTTATCTCTTGTCTTTTCCTCAGCCCTGACAACCAACGGTCCACAGGCCACTCCTCACGAACCAACGGCTGAGATTCGTCTGGGTTTCCTCTCCTCCTCTAATGTCAAATCTCGAGACTTTTGGCTTTGGGGGAGGACGAAGAAACGAAGGGCCCTGATTCAAGCTGATGTAAAGGGCTGTCAGAGAGTTGACTCTACTACACCTTCCTCGATCGAGCGAACGGTCCGCCCCTCTTCAAATGGCACGTTTAAGCCGACGAAACGAGGCGTCGTGGCATTCCAGCTTTCCAAGTTCATCTCTTTGAAGACAAGAGTAGTGAGTTCATGCTACGAAGCTGCTGCCGCTGCTGCTATTGCGCTGCTTGAGGATTCTGGTAAAGTTTCTCTCTTCTTCTTTTATCTGGGTTTTGATTGATTGGATTGGACTGAGATGGATCTGTTCGAAAGTTGCTGCCTTTATCACTCGTTTTGTTTACGCCATGGAAATTGAGGTTCTGGGTTCATCTTGTTTTTTTTTTTTTTTGGGTCTTATGTTTTTGGGGAAGTCAAGGAATTGGGTTCTGGGTTCTTCAGGGTGGAATGAAAAGTTGGAATCTTTGGCTTTCAGAGATGAGCGTGAGAGGGAGAGAGAGAGAGAACAGTTGAATTGAATCACAATCCCCTGTATTTGGGTTTTTTGTTTTGTTTTGCGGTGTTTCCCATCTATCAGGTGACCTTCTGCAGAAGATTTCATGAACTGGTTTGATGGTTGAATCATGAATTGGGTATTTCAGTTAGGGTTATGGGACAATCCTGATGTCAATCCTTATGATCTTCCTGTGCTGAATTCCAGGATTGCTTGGAATTGGAGCAACTTCGATTCACAAACTTATATCATACTAGATGGATCCTGAAGATGAGATATGTGGTGATACATGGGGGACGAAATCCACATCGTCAAATTCGTTACAGCAGAACTCAGCAGATTTTGGGTTGCAACAGCAGCTCGAGAAGAAGTGGGACAACAATAGCTCCCCTATCATGGACTATGGATTCAGGATTGGCCAAGAACAACCACCATTCCATGGACAAGTAAATTGTCAGATCAATAATTCGATACAAGGCAACGATAACAACACCAACGACAACAAACCCCCTGAATGGGATCCAAGTGCAATGCTCAACAACCTCTCTTTCTTGGAACAAAAGATCCATCAGCTCCAGGGCATGGTCCACTTGATCATCACCCGAAAAGGTCAAGTTCCCAGCAAACCAGATGAGGTCCTGACTCAGCAGCAGCAGCAGCTCATAACTGCTGATCTCACCTCCATCATTGTCCAGTTGATATCCACTGCTGGTACCCTGCTGCCATCAGTCAAGACAATCGGACAGTTCGGACAGTTCACACCAAAACCAGCTGCTGTGTCTCCCGAGCAGCAACAGCAGCAGCAGTCTAACAACAGTATGGATGTCGAACACAACTACTCCACCACCGAAGAGCACGAAGAACATGAGGACGGTGAAACCGAGCATCTCCCACCTGGTTCTTACGAGATTCTACAGCTCGAGAAGGAAGAAATCCTGGCCCCGCACACTCACTTCTGCACTATATGTGGGAAAGGTTTCAAGCGGGATGCCAACTTGAGAATGCACATGAGAGGCCATGGTGATGAGTACAAGACTCCTGCAGCCCTCGCAAAGCCTCCAACGGTAAAAGAAGTGGGCTCAGCCGCAGAGCCCGTGATCATCAAGAGATACTCATGCCCTTTCTCGGGCTGCAAGCGGAACAAGGACCACAAGAAGTTCCAGCCTCTCAAAACGATCCTCTGTGTCAAGAACCACTACAAGAGGACTCACTGCGACAAGAGCTATGTGTGCAGCAGGTGCAACACCAAGAAGTTCTCGGTCATGGCTGACCTCAAGACCCACGAGAAGCACTGCGGGAGGGACAAGTGGCTTTGCTCTTGCGGGACCACCTTCTCCAGGAAGGACAAGCTGTTCGGACACATCGCGCTGTTCCAAGGACACACCCCTGCCATTCCTCCCGACGAAACCAAGACAGTCGTTGCTCTTGCTCCTACTGATGATCCTGCTGCTGCTGCAAACAAGCTCGCTGATGGCAGTGGCCTTGCTACCATGGACTTCAATTCTGGTGCTCAAGCTCTCATGGACTTCAAGTCGGTCGATGATCCTGCTGGTGCGGCCGCTGTTGCAAGCTGCTTCTCCCCTTTGAACTTCGATTCGTGCAATTTCGTTGGTGGGTTTCCAGAGTTCAATCGACAGGGGTTCGACGATTCTGAGGCTTCGTTCTCGTTTCTTTTGTCTGGCGGGTCGTGTAATTACAGCAGCCAGAAAACTGGAGGGGAATCCTAGTACTAGCAGTAGTAGTAGGGCTAGCATTGGACTATTGTTCGCAACTTGGTAGAGAATTCATGTGTCTACAACTATTGTTTTTATGTCATAGAATGTCAGGTTTCATGGCAACAAATTTCATGAATCCAAAATAAAGAGATTATATGCAGTGAAATCTAATAACAGCAGGAATATATTCATTTCTCAGTGAAATGGCAAGGCAGCAGGAATTCATCTTCTATGTTATGTTAACAGAGAATATAATACTGGTTGAGAAAACCAGCTGTAAGCCTGTAACTAATGCAAGCTAGAAAGCTACAGAAAACTCTGTAGCAGCAGAAAGCAAAGCAGCTCTCTAATTACTCATTCCACTGAAGCCTACAGAGTTTTAATGGAGTCACTGCTACATGAGTCGTCGCTGAGCAGTATGAGTTTCAGGCCTCTCGCAGTCTCTCCCCGTGTCAACTTCCGATGAGGAGCAGGGTAGTACCTTTCCTTCAACACCACGTCATCATGAACAGACCAAGTTTGCCCTCTGGGAGAGCTTTCGCCCCATAAGAACCTCTCGGAGAAAGGGTTCACCAGGCTGCCCCTGAACTCCTGAGCCGTCTCGCATACCAAACCCTGAACCAGAACAAGATGAACCCATTTCAGTAATTTGAGAGAGGAGATAGATAGAGAGAGATGACTGGTTGCTTTGTTTGTTACCTCTAGCATGGCTTTGAATAGGAGGTCAGGATCATGGCTAATCAGGACGACTTGTTCCCCACCATGACAGAGTTTCTTGTAGAACAAGGCACTGGAAAGGACATGATCTTCTCGTCTCAGTGAGGGCATTGATGAAAATGGGCTGTACCATTTCGTCTTGCTGGTGGTTCCAGTTCCAGATTCCGGGGAAGCAGGTGGTGTCATCGATGAAAATGGAGTGTACCATTTCATCCTGCTGCTGCCGCCACCGATTCCAGATTCTGGCGAAGCAGGTGGCGTGAGTGGAACTGCACTCTCATCTATCGAGGTCTGGACGTGAATCCACCACTCTGTTTTCAGTTCACACTCTTCTATCCACTCCAACACTTTGGATGCCGCTGTGTTCCTCCTGAACAATCTACCAGTTCTCTTCAATGACTCCAGTTCATTCTTGACTGCAAAGAAAAATAAGGGCTTCGATTAGCATTCATCAGAAACTCTGTTCAAGTAGACAATATTCACAAATGGTGATTATATTGCTGTTCAATTGTTGAGAAAATGAACCATTATAGAATTAATCCTAATTTGGTTTGTCCAACCAATCCTAAAAGCTGTAAGGACCTTAACACTATATCTGCAGCGTTCTGCAGACCTACACAATGAACTGAAATGAGCACAGGAGAAGAATAATGTTTGGTTCGGCTAACATTACCTATTCTTGGAATGATCAACCGAGTCCCCCTGAGACCTTGTAGAAGCTGCAACGCTTTCCTTGACTCGTTGTCCAGCAGAGAAGCCGTGTCCACTACCATTATCCATTTCTTCGTCTTTGTTTCTCCTCTGCTGCGGTTAACCTGTACACCACAAATTTAGATTTTAGTCAACGAGCACACTGCAAGCGGAAGTGATGAGTAAACGATGACTATTCAAACTCACAGAAGATTGCTCCGCAGCAGAACCAAGTGAATAAGCTCCACCACCAGACAGGCTTTTCACTGGGGAACGGATAATCAGATTCTGCAACGGCATCCTATCGTTCCTTAACACCATTTGCAGTCCTAACTTTGCTATGTTGTTCCTGGAGCTTGGAATTGGTGTTGTAGTCGTAGCTACCCTTTGTTGAATGGCTTCAGGAGTACTGGAGTTCTCCTGGATCGGAGAAGTGTTACCTTCTGACATGATTCTGGAAGTAAGCGTGATCTTAGACGATAAAGATCTGCGTAAACTGGACTTATTCGGGCTTCGATTCTCCTTGTCCGGAGTGAAGAGGTCTTTCTGTGGTGGCAATTCGAAACCTGAGAAAGGGAGCTTCTTTGGTGACGATCTCGTTTCCTCACTACTGATCTTCCCCATGCTTTGACTTTTCCGGAGCTGACCAACACCTGAACCAGATTCTACTCTCTTGAGCCAAAAGCTTGTTCTCTTTACTGATGACCTGCCGGCATTATTTTCGCTCTTGGGAATCTGCTGTTCCAAACTTCGTACTGTCGCAAGAACAGATTGCGGGGTCGTGCTTTCTTCTTCTTCGCTCTCCATGATCTCAGAGAGAAGTTCCTCAATTGAGAAAGATGATGAGCTCACAGATTCTGTCACCATTGATACAGTGCAGATAGAGAAGCTTTCAGGCTCTTCATTTGGAGTAGAACTATGATCCTCTGGTGCTTGAATGACACCATTGACATTGTTGACTAGCTGCGAAGGCGAAGTCAGAGATTTAGACTCAACAGGACAAACTTGTTCCATCTTTTGTTCTTGTTCTCTCACTGCAGCACCATCACATGGCGACGAGGAATCGAAATCCAACGGTCTGCTTGAGTCCAAGCTTTGGCCTCCCTTTGATACGGCTTCTGCCCTTACAGGGCTATCAAAAAGAGACATGTCTAGATATCTCTGTCTCTGGTCTTCTGCCGGCGATGCATTGGTATTCAAGTCAGATTCAAGTGCAGCAACAAAGAGGGTGTCCAAGTCTACAGGATTACTGAGTTTCACTTGTGACCTTAGAGGAGACTCCATTTCCACGTTTCCACTCTTTGGTGAAGATTCTTCATTTATATCCTCTTCTTCCGCTTCTTGGACAACTATACTACCAGCTTCAGCATTCGAAGTTTCCATCAGTTTATCATCCCTTGCTTCAGAAAATGAGACTAGCTGCCAATTAGCTTCAGAAATAGTGGACTCTGTTTCAATAGAGGAAATTCCAAGAAGGCCTTCCTGCAGTGGTCTACTTGCGGTGCCCAGATCATCACCTTCCATGCTCTCAACAGACATTAGAGAATCAAAGTCGTCCATATTGATTTCTGTCTCTAAGCTGGCAGGGAACTCTGTGTTTAATCTCTTTGAAAGGTGAACTTCGACAGACGGCCATTCAGGACTTCTATCCAGTGCATTAAATTCGACATGCTCAGTTCCATGATCGCTTTTCAAGTTTGAAGGGGACTCGGGACTTCTATCGAGTTCATCATGTTTCTCATGCTTACCTCCATCCTCACTCTCTAATTCAGTTGAGTCATGATCACTTCTCAAGCTTGTAGGAGAATCAGGACTTCTGTCTAGTTCATCAAACTCGCCGTGCTCACTTCCACTCTCACGCTCTCCATCAGGTGAACCATGATCACATCTCAAGCTTGCAAGAGAATCAAGACTTCTACGGAGTTCATCAAACTTCTCGCGCTCACTTCCACTCTCACACTCTACATCAGGTGAACCATGCTCACTTCTCAAGCTTGCAGGAGAATCAGGACTTCTATCGAATTCATCAAACTTCTCGTGCTCAGTTCCACACTCACGCTCTACATCAGGTAGACCATGATCACTTCTCAAGCTTGCATGAGAATCAGGACTTCTATCGAGTTCATCAAACTTCTTATGCTCAATTCCACTCCCACACTCTACATCAGGTAGACAGCCCGTTGCCAAATTCGGAAGTTCTGCAACTTCTTCATTATCAACATTTGTACATGGTGTTTTTTCCATGTCTTTCTCCCCCACAAAGGACTGTTGAAAATCAGCCTCATAGAGATTTTGTACCAACAAAGGCAAGTACCCTGTATCTGCTTCAGAAGGAACAATTTCCACATGTTCTTGATCCTTCATTACTGATCTTTCACTGTATCCTAAATCTGTTCCCACCATGGTTGGAACTACTGTGACTTCACTATAATTTCTGGACAAAAGGCTCATTTCATCTTTCCCCTCATATGGCACAAGTGACAGGTCAGCCTCAAGTAGATTCTCAACTGCAAAAGGCAACTTAGCAACTTCTTTGAATTCACCATCTTTTCCCTCAAATGAAACCAACTGTAGGTCAGCCTCGAGTAGATTCTCAACCGAAAAACGTGACAGTGGAACTTCTGAGACTTCGCCATCATTTATGGACACAGAGCTTATGTCATATTCTCCCTCAAATGAAATCAACTGGCACTCAGCCTTAAGTAGACTCTCAACCGACTGAGGCAACTTCGAAACTTCTTTGACTTCGTCATCATTTCTACACGAGCTTGCTATGTCTTCCACCTTCCCCACAACTAAAGAAACTTGCTGCATCTCAGTCCCAGAAAGGTTTTCATCCATCATACACGTGTTCACCGAATCCAATTCCTGATCCTTCATTGATGAGCTTACACAATCCACAAAGTCGTCTTGAACTTCATCATTATTTTTCCACGAGCACCCTATGCCTTCCTTCTCCTCAGAAGAATATACCTGGTGCAACTCAGTCCCAGACAGATTCTCGTCAATTATAGACAAACTCACTGAACCAGATTTCTCGGGAAGACTGAGTTCGAAAATTCCCTGGTCTTTCATTGATGCTCTTTCACTATTCAGCAAGTATGCTTGAACTGTGCTTGGAACTTCAATGACTTCATCATTAGTTATTTCCTCCTTGCCCTCCTCAAGAGACACTTGGGGCTGGTCAGCCTTGATTGGGGTTTCAACTGTTAAAGACAAGTTTACCTCTAAACGAGCAGGTTCTGAAGGTTCCATGTCTTTCATCATAGCTATTTCTCTGTCCAAGTGTGCTTTTACAGCTGCAAAAAGTAGTGAAGAGTATATGTTCGCCACATCACTGGATTCTCCCTGAATTGTTAAAGACAAGTCCTTGTCCCCATCCTCTGTCAGGGGATCATTAGCAAAACAGGATTCAGATATCTGATTATCTTCAAATTCACTTCCTACAACAACTGAACCACAAGTCCCATAGTTTGAAACTTCAGTCACTTCATTATCATTTATCAAAAGAAGCCTTGTTTCTTCATTCTCTTTACAAACTGATACCTGCTGTAAGTGGGAATCAGTCAATTTCCCATCAAGATAGCACAAGTTCCCTGAATCAGAAGTTTCGTCACTTTCTACAACGACTGAACCACAATTTCCATATCCTGAAACTTCCGTCAGTTCATTATCATTTCTCAAGGGAACCCTTGTTTCTTCATTCTCTTCACAAACGGATATCTGCTGCAATTGGGAATCAGTCAATTTCTCATCAAGATAGCACAAGTTTTCTGAATCAGATCCTAGAGCAGCAGTTTTCGCTTGTTCTTGATCTTCAATCAGCGATCTTACAGAAGCCTCTTCATGTCTTAGCACTAGACTATCAGTACCCAGCTGGGAAACTTCCAATACTTCATCATCCTCTCTATATGGACTTACCATTTTCTCTTTGCCCTCTGCAAAAAGCACTTGCTGAGAGTTCTCAGTTGGTTTCCCCTCTATCAAAGACAAGTTAACAGATTCTAATTCGAACATTCCACATTGTACATGATCTTCCTTCACCAAGCATTGGTTCTCTGTTTCTTCCACTACATCAAAGCCAGACGTTTGCTGTTCTTCTGTAACAGCCAGCGAAGAATCTAAGCTATCATGGACATCGGATGCTTCTTCACATGAATAGCATCCTCTGCTTTCATCTTGTGAAGAAGATTCCTCACTGATGGCCTCCAACACAACTACCTCTTCCTTCTCACTACTGGAAACTTTCTCAGAATCCCTAAACTGAAACTCTGCTTCTTCCTTCTACAACAAAGCATTCGGAGCAAAAGAATTAGGAAGATGACATTCTTGAAGACATGACCAGAGAAAAAAGGCATGACCACAGAGGGTTGCACACAAGGTTTAGCAATTTAGCATAAGAAACTGACCATAGGCACTTCGTTAGCTGCAGCCAGAACAGGCAATGGAGATTCCGACTTGATTTCTGCTTCCATAGCAGACAATGGAGACTCCAAATTGACCTCCTCTTGCATCCCTGACACTTCTTCACAAGAATACTGTTCACTGGTTTCACTAACCCCAGAAAATTCCTCACTCGCAGCTCTCCAAGCAACTCCATCATATCTTTTACCGCTCAAAACCTCCCTCTCTTCGTCTGAATCCCTAATCCTAATTTCCTTACCCTCCTTCTGAAACAAAGAAATCATAGCAAAAATGAGCAGAAAGACCACCAATCTTGCAAACATACAACGACAATGGAAAGATTGAAATGCAATCTTGATTCAACAGTTCCGCCCGCGAAAGAAGTCAGCCAGTTAGTCACCTGAGGAGTCGTCATCTCTTGTTTAGCTTCAGCAGGCCCTGGCTTTGGCTCTTCCTTCTCTGCCACCAAGGCAACATCCATAGCCGAAGAAGCAGAAGGATTCTGCATATCGTCAGCGCGACTCATTGGCACCCAGTGCAGCCTATAAACTCTGGTTGAAGCGCCGATTTGGATCGTATCTCCCTCGACTACCTCCACTCGAACTCCAGGCTCAATCTTCTTCCCCGATACCCAAGTTCCATGAGCTTCCCCCACGGAATCGAACAAAAATTCAGTAAGAAATCCACAGATTCGAACAAAAAAGAATCCCTAGGCGGCGGAGAAAAAAATTCAGAAGAGAAAATTTTTTGGAAGGAAAGCTCACCGGAAGCCAAATCGGTGACGAAGAGCTGGTGAGAAGATGACTCGACGATGATCTTGAAGTGGAATCTACTGATGCTTGGATGCGTCAACACGATCAAGTTGTCCGGATGCCTGCCGACCGTCACAACCTCCTCCATTTCGGTAGCGCCGCCTCCGTCTCGCTCCGGTTGTTTTCCTCCTCCTCCGCCTCCGGAGGCGACGGAAGATTCGCCGTCGGACGGGCCGACGACGAAGATGTTCTTGATGATCGAACAGTTCTGGAGGACTGAGAGAACCGGGATCTTCTTCTCCGGGAATCTTTCCCGGCTCTTGCTGCTGCTCACCATTGTTCGAATTCGAATCTTTCTGTTTCCCCCTCTCTCCGGACTGACTTTCTTGAATATTCTTGGGAGAGAAAATGAGAGAAAGAGGGTGGGAAAGTTGTGACGCGACTCGTAACAGATTTTGCTTTTTGAATCAGTGAGTGAGTGGGAGAAATGAACTCGACCGTTGTGCAGGGAAATGGATTAATTGTCTAATTTATTGGAATAAATATTTGTGCGGGAATTTCGTTGGACCCATAATAGAACGGGCCAGTCAGCCCAAAATTGGGAGGGCCAAAACAAGGAATGTTTCAGGATTTTGGGCCCATTAGTGGGACGAAAGTTATGTTCTGAAAGGCCCATCTATTATTACGTCTCTCATTCTTCTCCACTCCACCAAAATACTCTCAAACTCTCTGAGTAACCGGTAAGGTAGTTGAGAAGAAACTCTTGAGACCTCCGCCCATTCTTCTCTTCTCTTTCGATGTTCCCAAAGAAACAGAGCATCACAGCGCATTTTCATTGAGGAATCCCCCACGCACGTTGATTCGATCGAAATTCCTTCCTCAACAAAAACCCTTCTCCCCCATTTCATCAATTTCAATTCAAAACCCCCCCTTCTCCGAACCGAAAGAAAGAAGCTTTTCGCCGTTCTTCAAACCCAACAATGGCGCACCTCCTCCAAACCAGTTTCCTCCCTTCTTCGCCATGTCTCCGAGCAAACCCAGATCGGTCTTCTTCTAGCTCTTCACCTATGGTTCAAATCAGCCGCCAGCGGAGCAAAACCGGCGGGGTAGTGCAGGCGAAGATCCGGGAGATCTTCATGCCGGCGCTGAGCTCGACGATGACGGAAGGGAAGATTGTGTCGTGGGTGAAGTCTGAAGGGGAGAAGCTCGCCAAGGGGGAGAGCGTCGTGGTGGTGGAGTCCGATAAGGCCGACATGGACGTCGAGACTTTCTACGACGGGTACTTGGCCGCAATCATGGTCGAGGAAGGCGGCGTCGCCGCTGTCGGATCGGCCATTGCCCTCTTGGCCGAGACGGAGGACGAAATCGAGGCGGCCAGGTCCAAAGCTGCTGGAAGCAGCTCCTCCGCTTCTTCCTCTCCCGCCGCCGCTTCCACCGCGGCGGATCCAATCCCGGCGGAGATTACTGCTCCGCTCGCTGCTTCCGCACCAATTGCGGTAACTCCGGTGCCCAAATTGGCCTCTGCTGTTCATCCGGCTTCCGATGGAGGGAAAAGAGTGGTGGCCTCGCCGTATGCCAAGAAGCTAGCTAAGGAATTGAAGGTGGATTTGGCAGCCATTGCTGTAAGTGGGCCTCTGGGTAGAATCGTGGCTAAGGATGTTGAGGCTGCTGCCGCCGCGCCTGCTCCGGTGGCGGCGGCTACGATAGCTGCGCCGCCTCCTGCTGCATCTCCAAATGTTGAGCTGGGGACAGTTGTGCCGTTTACCACAATGCAAGGGGCAGTCAGTAGGAATATGCTGGAGAGCTTATCAGTTCCCACTTTCAGAGTTGGATACACCATTACAACCGATGCTCTTGATGCTCTATACAAGAAGGTAATCTAAATTCTCAGTCAGTAGAAATTTGCCAACTGTTAAGAATGAACTGTAGTTAAGATCACAATTGAATGGATGATAATCATTTGGAATTGTAGATCAAGTCGAAGGGAGTGACGATGACAGCTCTTCTAGCAAAGGCAACAGCTTTGGCATTGGCGAAGCACCCTGTTGTCAATTCGAGTTGCAGAGATGGAAACAGCTTTACGTATAACAGCAGCATCAACATTGCTGTTGCTGTGGCCATTGATGGAGGGTTGATCACTCCAGTTCTTCAGGATGCGGATAAGTCTGATATTTACTCGATGTCGAGGAAGTGGAAGGAGTTGGTTGACAAGGCAAGGGCAAAGCAGTTGCAGCCTCATGAGTACAATACAGGTATCTAGTTTTTTTGTGTAGCAACTTTACTAGGATTATATTTTGAAAGAATTTTGTGATTTGGCTAAGCCGTCATGATTTTTAGGTAGTTGGTATTAGTTTGTGAAGTTTGCTTCAAGGAATTGGAAATAGGACGCCCTTATTCTGGAACTTGCAGTATATTAGTATTAAGCAGTACTTAGAAGTGTTCGCAAGACTTGTTTCAGAATAGATGTCCTAACTAGAGAGATTTAGTTGTGATATCACTATCTCTAGCATCTTATGCTTTAACTCCCGCTCACATTTATGATTTATTTGAAAAACTATTTATCTTTGTTGAAGCTTCTAACTTCTTCAGACTCAAGAAAGTCTTGGTATCTTTACGTATATTTGTGAAAGCACCCAACTTTTTGCATATTGGCTCTGTGGTAGTTTTAGTGTTTATTTCCTGATTACTCTCAATATGGATGTACAGCTCATGTTGGTCACCTATCATAAGGTTCCCGTATAGAATATTGCTGCTGCAGTCACTCTACACATGCTTATTTTACGAGATTCTTTGTTACTTACCACTATAAGACCACCCGCAGAAGCAAATTGGATGTAGTTCCTTGCTATGTTTAAACCTGGATGAAAGTTTAAGTGACATACTTACATTACATAAGACCACCTTTATGCTTCTCCCCTGATTTTTTTCTTGATTTGAGATGAGTTGCGCATGAGCATCTCAACTCCAACAAACCACTGCTGCTCCCAAAGAAATTTCCGAATTTGTAAAGCTATTAAATGAACCCCGTTATTGTCCTCAGTGTTGCCTTTGATCTTTGACTTCAACAAGACCATCTTTAAGTACTTCCCAAGTGGTGTACAGTCTGGTTAAGTAACTCGCACTTCATATGATGTCCGTGGTCTTGTTGCAGTTGGTCTCTACTCTCTATTGCTGTGAAGTTGTGAGCTTCATTGTTCTGTTCACTCTTCCTAAAACAAGATGGAATTACCTGGTAATCATATTGCATGTGTGCACTTATTAAGCTCACAACTCTGCTTTGTATTTCCAACAGGTACTTTCACCTTATCTAACCTGGGAATGTTCGGAGTGGACCGGTTCGACGCAATTCTTCCACCTGGAACCGTAAGTTCTTGAACATATAACCCAGAAGAAATATCCTTTCTTCTTCATAGTACACTTCAATATGTTTTTGGAATCACAGATCTTAAGATGTTATTCCATTGTTCTTTCTGCAGGGTGCTATTATGGCTGTGGGAGCATCTCAGCCAACAGCAGTGGGTACCAAGGATGGTCGCATTGGCATCAAGAACCAGATGCAGGTAAAACAATATCGTCACCACTTAGTCCATGATATTCCTTCTCCTGAAATGTTCATTTTGTAACAGCAGGAAATTGTGTGAAACTATCTGCAGGTGAACGTGACTGCAGATCATCGCGTCATCTATGGAGCCGATCTTGCTGCCTTCTTGCAAACTCTATCGAAAATCATCGAGGATCCCAAAGATCTCACATTCTAGTGAAGCCTTCAGGGTGGCAAAAATCTGCGGAGGCACAATTTAACCTGAGAATGTAGCCATTTTTCAATCTGTTTTTAAAAGTTAGGATTTTGAAAAGGCAGTGTTGATTTTCATTCAAATGTTCATGAACATTAATAAAGACGAGGTATTCAATGGCTTGATCATGTTGAGGATGCTTCTGAGTTATTGGAAGACGTTTCTGTATCAACTCAACTTGGCAATGGCATGCATGATCTTCTCGAGGTGTTGACCTTCGTATAAGTAGGCAAAATTTATGCCATCTGGTTTTCTTTGGATGGTATTTGCCTGTTAAGATTTTGTTGTTCCTTTTCCTCCAGTGCAAGCAAGAGATGCAAAGTTAAAATCTCATTTATTTAACTGTCCCATCTGTCATCCACTTATCTCACTAAGTCATATATAAATGTACTTGCATATTTTTGGCTTCAATTATCAAAATATCGACTAAAATGCGAACTGGACAATAGACACGATATTTTCATAACAATTATAACACGTAAATGAAAAGGATATAGTACTAATGTTACTAATATTTAATTATGTAGTATAGTAATAAAACATTTTAGATCATGTTAATTACTTATTTAGTTATGAATGATGTTTGTTGAGTACAAATAATTGATTTTCAAATCATCTAGATTAGTAATAGAATATTTCTTTTGGTAATTTTTTAATTTAGTTATGAAATATTTTTCAACTTTTCATTGGTCTTCAACCTAGAAGTCTCAGTTCGCTCCATTAAGTAACGAATAACTATAAAAACAAATCTATATCAACTTCATAAAAAAAATTCATTTATAAATTTAATGAAGTAATTTTTAATTTCTTGAACAGTGATACAAATTTAAATTTGCTAGATTAGCTATGAAATATTGTTTATATTTAAATAAATTTTAATTTAATATTTATGAATGATGTTTTAATTTTTAATTATATATCTTAGTGATAGAACATTATCATTAATTATTTATTTATTTATAAATATTTATTAAATTTGTTTAAATAATTGTGCACTAATGTAAGTTATTGTTAAAAGATGGAGTTATTTGATATTTGAATAGAGGACCTCCCGGTTCTAAAAGAAGACGGAACACTATAGATTATAGAATCTCGAGACCTAGGTTCTTCACTTCGACCTTTAACCGAGTTTCGAGCATCCAAAAGGCGCAGAGTCCACAAGCCATCGAAGCTCCTATCGGCCGAAACTCTGTGCTTGCTGCTGACAACGAGCGGGCGGGTCGTAGTCGGAGTGAGCTGAATCCAAGTCAAGGGCGGGCAGGAGCAGATTGATTCGTTTGCTCGTCGTCGTTGTTTACCAAGGTAAGAAATCATTCGAAGGTGCTTCTCTAGTTGTAAAAGATGGCATTTTGATATTAGGGTTCCTTCTTTTTAGAAGGGATTGAGCTCGGATTGATTTGTTTATTCTGCCTTAATTTCAACAATTAGGGTATTTGGGGAAAAGGAGATGAGTACTAACGAAGAGAAAGCGTCGACGACGCCTAAAACTCCTTCCGATTTCCTGAAATCGATTCGGGGACGTCCCGTTGTGGTTAAGCTCAATTCCGGAGTTGATTATAGAGGTCGGTTTGCTTCCTCTCCGTGCGACTATCACCTTCCATAGCTTACTTTTTGCCTTCCACTCTCTCTGGTTTCGTTTTAATTACTCAAACTGGTTGGTCTTATCGCTGGCTTCCTGCAAAGATCTACGCTTTCTGTGCTCTGTGTCTGATTCTCATGAGTAGCTGCCTAGAACTGGTAGTTTATTTCATATTGTTTAATGAAGGACTACTCAGGTGATTTGGTCGATTGCCTAGTGGGTTGAGGTTGTTTATGTTTTGTCATGGATTGAATTTTTGATTGGGGAATTACGTGTTTGCTTTGACCTATCTAAGTCGAAGCACCATTGGTGCATATTAGTTCATGGTAATGGAGGGATCATGCTTGGACGACACAGTTTCACTGGGTTGTAGTGTTTGTGATGTAAGTTATTTTTATGTGGTACATAAGTGCTTTAGTCATAAATTTTGCATAAAATTGAGGTTGGGGTTAGGGGATTTGAGGTCTAGAGTCCAGTAATATGGGGTTTAGCAGCCTGATTTCTGAGAGTAGTGTTTGAAATTTATTGGTCTGTTATCGAGCACTTGTGGTCTGGGTTCCTCACTCTTACGCCCCCAGATTGAGTCGATCAAAATTGCATAGGCTTCCATATGCAATGGTGATGACAATGTTTGAAATGGCGGTTATGTTCTTTAATAAGGCTTGAATTATAGAGATGTAGATTGCAACTGAACTAAAATTTGTGAAGGTAGAGATTGAGTAACAGTTTGCACCAAGTGTTGTAAATGAATCTTCCCTAAAATCTATGAAGGCAAGCCTACCATCTGGTTTCATGTGAAAAAATCCTATAGATTAATTTGAATGATAAAGTAAGCAGAGAAAGATGATGAGAAATGAGCTGTGAATTCTAATTAGCTATCGAGAGTTTGGAACTCTTTTGCCAAGTATTTCGCATGTATTCCATTGATGACTGCTTCAGGTTGAGAAATTGGTTATTTTAGTTCTCTGTTAAGAAAATGCAATATAAGAACGAAGGTGATGCCACATACACAAACCTGTTATCTGGTTCTCTCTCAACCAATTTTGGTAAATCACGCAGAAATGTAACAATCGGCCAAGCACTCCAGCCTTTTCATACTGTTTGTTTCATATCGTGTTCATATCAGTCCTGAGCTTTGTTCACTTTTCTTTTATCGCTACTCAGGTGTTCGTTAACCATTTTACCACAGGATGCTCATTCAATTTCATCTGCTTTTCTAGAGCATGTTGTTGACTACTTTCACATACCTCCCAACATTTCTTGCTAAATACTAGCGCAGTAGTTGACAGTACTTTTAGAGCATAAGTAGGAAATTACTAGCAGGAATTATTATCTCGTATTCTCTCATTATGCTGATCTTGTCGAGGTAATTTGTGTGTGCAGGTATCCTAGCCTGCTTGGATGGATATATGAACATAGCCATGGAGCAGACTGAAGAATATGTCAATGGGCAACTCAAGAACAAATATGGAGATGCTTTCATCCGAGGGAACAACGGTATTAATCAGTTCTTAAACCAAGACTACCTTGTGTATTGTGTTTGATATGTATGTGTACAATGGCAGTGGTGGTAATAAGGTGTTAGTAATACAAAATTTCGCTATATTGCTGCAGTTCTCTACATCAGCACGACGAAGAGGACGCTTGCAGATGGTGCTTAGTCCGCTACGCGACCGTGCTGCAATTGCATATGGAAGGCTGCTTTTGGCTCTGAACTAATCAGTAATCAACCTCAATCCTTGGGAACGTGTTTGGGAAGCTAGTTTATTGAAGGAACCGGAAAAGAAAACTTAAAAGAACCAAGTAGTGTGTGTTCAATTGTTGTTTGAATACGTTGATGTCAAAATTCCGTTTATGCTCTTTAATGTGTGAATGACCTTGACTTTTCTAGTTACAGAAGACCAAAAAAACCTTCCGTTAAGTAATGTTCGAATTGACTTTTGAGTTGAGTTGGCTCGAATTAAGATCTTTTGATTCGATTTCAATGGATAATTATAAGAACATAGAGATAATGCAGTGCGTCGACGTTAGTAGTTAGGACCTGGCAGAATTGGATCGATTGTCAAAGAACTTAACTGAATTGGATTGAGTGCATTTTGATCCCATTCTGATCCCCCATTCAATTGTTAGTCTGATTTGATCATTATGGGTTAAACCGGATTATCTAAGACTGTACTTAGAGCTGCAAATTAGCCAGCTACTCGTTAGCCGCTTGGAGTTTGATTTGAAATAATTCGTTCGAAGTGGACTAGTTTACTAACAACCCGATTATGCACCGAGCCTATGAATTTCACAACATATGATAATTAAAACTTTGAGTATATGACTAAATATGTCTCGTTTATTAGGGTGTTCAAACGGTTTGGTTATCGTGGTAACCGTTTTAACCGGTCCTATTTGGATAATTTGGTTTGGTTAATTTGGATTATTGGTTTGGTTTGGTTAAAGTTTTTAGCTTGTTTGGTTTAGGTGGTTTGGTTTGGTTTCAGACACTCCTAACCAGTCAAACCAAATTAACCAGTTAAGTAATTAGTCATATATCTAACATATATTATATACACATACTTAATACTTTGCATAGCCACTCAAGAGTTAACATTCATCCCTTTTAGACTCATAAAATATAAAGCTCAATATTGCTCATATAGTGTATATTTGTATATGTAAAGTGTATACCACAACATATGGACGCCTAATTTAGATAAATTTCATACATTATGATGGATGAAAACTTGAAAGGAAAGTCATTTCCAGCCTATGATAATTGCTAAGAGACTAAGTCAATTTACACAAACACAACAATTCATTAACCCATACCATTGTCATAAATTTTTGTTAGGTGAATACTTCTATACTAATCGTAAGATAATTGTCTTAGTTGCATGTATTTTTGTTAAGGGTCAACTATAACTACGTGTTGATTGTTATGTTTTGTTCATTATATAAATTGTGAATTGTTGCATTAACCGAAAAGTTTTCATCGTCAATGATAATGTGATTTTATATTGGTTAATCTAGTTAACCAATTAACCAAACCGATTAAACTTTAGTTTGGTTAATTTGATTGTTGTATTAGTTTGGACGGTTTGGTTATGATATTGTATTCCATGGTTAATGGAATTTAGCCTTATTTGGTTTGGTTATAACCATGGTAACCATTTGAACACCCCTATCGTTTATAAGTTAAATTGTATATAATCAATTGCTTCCACGTGAATCACTACTAAATAACCTGATACAAACTAAATTGATGGGCTAAATATGATACCAAGAAACTATATAAATAAGAGAACATGAAAAATTGACTATTGTTTTTTCTACATTAATTACATGTATCATATAAATTATTTTAGAGTTTAATTTAGGGACTCAACTATTTATAACAATTAATCCCTATGTTTGGTCCGGCTTTTAGAAGTGTTTTTCGGGTTCAAAAGCTGAAGCAGGGCCAAACACCTGTAAAAGCTCGGCTTTTGAAAAGCCGAAAAGCGCTTTTGTATAACATAAAAGCATAAGCTCCGATTTGGCACTTTATAGTCATTTTACACAATCTCTTATATTAAAAAGCACTTCTAATAGTTTTACAGCCAAACACTCAACTGCTTTTTTTAAAAGTATTTATCTAAAAACTCCAGCCAGACACTGTTTCTGCAAAAACTATAGCAGAGCCAAACTAAACTAATAAGTTGAGTTCGAGTTGACGCTCGTGAGTTAAATGAAGTGTAACAAAAAAACGTATGCTAATGAGTTGAGTTAAAAACTTAAAATCAAACTCAGAACTAATAATTTTGAACTAAATTATTAATATACGAATGACTTTGAGATAGATCAAAACTCAGATTTAACGGTGGATAGCCCTGTCCTTAGCCAACTATAACATGATGGCTAACGAGAAGCCAAGCCTGGTTGAGACAATCACAATTATCAAACCCTAATCCTCTCACAGATGTCTACCGCCGGAACGAGGAGCCACGGCGTCATCGGCGGGTGGATCCCGGATGAACTACAGACGCAAATCTTGTCCAGGCTGCGGAATCCCGCCTCCATCGCCCGATTCCGCTGCGTCAGCAAATCGTGGCGCCGCCTCTTCTCCGACGACCCCGAATTCGTCGCCAAAATCCTCTTCTCCTCCACCTCCTCTGACCCGGAGGCACACGTCATGACCGTTAGCCCCTTCTCTTCCCCAACGACGGCGTACTCCGTCCATTCCCAAAGCACGCGCCGACCCGTCTCTTCCGGTACTCTGCCCGGGTGGGGGTCCCTCTACATCGCCGGCTGCGCCGAGGGGATCCTCTGCCTCACCAGCATAGTCATATTCTCCACCCGCACAATCATCCTGTGGAATCCGACCACTTCAGAGGCCAAGCTATTGCCGCCCATTCACGGTTCCGACCACAATGGAAGCGATCTCGGGTTCGGGTTCGACCCGGTAACGGAGGACTACAAGGTGATCGTTTGGATCTGGGATCGCAAATCCCACGAGATCTTCGTGTACAGCCTGAGGAAGAACTCGTGGCGGCGCCTCCGCTGCTGCTCTGGCGCGGATCGGTTGGACCACGGCTGCCAATGCAGAGTCGGCATTGTGTCGGCGGCGCGAAGCTCCAGATCGTGCCACTGGATTTCTGCCGGTGGCGGCAGACGTGGGTATCGTCGGCTTACCTCCTTCGACGTCAGCACGGAAGCGTTCGCGGAGCTCGAGATGCCGGAGCCACCGCGGGAGAAACAGAGGAATCGGGATCGGACATCTTCGGGCCTATATATCAGTACGGAGGATTCGTTTCACATGGCGAAAGATGGGTCCTGCCTGGTCGCGGTGTACTCTGGAATCAGACACAAGAAGCTGTCGCCGGCGGGGGTTTCCTTACAGGTGTGGGTGGCACTGGACGTTGAGGCGCTGGGGCGGCAGGAATGCTGTTGGATGAAGTTGTACGACGTTTACGCGGATGGCGTGATTCCTGCTCCGGCAACTCCGCCGGAAACAGGGGTTTGGGAGCACGGCGAGTTCTTCTTCGTGCGGTGGATTCTGATGGAAGGGGTTTATAAACCGATAGAGAATGGGATGGTGGATCAGATCTCTGGCGGCAAGAACTTTTCGGGGCGAGTTACTTATCGTCCGTCCACCATTTCCTTGTCCGGCTATGGGGAAGCCAAAAAGTCGATCATCAAAAGGGCAAAAGACACTTGCCGCTCGATTTGCCGGAAGGTTTTTGTTGTGTGATGATGGATTGAAGGTCAGATTTCTTTGTGCACGTTTAGATACTAAAACACTGTTAATTGTTGGAATTTCTCACAAAAATATTTTTGTTGTTGTTGTCGTCGTCACTTTGGTTTATATACTAATGATTTTCTTTTTGATTTCCGCTTATAATTATACTCAATATAATTGCTGTGCTAGACGGAAGAGGGACATTGATGTCGCGTAATGCCCCAAATCCCTTCTCGCAATTCCCTTCTCCCCATTTGCTACTTCGTTATCTTTGCCACCGAAAGAAGCATGACAAGATTTCTAAGTCATATACCGCAGCTGAATGTCACGTTATGTCTAATGTTCGTATGCACTGTGCAAAATCAGAGAATCATATATCGTCTATCTTCTTACCAAGTACTTCTCAACTAAACGTCATTGGGATCAACAGTCTACCATCCATGTATTCGTAATTTTTGTACTTTATTTGTAGATATTAGAGACCCATGAATACATAATTAGATTATAACCTAAACATCTTCGTAATTGTATGGTTAAATTTGAATGATTTATATCAAAATTGTTACCTAAACTTCTTCATATTTGTACTATCAAGCATGTATTGTTTGTATCAAGTCACTTTTACTCTTTGTTTTTAATTATCACTCAAAATGAGTGACAGTTTGTGTCAAATCAAGCAAACAATGCATGTATTGTTTGTACAGAAAATTTAAAAAAACAATGCATTGTGGACAATACATGCGTTGTAACTATCTCCATCAAACAATCACCAAAACCAAACGACCCCGAAATGTAAACTAATATAACTAGTTACATTTATATTATACATCTATATCAATACATGCATTTATACTAACAATCACAACTTCTAAAAGACCCTAAGTATATGACTCTCATCTTTCAAATCCGGCTTCCCATTCACTGCACAATCTTGAAAATCAACTACCATACTCCACCAACTTAAACATCGTCAAACCACGACCATAACTTAACGGACTCGCTGTTCACCATCCCTATTCTCCGCCGCCAGTTCCTCCATCATCAAGCTTCCAACAATGACGCGATGGAGGACGCGCTTGCTCCCCATCTGTTACCAGCTCCTCAGAATCAACTCCAACATGAAGACGTCATCCGCAGGCACCGTGGCATTCGAATTGCAGTGGATGGCGCGACTAGGTCTCCCACGACAAGTGCAATAGGGTTGGTTGGCTATCCTGGTGGTACCCCTACTTTTGCTTTGTGTTGTGGTGCTTTCATTTCGGGCATCTCCGACCCCGGTTTGATTGAACTCCTGGCTTTCTGCGAGGCGTTATACTTAATTCACCGGTGGCACTGGTTTTGATCGAGATGCCAAGGCGGTAGTGGACAAATTGTGTGCGGGAGACATCAATGACGTCCGTGGTTGTGCCATTCTTAGGGAAGTTCAAGTGTTGCTACTTCAATTACCAAGGGTCTATTTACTTTACACACCTCGAGATGTGAATCGGACTGCCCATTGTGTGGCATAACAAGCCCTACGCTATCCTGGTCTACATCCTACGCTGCTTAATTTCTCTTATTTGGTTTGTCTTTGAATCGACAGGTAAGAGTGCTAGTTGTGTAGCCTCTCCTGTCTTTAACGTTTAAAATCCGGTAGATTAACAGAAAAGATAAACAAAACTTAACCGACTCGCTAAAAGTGACCAATTCGCAACTTATCAACGACACGACAACAACAGAAACTAAACTCAAAAATACAAATGCTTGACTCCAAACTCCCATACTTTCCGACGACACCCAAGTTCGATCCTTCAGTTCAACTTCCAGCACTTCCCATCAATCTTCGCACAAGCGATCTTTTCCTTTCTCTAGAGTGGGTACTCGCCGTCGCCAGAGGAGCCGCGGACGGAACATAAGCTTCACGTCGCAAATACCTGTACTCAAGCTCGTGATCCACGACCCCGGTCCTCTCTATTGAAAACCTAATCTCATTGCCCGGCGCGCCGCCGTAACGAGATCTTTAGCCACCGCCATCATCGACCACTCGACGAAGAACCTGCCATGCCTCCAAACCCCTGAATCACGTCCCGGCCAACGAGGCAGAGCAGCAGGAATGACACCGTCAGGAGCAGCGTCCACTTTGCACAACCTAATCCAAGAGCATCTCTTCCCGGCGAGCGCCTCGTAGTCCAGCGCGGCCCACACCTCCAAGAAAACCGTCGGCCTCCTGCCGTCGCCGTCGCCGCTTCGCCGGGTTCCGGAGTAGATCGCCACCAGGCACGACCCATCTCTCGTCATGTGATACGAGCTCTCGGACTCTCTTCTCCACCACGCTTCCTGCCCTTCCACTTTCGGCATCGGCAGCTCCAGCTGCGTGATGTTCTCGCTGCTCGCGTCGAACGTGGTGAGCAGAAAAGAATTCTTTCCGAACCGCGTATCGATCCAGTGGCATCTCGAGACATAACCTGTGGCTCGAGATACCACTGGACCAAAGCTTTGACCGGCATTCAATGGGGCGGACTTTTTCCGCCGCCACCTCCTCCACGTGTCTTCTCGTAGGCTGTACACGTGGATCGCTTCTAGGGGCGGTCGTGATTCACGGCCCGAGAACGAGACAAGCACCTTGTAGTCCCCTGTTTTCGGGTCGAACCCGAACCCGACATCCGGTCGACGATCAAAGCCGCCACCGCCGAGGACAGGAGGCGAGGGGATCGGCGGGGACGCCTTTGCCTCGCAAGTCGTCGGGTTCCACAGGATGAATTGTTTCTCGACGAAGAAGTCGCAGATGCAGAAGATTCCGTTGCAGCAGCCGCGGACGCGGATCGCGGGCTGAGTTATCGGGCCGGGCGGGGTGCCCGAAGATACGGGTCGGAGCGTGTCTCGGGTGGCGACGGAGTAGAACTCGTAGTGGGTGCTGAAGGTGATGACGCGAGCCTCCGGGCCGAATTCCGGGTCGCCGTCGGAGAGGAGGGCGTTGGCGATGAGTTCGCCGTCGTCGGAAAGGAGGCGGCGCCACGATTTGCTGACGCAGCGGGATCGGGCGATGGATGCGGGGGTCGACAGCCTGGACAGGATTTTTGCCTGGATTTCCTCCGGCAGCCACCGTTGTCCGACGGCGACGTTGGGGGGGACGAAGAGTTGTCTTAACCACCGGCCGAAGAAGCGGCCGCGGGCTTGCCTTCTTTCGCCGACGACGGGCATGTTTTGCAGATATTGTGAGATCGGCAAACGAAATTTTTGACATTTATCGCTTTATATTTCCTTGAGGATTAGGCTTCTAGGGTTTCAATTTTACACGACGGCACCATAATTAGTCATATAATTAATCATGATAGTAATAAAATCAGCATCAAAGGAAAGTGAGGATCGTAATTGATTTGGTTACCTTTACTTTCAATTTAATTTTTTTGTTAGAGAATTAATTTAGGGGTCGTTTGGAAGTTGTAATTATGAGTGTTGTATTTATAGAATACATGCATTATTCATAATACAACGTTTGGAATTGTCAAAGTGTGAAACAATGCATGTATTGTTTTGTTGCTTTTAGGTTTATATCTCTTTTTTATTTTCATTTATATCGTTAATAAAGGGTGGAAAGAGTGATATGTTGTATGTTAAAATAAAGTGTAAATGTGACATTTCCACCAAAAGTTAGTTTATGTAAGTTAATCACTAACATATAAACTCAACAACCAAACAATGTAATGTTAAATGCAACGATTGTATCAATACATGTATTCAGTGGCGGAGCCAGAAAATTGGCCAAGGGGGTGCTTCTTCATGTCATGAAAAAGTCAACTATGTAATAGAAAAGTCAACTCTAAACGAAAATATGAAAATCAACTTCATTATATGACTAATTCAGTCTATGTACTTAATTTGGAGATGAAATTGAGTATAACAAACACACAAACCTAACCCTAAATTAACACAAATAATAAAATTTTCAAGTAATTGAAATTAAAACTTAGATTTTACCTTGTTGTTAAAGATTGATGATGTCAAACAAAGTAATTTTGTGTTGCTGGCTTGTTGCTCCCCTACCCTGCTCACGATTGAAAAGAGAAGGATTTTTGGAGGTGAAGGACGTAGAACGAAAGTCTGGAGCCTAGAAATAGTTTGGATTTGTTGGGTAGGAGCCGGAAATATGGGTGGTGGGTGGAGGTTCGGCGAGCTTGGAGCCGGAGATGGAGAGCTTGGGGCGGGAGGATGGATAGCTTGGAGGTTGGGCGAGCTCGGCTTGCAACTCGCAGCGCCTCTGCTACTGCTGGGTGGAGGAAGAACGAAATTGTAACTGGGGATTGCTGGGATAGACGATTAGAGTTTTGCGTTTTGATATTAGGACAGATAATTCACATTGATTTAATTATACATGTACGTATTATAAATGAAAAACTCTTAGTTGAGATGATAAAGATTTCTCATTGTCAACCATTAGATTAGTGGTTCGATCCTTGCTTCCTACTATATATATTGGATTTTTTTCCCGTCCCAAAACCAAGGGGGGTGCATGCACCCCCCTCAAGTGTGCATAGCTCCGCCACTGCATGTATTATATATTGCAATGACTCTTCACAATACAACGAGTTAACATATGCAAGTTCCAAACGACCCTTTAGATCGTTGATGATTAAAATAGATCGATCTATATTGGTTTTGCAGTGGCTTTGTAATTTTTGATTTTGTACAATATCATTTCCACAATATCCATTAATCGTTTATGAATTTGAAGTTTATGTGGATTCAAATTTTTTTTATACTTAAACAGGGCTATTATAACGAATTATATAAAGGCACTGTTATCAGTTATCGACCTCACTACGTAATAATAATCAAACCCTAGATACCTAGTTCAGAAAGGAAGCTTTACATTAAAGCGAGCAATTTGAACTTCCGGTCGCCGATCATAAACCTAGCCGATCTGATCATGAGATTTCCTCTAATTAAGACGATGTCTGCGGCCGGAGAAAGAAGCCCCGTCCCCCGCCGCCACGCCGACCGCTGCCTACCGGAGGAGCTACAGACGGAGATCTTGTCCAGGCTGCCGACCCCTGCCTCCATCGCCCGATTCCGCTGCGTCTGCAAATCGTGGCGCCGCCTCCTCTCCGACGACACCGAATTCATCGCCAAGATCCTCTTCTCCGACGACGGCGAGGAGGAGGAGGCTCATGTTCTATCCCACCCACACGGCGGGCGACTTTGGTACTCCATCCACTCCCTCCCCACGCTCCGACCCGTATCCTCGGGTCGGCTCCCCGGCTCGGATACTATGCTCATACCTTTCGTCGCCTGCTGCTCCGGCGGGATCTTCTGCATCGCCGACCTCTTAAACAAGTGGGAAATCATCCTCTGGAATCCCACGACATCGGAAACGAAGACGTTGAAGCCGATCCCCTCCTCCCTCTCCGCCGCTTGCGGGCGAGAATTCGGGTTCGGGTTCGACCCGGAAACAGGGGACTACAAGGTAATCGTTTGGATCTGGGCCTGGGGTGGAAAATCACCCCAGGAGATTTACGTCCACAGCCTGAGGAAAAAAAACTCGTGGAGGCGCCTCCGCAATCACGGGTCGTCGCCGGTCCCCGGCGGCGACAGAGTCGGCCTGGTGTCCTCTCGAGCTCCCAAATTGGCGAATTGCCACTGGATTCGTCTAATTGGTCCTGAACACCTTCAGCTCACTACCTTCAACATGAGCAGGGAAGCGTTCACGGTTCTGCGCCTGCCGAAGCCGCCAGTAAAACAGCAGCGTGAGAAATCATCATCATCATCAACAACAACAATCCCGTATAGTACTAGAAGCTCGTTTCACATTGCGAAAGGTGGGTCGTCGTCGTCGTCGTCGTGCTTGGTGGCGGTTTGCTCTGGAAACAGAACAAGGACGACATCCGGCATCTTCTTGGAGGTTTGGGTGGCGCTGGACTATGTGGCGCTCGAGAGGAAGGAGTGCTCTTGGATTAGGCTGTACAATGTTGAAGCTGGTGATCAGGTTCCTGCTGCAGGGGTTTGGGAGTATGGCAAGTTCTTCGTCCGGTGGTCCAACTGCCGAAAGGATAGTGCTGACATAGACATGGACAACGGGGTTGTTGATCATAAGTGGAGTCGCATGTTCTTGAAGCGTGTAGCTTATGTTCCATCCATGGTTTCTTTGGCAGGAGGAAGGAAGAAATCGCTAATGCGAAGGGCGAAGGATACCTGTCGTTCCATTTTGTCGAACAGTTTCTATGCGAAGACGAGGTAGGATTATGTGAAGATCGATTGATAGGAAGATGCTGAACTAATTTTCGTTACAGTAAAGTGAATAATGATCCTTTATTACTAGCTATATGTCTTCAAGAAGTTATACATTCATGATTCATTTCCATAGCTAGGGATGGCAGCAAAACCTGAACTCACGGGTACCCTACCCGGCCCAATCTGGTCAATGCGGGTAAAACCCATATTGACGGGTTTCAGTACGGGTTTGGGTTTAAACCCTACACTATTTATCGAGTTGGGTTGGATTTGGGTTTAGGAATATCCGACCCATGGATACTCAGCCCACATTTATTTGTCTCTCTACTCTTCCCAAACACTACCATAATTCTGATTTCCCCCAATCTAACTCTCACTACACTTATTCCGTGTGCTTTTATTTAGTGTAATTGTGATTTATTTGAATTTTCTAGAGTGGTGTTTTATGTATGAATAATTTGTATGGGAAAAATGATGTTTGAATTTTATTTTGATAGAAACTTGTTTTTTAAACTTTTTACTACAAAAACCCATGGGTACCCATGAACTCGCGGATACCCAACGGGTTGGGTTACGTTTGAGTTTTCCTAAACACTATCTTAATTGCATTGCATGCCTTGACAAATTTTTGATAAGGATTCCAGAATTAATTACATAGATTTTCATATTTCTGCCCTGATTTTTACAAGCTGCTTGTCAATATGGATTTATGGCTTTATGAATTTAAAGATCAGATTTATGTGGATTCAAAAAAAAATTTACTTAAACAGGGCTATTATAACGATTATTATTAAAAAAAAAAAAGCACTATTGTCAGTTATGGACTACGTAATAATCAAACCCCAGATACCTAGTTCTGAAAGGAAGTGTTACATTAAAGCGAGCAATTTGAACTTCCGGTCGCCGATCACAACCCTAGCCGATCTGATCATGAGATTATCTCTAATTAAGACGAAGTCTTCCGCCGGACAAACAAGCCAAGTCCGGCGCCGCCCCGTCAACCAGTGGCTACCGGAGGAACTACAGCTAGGAATCTTGTCCAGGCTGCCGACCCCTGCCTCCATCGCCCGATTCCGCTGCGTCAGCAAGTCGTGGCGCCGCCTCCTTTCCGACGACCCCGAATTCATCGCCAAGATCCTCTTCTCCGACGACGGTGACCTAAAAGGCGACGAGGAGGCTCAGGTTCTAACTCTCGACGCTTTTCAGGAGTCGTACTCCATCCACTCCTGCGACACGCTCCGACCCGTATCTTCGGGTCGGCTGCCCCGGGCGGATACCGGGTTCCTTCCCCGCGTTGCTGGCTGCTCCGGCGGGATCTTTTGCATCACCGACTACATAAACAAGGGGGAAATCATCCTGTGGAATCCAACGACCTCAGAAGCAAAGGAATTGATGCCAATTCCCTCCCTCTCTGTCTCTGATGATATAGGAGAAGTCGGGTTCGGGTTCGACCCTGTAACAGAGGACTACAAGGTAATCGTTTGGTTCTGGGATCACAAATCAACCCACGAGATTTACGTCTACAGCCTAAGGAAAAACAAGTGGAGGCGCCTCCGCCACTATGGGTCGGCGGCGGCGGCAGCGGCGCGTTTGCCTGCCGTCCCCGGCTATCTAGTTGGTCCGGTGGCCTCTCGAGCTCCAAACTTGCAGAATTGCCACTGGATTAATCCGTATTATCCTGAGTACCTTCCTCTCACTACCTTTGACATGAGCAAGGAAGCGTTCACAGTACTGCGGCTGCCGGTGCCGCCTGTAGAACACCCGCGTGGGGCTACAAGTTCGTTTCACTTGGTGAAAGGCGGGTCGTCGTGCTTGGTCGCCGTTTACTCTGGAACCAGAACAAAGGCGACATCCAGCATCTTCTTGGAGGTTTGGGTGGCGCTGGACTACGAGGCGCTCGAGAGGAAGGAATGCTCTTGGATTAGGTTGTACGATGTTGAGGTTCACGACCTGATTCCTGCTGCTCGACCTTGGTTGCAAAGCGCTGCAGGGGTTTGGGAGCATGGCAGGTTCTTCGTCCGGTGGTCCTGCGAAAAGGGTAAGATTGATATAGACACAGAGAACGGGGCTGTTGATCATAAGTGGGATCGCCGGTTCTTGGAACATGTAGTTTATGTTCCATCCACGGTTTCTTTGGCTAGAAGGAAGAAATCACTAATACGAAGGGCAAATGATAATTGTCGTTCTATTTGTCGAACAGTTACTATGCGAAGACGAGGGAGGATTATGTGAAGATTGATAGGAAGCTGCTGAACTAATTTTCATTACAGTAAGTGAACAATGATACTTTGTTACTAGCTATGTCTTCAAGAAGTTATACATTCATGATTCATTTCCTGCCTAGTAATTTATGCAGAGAAGATGAACTCTTTATATGATGATATATATGTGTACGTTCTCCATTTCTCCCTTATCATTATAACCTTCAAGAACGATCCTCAACAGATCGCTTCATATGCTTTACCTATGATCAACAGAAGCTCTAATACAAATACTAAATTACATACACAGACAACAAAATTGGTATAATACTTCGTAATTATACCTGTAGAACAGGAGCAAATAGTGTACACAAATACAGCTATTTTACCTGTACATAAAGCTGTGATCTTCGAACGTCTAGTTTCGCAGTATCAGATGAAGCGAGGCACTTTCACCGGGCGTTGAGGATCATACGCAAAACGCTCTTCATCTTTGGTCTTGCCTCTGGCAAGGCACTGACGCAACTGAGAGCAACCTTAAGAACGGAAAGCATTTGGCTTCTCACAGAAAGTGAGCCTCTGCTGATGCTACCTTCAATGATCCCGTCCCACCTGTCTTGATTCTTCGAGTTGCTGGCAGCCCACTTGGCCAATTCGATCCCATCGCTCACTGCTGGTTTCCCTGTAACTAGTTCGAGCAGGATGACTCCAAAGCTGTAGACATTTCCGGCCATCGTTACCCTCATCGTGTAAGCATACTCTGCAGAGATAGAAACATAACGTCATTCATATCTGTATCTGATCAGAGAACCTTCAAGCCAAAGATAGGATCTTTTTTTCTTTCTTGGTGTTCTTATTACCTGGAGGGATGTAACCCACAGAGCCAGCAACCATAGAAAGGCTGCCGGTGCTCTTTGAAGGATCAATGACCTTGCACAGCTCAATATCTCCAACAACAGGCTCCTTCATTGACTTCAGCAGAACATTCCTGCTCGAAAGGTCGAGCAGAAGAATCGGTCCCATGCTACATCCATGGAGAGATGCCAATCCTTGAGCTACTCCCACAGCTATACTATACCTACTAGGCCAATCAACAACCATCTTCTCTTTCCCAACCTTATGAAGAAGGTCAAAAAGGCAACCCTGATTGAAGTTCTCATAGAACAGATAAGCACTGTCCTCCGTCAACACATATGCCAATGGTGTCATCACATTTGAATTGCTCAATCTCCCCAACACCTCCAATTCCTCAGTGAACTTATCATGCCCGTTCATCTGAAAAATCTTCTCACTCAAGTTGAGCTTCTTGACCAAGTAGATTGCTCCTGAAGGCATGATGGCCTTATAGTAAGTGCAGAATCTCGTCCTGAGCATGATGTTTGCAGGGTCGGCAACCACGTCCATTGCTTTGAAGAAGTCGATGCTTGATCTGTGGATTCCACTCGACGTCAGGAGGTTTCCATGGATGACATGCTGAGGTGGTCCGACGAAATGATCATTTTCCCCTGGCTCAGATTGCTGATCATTGTTAACTTTGAGAACACGTCTTGAGAACAAGAGAACAGAGATGGCGACCACAGCAACAGCTAGAACTGCAGATACAGCAGCAAGAATGACTCCGATGGCTACCGACCTCTTCCTTTTCTGAGGAGGCGGTGGGGTTTGTTTCGTGGGAGGGAACACGAGTTCATCATTTCCAGTTGTGTTAAGAGCTACAAAGCTTCTGAAAGGTGGAACAGCTCCAGACAAGTTGTTGTTCGAGAGTGAGAGTTGGATTAAGGAAGATAATCTGACAAGGGAATCTGGAATCTCTCCAGAGAGCTGGTTGTTCGAGAGATCAAGAACTTCCAAGTCTCGTAGTTGTGCTAGACTGTTTGGAATATGGCCATCGAGATGGTTACTGCTGAGATTCAAAGCGATCTGCAATTTGACTGGCATTGGTGGGATTATACCGGTCAGCTGGTTCTGACCAAGCTGGAGCTCGATTAGAGAGTTCATTTGGCTGATTGTGACTGGTATGCTTCCACTGAGATCGTTGCCTTGCAAAGTTAAGTGAGTAAGCTTTTGCAAGTTTGACACTGAATGAGGTATTGAACCATTCAGTGAGTTCCAGCTGATGTTAAGGATTGACAAATTCAATAACTGGGTGATTTCCTCCGGGATGGGACCGGTCAGATGGTTGATTTGAAGCTTCAGGACTTGGAGATTGACAAGATTTCCAACTGATTCAGGGAGGAAACCAGTCAACTCATTGTCAGCCAAATTCAACAAGGCCAACTTCCGGCAAGAACCCAGTTCACCCGGAACTACATTACTCAAGCTGTTATTGTCCAGCTCCAAATATGTCAGACTCTGAAGTGAAGCAAATGAGGCAGGAATGTTTCCATTCAGCGCATTGCTCCCCAGCCTCAGGCGAAACAAGGACGAGGATAAGTTTGCAGGGATTGCACCATTCAACGAGTTGTAAGAGAGATCGACAGACGTCAACCTTGGCTGTGCTAACAAATCATCCGGAATTGGACCAGTTAAGTTGTTGTAGCTGAGGTCTAGTAGCCTAAGAAAGTTTGTTAGCCCCATCGGAATGCTGCCATCAAACTGGTTTTGATTTGCTGCAAACCTCTCCAATGCTGGAATGTTTGAAATCGATGGTGGGATTGCTTCACTCAACTGATTGGCTGACAGAATCAGAACCTTCAGCCTGGTGAGGGATCCGATGTCGGTAGGAACAGAACCCGAGAGATGATTGACACTGAGGTCAATCAAGCTCAAGTTCCTGTAATCCCCAATTTCTCTAGGTATTCCTCCACTGAATTTGTTCACAGAAAGAACAAGCTCCTCTAATCCAGTTGAATTCCCGATTCTCCCAGGAACCGAACCAGTGAACTCATTCCAACTAAGATTCAAGCTTTTCAGGGATTGCAATTCATCCAGCTGAAAACTAACATTCCCAGATAATGAATTGAAAGACAAATCCAGAGTTTCCAACCCTACAAACCCTTTGAGAACTGGCAAAGAACCCACTAACTGATTTCTGCTGAAATTCAAAAATTTCAACCCATCCATCCCGCTACAACCGGCGATGAACGCATCAGGGATTGAGCTCAAATGGTTGTTGGAAACATCGAGGGAGAGTAAAGATTCGATCTTGCAGACATCGAGTAAGAAATCAGAGGTAGAGAGACCAAAACCAGATAGGGAAAGAGCTGTTATGGACGAATTATCGGCTGAACAGAGCACTCCTCGCCATGAACAAGGATTAGGCTGACTGGAAGGGCTCCAGGGGACGGCGGCGGAGTTGTTCGTGAGCTTCCCGGCGATGTCGATGACGGCTGTTGTCTGAGCTGGAGACAGCTGGGAGACGGCGGAGAATGGAAGGGAGGATAATAAGAAGAACAAGGAGAAGAGGAGGGAAGACATGAATTTGATGATGATTTCAAGTTTCAGTTTCACCATGTTCTGTCTGCAGAATTTGCGCCGGTTGCCGCCTGCTACTTGTTTGTTCTTCTTCCTTTCCCTCTCTCTTCTCCTGGGAGTGGTTCAGGAAGTCAAAACATATATAAAACTGGGAGTTTGTTCGTTAAAAAATTTGTCTATAGGGAGATGGAAAGGAAATGTTAGGGGGTGAAGAGAAGAAGTGGAAATCTTTGGATTGGAGCTGGAAATGAAGGTATGAGGGAAAATCATGGATTTTTCCCCCATTATTATGACCTTTCAAGACTAACAATACCTAATTATTTATTTTGATGTTTATCGACATAAATTTATATTTATTCAGATTATAATCGTGTTAATTCATGTAATAATTTACCCAAATAATAATTGTTATTCACATTGTTGTAAAATCAATTGGTATATTTTAAAATATATTAAATATTTCGAATGACCAAACATGAACGTTATACAAGCGTGAACGGTAAAGTTACCCTGAAAATCAAAACATCCCATACACTTCCCTACCATTCGGCCAAAGGAGGATTGATCTTCGGTTCCAAACTTGGAGAAATCATTCTGCATACTTATTGGAAAGATAGATTGGAAAAATTCCAAGCTTTGAATGGAAATTTGTAAGGCAGAAAAACCCGGGAAGAAAGCTAGAAAGGACGAAATTTGACGACAAGGTTACTTGTAGATTTGCCGTTTATGTCAAGTTTCCAATAAAGTCAAGTGTTTGTCTCTCTTACAAGTGTGCAATGGCCTGGTATTGTATCCAACAGCACCGGATCAAAATTGGTGTTTAGATCGAATCGTACCGAACTGAGTATAACATGGTCCGGTTTTTGGTCTTATGAGTTTTATAATTACTGAAGAAATATGGATCGAATGGATGAATGGACCGAACCAAAATGGACCGAATGAAATGATGGTCTGATCTTTAGTTTTAAAATATCTTTCACAACAAGACCGCGATTCTCATGGTCCGAAACGGACCGAGCCATTGCACACCCCCTAGTCTCTCTCTAACCCATAACTTTGCTTTTGTTTTCAGTTATTAGAATCTAAATGCCTCCTATGGAAATTAGAATCTAGCATCCAACTGATTTTTCTTTCAGAATTACATGTCAATCTTATTCAATTCTTTGTTGTATTTCTTATTAGAGTATGTATAATACGAGTAGTAATGCATTATATTATAAATATTGTTATTTAATTAAGTAGAGTTACATTCTTATCAAAATTATAGAAATTAAAGTATTTTTCATATTAGTATTAGCGTTATTATAGGAGTAAGTTACAAAGCACTGGGTTGTGCTTGACCCGGCACAACACGAATACGCTTCGGATCGTTGTTTATTATTATTATAATAATGAAATTATAAGCTAAGGTAGGCGTGTTGGGAGGGGCGTTGACCGGTGCCTAGTGTTGGAAAATGAAAAGGAAGACTTTGCTTGACTGACTGACAGATTGATTGTGAGATTGAGAAGAGACACAAAGACAATGGAAGATGCGAAAAAAGATATATATATCTGTATTATTGTTATGTGGGTGTGTTTTTTGAAAGTAGAATTCCCTCTTTCGTCGAGTAGTTATTTTGTTGACCTCCAAACAACATGGACGTCCAGGAGTATTCACGCCATAATAATATTGCATGGTATTGTGTTGTACATTTGTACTAGGGATTTTTTTTTTAATTGTACCACGGAATTTAAATAAAAAGAAAAATGATCAAAAGTTAGATGAAAACGTGGTCAATGTAAGATGACCAATTGATAATTCGGCTAGGATGCTAGTGTTTCCTTTGTTTCTTTGGTAATGTAAGTCAGCTACTAGGAAAAATATAATTTGTGTCTGATTATAAAGATATTTCTATTTTTCATTTGTTTTCTTAATCGACTTATATTTTCTTCGTTATAATTCGGATTTCAATTTTTTTTGCACAGATGAACGACTTAGTTGTGCTCAACAAAATGAGATACATTTTCAATATTTTTTTGTTTCTCTGTATCAACTGCATATCATATGATATCTTCTTCGTTAATTTTTTTTGCACAAAACGAACGAGTTCATCATGATCTATTGGATCTACAAATTTCTAGGTTAACAAAATACATGACCAAAAAATACCATACAACACCACCCTGGTACGGGGTGGTATCTTGTGGTACACAATGTTAAAAGTCGTAAATTACAGTTAATATACTTATTCTATCATGTATTCAACCATCCTACAGTCTTAGTTTGTTCATACCACCATGTTACGCTTTTCATACCATAGGTACACTCTTATTTCAATACCAGTCATTACTATATGGTATAGACCGGTAAAAAATGACTCAATTTTTTTTGTTCAAAAAATAAATCAAAGTGAATATCATTTTGACAAGCACAATTTATCTGATCTAATTGTGCAAAAAAATTAATTTAGAATTAAAACGAGTGAGAAATCGCTGTTAAAGATTAATGGGGAAATTAAACACTTTTCAAGAGAGTTAAAAGACGCTGATGTGGTGGATTCTGATTGGGTTATGCATAGTTATTAACCACAAGGTTGGGACAAGTCGACCTAGTGAGTATGTAGTTTATATGAAAAACATTAGAAATATTTGTTATTTTCATTATAAAACCAAAAAACAAACCATAATATGATAAAATGTAGTTAAATTATTGGAGAAATTGAGGTTTTGTCTAATTTACAACTTTGATATAGCTAAAATATGATGTAATAGAAGAAAAATCATAAATAATTTGACTAAGATTACATGTAATTTAGCTGATAACGGGTCGAGAATAGAGTGGGTCAAGGCAAATTGGATCGATGAGAGTACTCATTCCCGTCCGGTCCGTCTAGAGGAAAATGATAGACCATACTTGACATCTCTATGTTGATGAACACATTCTAGTTGTTTAAACTTTGAAGTAATTGCATTGCAGTAGTTGATTGTTCCACACCTGGTCAGCTAAATCAAATCTTACATGAGAGAAGCAGTCTGCATAACTATTACAAGCCAGCACCTTCTTCAACTGCATCCAGGTATGGGAAGCAAGGTCGGGGCAAACTCGAATGCTCTACCAATAACATCAAATGGAAGCAGCTTAAATCCGCATCCCCTGGAATCACAGGCAATGCAATCGACGTATATCGCCAATAAGCTTTCGACATCGACACCCCATATAGCCTCCACTCGGCGAGGGAGGCCATGCGTAGGAATGGAAACTAAACCAGACCAAGATGATTCTCCTTCATCGTACAACCAGACACTAAGCAATGGCTCCTGCAAATGCTGTACAAGCATGGCAAGTGATCCTTTCCAGGCACAAATTGTCCTGTTAACAGGCAATGAAGGTGAATGTGCTCTATCAGCAGCATCTGGAATCGAAATCCACTCCAAATTCACCTCGCGTAGTCTGAAGGAAAGCACCATACCAGAACTAGTCTCCATCCAGTACACTCTGCCCTCGGTCGAAACAGGGGAATCGGGAAAGCTGGGAGGTCCAGGAGAAGTAAGAACGATGTCGTTGTAAAAGCTCTCGTCGTCATGGATTTTTGTCCAGTACCGTTTAGCCCAAGTTAGAACCTCAACCTGAATCGCATTCTCCCAACACAAAACCCTAACCGACTTGTAATCGTCGGCCTCCGAATCGTACCCGAATCCAGCAACGACGACGCAGGGGCGACGGCGGTAGCGAAGGTTGCAGATGCAGTGTTCCTGAAAGAAGATCGGCGGAGGAGCGAAGCTGAAATGGGAGGTGGCCGGGTTCCACAGGACCCAGTACTCTCCCCGTCGACGGACGATCAAACAGACCAAACCGTTGAAGGATCCGGCGTAGCTGAACAAGGACTCCCCTCCGCCGTAACCCTCGAGGAAGGGGAAGGGGAAGGAGAAGTTCGAAATCAAAACCCCATCTTTCGTCTTCCCCTGTATCTCCGGTGGTAAGAATGAGGCCGCTCTCCCGGATTGGGAATCGGCGAGGACGAGAAGGCCGGCGCGATTGAGGCAGGAATCGCGGGCGTGGGCGCCGATGAAGTCAGGGGATTGAATTAGGTTGAGATGGTAGCGGGACAAGAGCCTGAAGCGGAACAGAGACCTCGCCGGCAGTTTGAATAAGATGCCGTCGACGAGGTGTTTCGGTAAGGAGGAGAAATTGGGTGCGTGGGCAGCAGCAGCCGTCGGTTTCCGCTTCAGTTCCGGCGACAAAATCTCGGGAGGACCGGTCGTTTGCTTTCTTTTCATGGCAGCAGATAGATAGATTGCGTATGCGTTGATATGGTTTCACTCTGTTTCCGATTTTGTTTATCGCCTCTATTAGCGCCTGACGGTGACTCTAAGAAACAGACAACACCGTAGGGATTTTACTTTTCTAATTAGGATAAGGATTTCCGGTTTCCGGACAAACTTCGACTTCCCTAGTGGTAGGAGCCAAACCGCTCACGAGCAATTCTACGTTCGAATCTGTAAAAACTTGTTCGACACTCGACTCGTTATTTAATAAATCGATTCACGAGTCGACTCATTAGTAATGTATATTTTGTGGTGGTATCACATGGTAAGATATGGTATGATGTTGCATAACATAACAGGCATAACACAGATATATAACAATACATTACAATAATGGTGTCATACGTTACCATGTTATATAATGGGAACTTTTGTTGTGATATGCTATATAAGACATTGGTACCACATTGTATAGTATGATATCAGTGGCGGATCCAGAATTTTTTTACAGGGGTGTTCTTTTCTAAAAAAATTAAATTAAATCAAAATTTTAAATTAAATAATTCATAAATTAGAAAATACTCGTCTGGTACAAATTTTCACAAAAGGTCACAACGTGTTTTTATATTCTAAAAAAAAGAATATAAAATAGACTCCGTTCTCTACACTGCTCAACAAATCTGCTACTAGACAATAATTCACGAACTGATTCGCATATTTGATTTCTAACTTTACTCTTAATGTAACTCAAAGTTGAAAAATAAACAAAAACCAACCCACCGACTTCTTCAACTGCCAGGGATGGGAACCAGGGTGCCAGCAAACTCAAAGGCTCTGCTAATAACATGAAATGGAAGCTTCAATCTGGCAGCTCCGGTACTGGAATCACAGGCAATGCAGTTGATATAGAGTAAGAACAAACTTTGGCCATTGACGCGCCATATGGCCTCCGGTATGCACGGGGAACCCTGCAACGGAATGGTAAGTAAAGTAGACCATGATGACTCTAATTCGTCAAACAACCAAACGCTAAGCAACGAGTCCTGTACTGGTAGCACAAACATGGCCAGTGACCCTTTCCAGACATTAATGGTCCTCAGAACAGACCAAGAAGGTGAAGAAGCTGCTGCAGCATCGTCGTCGGGAGTCGAAATCCACCCCAACTTCTCATCGTGTAGTTTGAAGCAGAGCACCATACCAGTACCCGTGTCCATCCAATACACTCCACCATTGCTGGTTGCCACGGGAAGATTCTGAAAGCTCCAGGATTCTTGCCGTTTCAGAGTGAGGATGGTGTCCAAACTCCTGTATCGAATTTCTGTCCACGACCTCTTGGCCCAACTCAGAACCTCAACTTGAACTCCACCACCACCATCCTCCTCCCACCACGAAACCCTGACCGACTTGTAATCGGCAGAGTCGTACCCAAATCCAGCAATGACCCTGTGCGGGCGTGCGCCGTTGCAAAAGCAATCCCTCTGAGGCAAGATCGGCGGAGGGGCGAAGCTGAATTGGGAGGTGGCCGGGTTCCACAGAACCCAGTACTCTCCCCATCGATGGAGGATCAAACAGACCAACCCATTGAAGGATCCGGCGTATCTCAACTTGGGTTCCTCTCCGAATTCGTTGTAACCCTTGAGGAATGGCAAGGGGAGGTCCGAAAACCCGTTCTTCTTCACTGGTTTGATTGAGGTTCCATTGCTATTATTGGGTGGTAAGAAATAAGCCTGTTTTTTACCGGAGATGGATTCAGCGAGGACCAGAACGCCGGCGCGATTGAGGCAAGAATCGCGGGCGTGGGCGGTGATAAAATCAGGGGATTGAACGAGATTGAGATACCTACGGGACAAGAGCCTTAAGCGTGACAGAGATGTTGCCGGCAGTTTGAACAAAAATGTCGACGATGATGTTTTCCGGCAACTTTTGTGCGTGGGCGGCAGTGATTCGCTTTCTCCCCATCGTCATAGCATAGTTTCAATTTTTCAATTACGTGATGATTCACTCCATATATATAACCTTTTACCTCGTGCATTCATCGCTTTCCCTTTTACTAGTAGGATAGGGATATTTTTTTCTGTAGCCACCATGAGCACTTCTACTATACTATATAGCATTTGTGCTTTAATATACAACTTGAAGTTGTACCATAACATTAAATGTATAAGTTTAGGTTGTTCCATCACATAAGGTACAAGTTTAAGTTGTACCATAAAAGAATTTGTACAAAAAGTATAGGTATAATCTGAAGTTGTACCATAACATTAAATGTACAATTTCAAGTTGTACCATAAAGGCAAAAACCTATAGCACCAATGCTATATAGCATTGTAAAATTCTTCTTTGTAACATGATTCTAAACCAGTACCAGCTAGGGAAGCTTTATTCATAACCATTACGATGACAGTTTTGGGCCAATAAACATAAATAACTAATGCGAGAAAGAAGCATATTTGTTCAAACATTAATACTTTTCCATCACAAATTTTGTTGCATACTAAAGTTTTTTTTTATAAGAGTGATATAGGTTTCAATTTGTCATTAAGGTACTACTTAAGAGATTCGAATCTGGGACATCCAGGATCTAGGCTATACCACTAGACCAAGCCATTGTTCGTTCGAAGAAATTGATGCTTCACCTGCTACTCAAAACCAACAGATCATGAGAATATTGCAGAGACGATTGTTAAAGATGAATATCAAGCTTTAGAGGATATGCTCGGAAGGAGAAATGAAGACAATATCAAGCTTTAGGGGGTCTTCTATGTTTCCTCTCCTTCACTTCCTGGAAACAAAAAACAACACATGCAAGTCAAAACCCTGAAAAAAGTATCTTCGATTAAACCATCATTCATCATCCCTAATTTTAGTTATTTTAAATATCTAAAGCTAGAATTTCATATGCTTTATTCAACGAAAATAATAAGCAATTAGTTCGAATATAACAATTTTACAAATCTAAATCTTATTCTCCAAATATATCAATATTCAATTTCTCAGTGCGCACTTAATGAAATCTCAACCATTTTCTTTAAAAGCTCATAAATGAAGACCAAATTGTAGGAATTGAAAAAAAAAACTATTTAATTTTACTGAAAAAACTTGTAGTTTTTTTAGTTATAGATGTCCCTAAGGAAAACAGTATAGATACATGAATAGTGGAGTTAATACTCCTGCACGAGGCCATCCTATTGTGTCTGGATAGTGGTCTCTCGAAGGTTCGGTACGAAGGAGACGCAAAGGTGGTCGTTGATAAGGTCAACCAGCCCGATAAGAAGGATAATCTCTATGGAGCAATTCTGAAGGAAGTACATTGTTTGCTAGCAAATTATAGTCGCCTTACTGTACAATTTGTAAGTCAAAATCAGAATGTGCCTCATTTTTATCAAACTATTTGCAAGTTTACTCATACCTGATCAATATATGAATTTTTCCAAACTAGTAAAGTCGGAGGCGATCAATGTCCTGCAAATCATGAGATTGATTACCATTCCTACCAGCAATTACTCTGTCAAGAAAATTGATCTCTCGATATAATTGAGGGATTGGATACATATAATCAACCGTCTTGGGGCCCTATAGACAGAACAGAGAATTCTACATATTCAGGAAAGCCCTTTCTAAACTAAACCAGTGGAGTTTTAAACTTTTGGACCCTTACAGCCAGCCCAAAAGCCCATCTTCCTAAAGTTTGTGGGCCTCCATGTTCGTGGATTGCTTTCAAATGATATGATTTCCACCCAACTTTGGGAGAGGAGTAGAATTCCATATGGCTAATCGTGGAAGACTCTTTCATTTTGACTTGTTCCATGCTCAAGAAAATTAATTAAACAAAATATATGTTATTGACAGTAATTAACATGCGTGGGAACTGAAAATTTGAGGGTTGGTTCGAGGTCGCAATGGGGATTTATTTGAGTATATTAGCTGGCAATTGGAATCTACGATTGATGTTTAGAATTATCAATTAAGACACGCTAATATATAAAAACTACTTCATTTTAGTTTTTGTATTTTACAAAGTTTTGAGTAATAGTATCTTTTCGATTGGTCATCATCTCTCCAATCTTTGCTTCTTTTTCTCCAGGGTGGGACTTCCAATCTTTGTACAATTTGTCTTCTTTAAGTTTGTCTTTGTTAAGTTTATTTATATGAGAAATTGCTATATTGTGAATTTGACTTTCACTAGTTCAAATTTAAATAAGTGAAACAAAGAAGAGGAGAAAAAGTTATATTTTATCGAAAATATTTTGGAATAATTTGGGCAAGCAATTTATTGAGAGATTATTTTTAGGTTCATTGTTTATGAGTGAAAATGAGGGTATAATGCTCTGTTTTCATAACTACATCGGGTGCTGAATCAAAAAACTAGTGGTTAATTATTAAAAAATTGTTGATAGAACCGTTCATGATATATAACATACAAAAATTGTATAATACACTAATTTAAGAAAATTAGAAGAGAGCTGAAATTAAATTAATAATTCTGATTTGATGGTTTTAGTGTATGGTTAAAGGATTTCTTATTTATTTTGTGATTAAATTAGTGAATTAGTGGACCACCTAAATCGTGGTGGTCAATCTGGTTTTATTTTGAACCATGAAAAACCGTCTGGTCTATAAATAACTGTCTAAAGCGTTGAACCGAACCGCTTTCTCAACCGATTAGAAGGTTCTATTGGCCTAGCCATTAATCTGATTTGGTTCTTATAACAATGATATAATGGATCAGATTATTGTAGCTTACAACTTAATTAGGCGGAGGAAAGATTTGTAAAAAGCTCGTAGAGCTTGCAAATTAGCAATTTGGCTTATCATTGCTTTTATAGAATTTAACAATGTTCGCATCAATAACAAAAAACACATTACCTACAATAATCATACTTTAAATAATGGTTAAACTTAGTTTTCCGAAATTTGACAATTTCAAATCAACTTTGACTTACTAAACACCTCATTCCAAGCTCCAGCTACCACACACATTTCATTGAAAATTTCAGTCTTAATGCTATTATGTTATCTATTATCTAATAAGTTTTAAAGAAAGGTGCTTGCTATGATGGAGTCTTAATGACACATTTTTATGTTAAAATAGTTATGCCATGCCATGAATTTTATCGGATGTTCCTGAAGGGACCAATTCATGCCATGAATTGCTGGTACTCCCCGTGACGGATCTTATATGTGGTTGTTAATATCGTATCAAATTTTTTCTTTCTTTTTCTTCTTTCATTTTTTGGTGCTCTTTTCTTGACTTTTGATGTAAGTTAGTTTTGACTTTTTTGTTTGTATTTGTTTTTCTCCATTTTTGTAGTCTGTTGTCATCTTCTACTTTCTTTTTTCGTTTTTTTTTCATGTTTGTCCCACATTTGTGTGGGTTTTTTCTTCCATTTAGTTGCCTGGATCCTCTTTTCTTTTACTTCGTTTTGATAATAATACTTGATCTTTTCATCCATAAAAAAAAACTCTTTATGTGGTTCTAATTTCTAACCGAGAATCAAGAGACCATCTTTTCTTTCTTTGCGAGTATTCTGGTTCAATACTCCTTAGTTACCAAATAGGGAATCCAAATCCCCATTACTCAATGTTCCTGGGCCGGTTTTGTACGGCCAAATTTCATCATGAGTATACTTCAAAACTCAAAATCATTATTATGCTCTAAGTACGGCTAAAATGCTAAATCAATAGTCCGTTAATCATACCAAATACTAGATCAAGTATCAATTATATAAGAAAAAATCAATTAATTCAAAAAACTTTGTACCTAATTTTCATAAAGTTAATTGACAAAAACCTACCTACACCAAACCCCACCACCATCTTTTTTATGCAAAACCTTGCTTGGTCGCAAAGTTAAACCACCTTCTCATGAATCCATCTCTCTTCCTAACCAAAAGAAACTTGGAAGAATGGAGACTCTTCTCAAGTGCAATCATCATCATCAATGAAGAACATAAGAAAGGGAACAACTATGTGTGATCATCCCAATATTACTCCAAGTTACAAGAATCAAGTATTAATCCGTATGATCAAGTTAGCAAAGCTACAATTAACCTAGCTAGTTTAACCCAAAATCTCAAGAAACTAACAAAAAAAAAAATGATCTTCATCATGAACCTCTTTGTTTCATACACAATTCCAAGTCGAAGCCGTCAGCAAGCACCTGTCTTGCCACCCTAACGAAATCGCCTTCCCGTTGTCCCTCTCGAAAACCCTAAACCCCGCACCACCGCTCTCCCCATCCACCTCCACCGTCGGACCGTAATGCGCCCTGATCTTTAGCAACAGCTTCGCCTGAATCAACGTCGTCGAGCTCAGCTTCGCCCCAGCAAACCCATGCCCTTCCATCCTCCCTTTCCACGTCTCCATCTTCTCGTACCGTGGTGGGGGCCCACTCTTCGCCCACCCCTGATGATGTCTCAGGTTCGAATCCTCGTAATCATCGCAGTTCAACATCGTCTTGATCTCCTTCCCCAACAAATTCTTCTCGATCCCTAGCCTCTCGGGGCTCTCCATAGGCAAACAATCATCCAACGAATCAAACATCGCCGCGAAGTAGTGCAACGATTCCATAAAACGCGAAAGAAACGATGTCGTATTTCGATACCCCTCGTGCTCGACGAGTACGACCACCGACGGGTCCAGCGCGTGGACCGACCTCAACGTGTTGGAAATCTTGACCGGGTCGCCGCCGAGCGTGTTCAGGTGGAACACCAGATTCACCGCCACCGTCTCGTTCTTCCGCTTCCTCAGGTTCACGAGCTTCGCGCCTCTCAACAACCCTTGAAACTCGAACGCCACGTTTCGAAACCCTTTAGCGAAGCTGACGAGGCGGGACTCTGTTTCCCGGATCTCGTCGGGTCCCCTGCCGAACCCGGTGACCCGGAGGGAGATCCGGTTCGTCTGCGTGGCCCGCTCCGATAAGGCCTGGATTAACGACGGCCACTGAAGGCCGTACGATACGTCGAAGTCGATGACGTGGAGGGCGCCGCTGTTGCCGCCGGCGGCGGCCTCGCGGTCGAACGCCTCGATGATCGACTGATTCGCCGTGAAGTGGGCGAATTGGTAGCAGGGGGAGACCCGGTAGAGATCGGTGAAGGCGAGGAACTCCTCCTCGGCGGTGGGGCGCTTCATGATCGTCTCGTAGAAAGGGGATTTCCGGGTCAGGACCCGGGCCGACAACCCGTCGGCGAAGTGGGCGACGACCCGCTGAACAGAGTCGCCCACCAGCGACACGGTCCGGTAGAGCTCGGCGAGGTTCTCGAGGGCGGAATCGGAGTTCCCCTCGTCGACCGCCGTGGCGGCGATGAGGAGCGAGTGTATCAGGTGGAGTCCCTCCTTGCTCCCGCCGTCGTTTTCGTCCTCTGCTGGCGGAGGAGATTTCCGATGATGGGTCGTGTCAGTTCGCGGCCGCTTGATTATCTGCTCGCGCATTTGGAGGAGACGGAAGATCTTCCCCTCGATGTTTCCGCCGTCGTGATTCGGGCTGCCGTCCGTCGTCGTCGACGATGATGAGGTCGACAGCAGGGGCAACGGCGGCGATCGCTTCCTCTTTATCCCCCCGCCGCCGCTGTCGGTGCGACGATCCGTCGTACGGACGGCGATGGACAGGCTGAGATTCAGATCGTCGGCTTCGAGATCTTCCATTTTGGATGATGGGATGGTATAAATTTTTGGGCAGAGCTGATTAATTTCTTTCAATTTGAGAGATTTGATTCGTTTTATATATGAAAAAGAGACGGAGGAAAAACGGATCATAGGGTTGTTTTTCTTCTTAATAATATGCTTTGAAAATTTTATTAGTTTTGGATTTTGGATTTTATTCCCTTTTGTCGTCTTGTGGGGCCGGGAGCAGAAGGAAAGAAGAAGTAGCTGTCCGTGGTCGGGCGTCAAAATCCGGCGGATATGCTTTGTGGAATTTTTGGAGGAACCATGACGGTTGGTCTCCTCCAAGGTGTGAATAACCAAACTACAAATTAGTCCCTAAACTTTTGTGGTACAAATCAAACTACAAAGTGGGGGAACGAGAAGGAAATGCGTGTTTTTCAAGGGTTAGCGATCGAGCTAGTCGTGACCATCATGAAGGAGAGTTCGACGATTCGCTTGGGTACTGTTTTGGTTCGAAGAGAACTAGCAGGAATGAAAGTTTGAAATTGTACGAGCAAGGTGATCTTTAAAATTATAAATTTTGATAACAGTACCGAGCACAACACATTGAGTTTTTCTCGAGTGACATGCAAAAAGTAGCTAAGAAGGGATGATAGGAAGACAATTTTAGTAGATAGATAGAACGACGCCTAATTGCTCAAATCATAAAGTCCAATTTCATTATCAGTTACGGGTGACAACAAATGTCATTCTAACCAGGTGGCATAAAAAGATATCGTTGCCAGTACTCAAATTTGATACAGATCATGCTTGTCTCATGAAAAGCGTGAATCATTTTGCATGAGCAATGCTTGAAGGACACAAAGTACACAAATCACCATATTTTCCAGACCTCTTCTTCAACTAACAGTGTTTCATTCATGTCATACCGTAGATTTTAATAAAGGATCTATACAAGATCATATTCACCAGTGCAACATAAGAAGTTCAATTAGATTGTTTAGTAACGATCACAACACACATAGAGTCTCGAGCATCAACTTATTATAAGTAAGATTCTCTAAATCATCGAGTTGATTTGAATGTTTTTTTTTTTTTGTACACATCAAAACCGTTCATGACACTTAAACAATGAGAGCCACATATAGCAATTCCTGGTTATGATGCATCGTTTGCTAACTACACGAGAAAACAGTTCCTCGACATCGTATCCTCGCCCTAATAGTTCGAAAGAAAGGTAACCCGATCTCCACCTCTCTCCCCATTACCATTGCTTAATCGAACACGTACTCCACAGAAGTACATTGACATCGTGATGCTGGACTCGTTTGCCATTTCAACAAATCTCAACCACGGTCACGAAGCTCGCATCGAAATCATAGTATAGTGGAATGAAATTAACCATGGATTGGGATCGAGGAGGAATTTCAGGTTTGGAGTTCTCGAGGTTGTGAAAAAAAAATACCGATTCCAAGTCGACAAACAACAGCTGTGTGTTACCACCACTACCCCCAAAAAAAATTCAGCAAGGTAGTTGGAATCAATTTTCCCGCCACCTACCGTCAGTGGCCGTCCATACGTACCGGTCTCCACCTTCTTCTTCTTCCACATTTTATTTATTATAGAAATCAATTCTCACATCACTAGTTTTTCCATCTCTTCTAGATTCCTATTCCAGCTGCCGTAGTTTCTTGTTTTCTTATATTCCTGGCCAACAGAATTTGATTCGAGTTTCGCCATTGTACATCTCCTTTCTAGTTTCGTACGTAAGGTAGGAAAGGGTAAATTTTTTCTGTTTTTATGGTTTTTTTTTTATCTCCATCCAAACTAATCATTTGACTTTCTCCTTGATGATTCCAATTGTTGTTTTGACATGAAAGGTTAAAGGGAAAAGAGAGTGATTTTTATTACCAGAGATAGATTCACGAATGGGACATAATGTCTCAAATAGGTTGTTTTAAAAAAAATGATTACTATGCTTCATTTTTTACATTTTACAGAAAGACGGGTCGTGACATTGATTTGCTTGTGTTGACATTGAGCAATAGAGACTGCTTACAGTCTTTTCCTTTATGCAAGATTTTCACAAAAATTGAGGTTTCAAGCACAACAGCAAGTCAGCAACCCCTTTACAATTAGGTGGTCTCAAATTATTTGAATCGTCGTATTTTGACTTGTGCTATCTACTTTGCATGGCGAGTGCATTTAGGACATTTTGATTGTGATTATATGGATTCTCAACTTAGGTAGAGTGATCAAAGTTGCCAAAATAAATTAGGTTGAAGCTATTGAAACTCATGTGTGAAGTGATCAATTAATGTATTTTGTGAGAGTGTCGTGTGTAAGTGCCTCGACTAAGGAGCATTTTGGACTCGATTGAATTTGGGACAACACGTCACGCGATCTTGAGAGGATTGTCTAACGAATTAGACAAGCAATATTCCAACTCCTTAAGTCTTTAAACTCCAGACCCCCTTCTCTCTTATTCATAGCTACATGTTTCCAAGCAACCTTAGCTTTCTTACCCTCTGCCTCAACATTCCACAAGTAATCTGAACATACCTTCTCTATCGTTTTGACAACTTTAATAACTGACAATTGTAAAATTCCCATCAAATTCAGAGATATAGAGGAAATAACAGCACAGACAAGTTGAAATTTCCAATCATATAAAAGTGTTTTTGCCGCCCGTTCTCTTTATTCTAACTATGATTTTGTCTATCAGACTTATACATTCTCATTCCCAACTCGCCGTCCGGTAAAGAGATCCCCGAGCATCTTACTTGAAATTCCCTATGGGAAACCTAGTTTTTCCTATTATAGACTTCATTTCATCTTTGTCAAAAAAAAAGACATTACATAATCATGAAGGAGAAGTTCAGACATCTCCTATGAAGTAATTAGTAAATTTTAACAAAAGGAACCTTCGTTAATTAACTCGTGATGTATACTGTGTACTTCCAGATGATTATATATATGCAACTTAATGTCGTTTTGTGTAAGGAGGACGACATAAATTTCCTTCCCCAGACACATTGGGTTTGTCGGACAAGGATCCTGTTACGGCCTGGATCCCATTATTACTACAATCCAATATTTAATAACTTCGGGTAAATCTATGGTTTACTCCCCATAATGATTAATTTAATTATATCTGCGCCCGACAAAAGATTAACTAATTTGTTAATCATCATTTCCCTCCCTTCTTGTTCGTGAATATATATATTAGCGTTGTGTATTGGAATATTAACTTTGTGGTAGTTGATAAATTCGTCCCAATCCATTCCGTTGAAATTGCCGTTTGAACGTGGAGACCAAAGATGTTTGAATCATTACACAAACTACTATTCTTTCTCCCCCAACCCAACCTTTTTTTTTGAAAGTAACGTCCAACTTTCATGGCTGTACTCCTTCTTTCTTTATTTGTACGTTATTTATAGTTTCGTTTAGGTCTAGGATAGTTTCAATAAACAGATCTGGCTGGTTCGTTTTAAGTGGAATCATGTGTAAAGAATTAGATCAAATGACATTTTTAAGCTTTTTGGCGTAGATGGAACAAGTTTGTTATAATCTACAAAATTATATTTATTTTATATATGTTCCGAAGAATTTTTTTTTTCCCGTAGCACCCATATCATTATGTACCATCTTCGTTTTCTATTCAAATTTTGAGAAATTCTGTCGTTCCTTTTTCATTTACCCATTCACATGTTACATATTTTTCACGTTGCAGAGGGTAGAAGGGTCGTTGTTTTGTTGATTACCTCCCTGTCGTGAAAATAGTTGGTAAATTATACAGACGGTGTAAAACTAAACCGAGAAGGGATTTGATCGGTCTTACTTTGGTGCATGCACCGTTGGTAGGAATGAAAATGAGGCAGGTCCTGGGGGCGGGTATCTCGATACCCACACCTGCCCCCGTGGCAGGTCAGGTCCAGGTCAAATAATTCATCACGGGGGCACGTGTTGGTGCAGGTCGACCCAAATGGGTATGTGTTTGAAAGGAAAACGTTAGAAATACAAACTAATGTATGAAAAATGTAGTTAAAATGATTCGTAAAATTGAGGTTCTCACATGTTTACAACTTCATTCTAGCTAAAAACATGATGTAATAAAAGTAAAATTACATGTAAGTTAGACAAAGACGGGTCAAAAATTGGGCGGATCAGAGCAGATTCAGGAAAGGTCAAGAAAACTACCCATGCCTGTCCCGCCTCGCCTATAAAGCGAGTCGAGCCCGCTTCTAAACAGGTCTTACAAGTCTGATACAACATCTCATATCAAAATTATCATCCCTAATTGTGGGTGATTAATTGCCATCCGTATTGACGTATGAGTCCAAAGTTACCCCATCTCTCACGGTACAGCATTGCCCTCATTTATATATGTTTTCTATAGTTTCTTAGTTACACCATTATTATTATTAGTATCGACGATGCTCCTTGTTTCACACAAAAAGTTGAATTTTGTCGTCCTGTGATTAGCATGTAATTATGGGTAAGCAGTCCTTGTAAACTAAATTTGGACTGTATAGGCCATGGTGGGTAGAGAATATTTTTGGCATTTTTATTACAAGAGGAAGAATGTACAAGACTTCTCCTGCCTGCCTTGAAAGAAATTAAAAAAAGGAGGCAGCCAACACGATTATATGCTTCCTACCATAAAACCTTAGAAAACTCAGACGACATTTGTATTGTTTTATTGATTCATGGGTACGACCAAGAACCAGTTGATGGTTGATGTCAATAACTGAGTTGTTCGGAGATGTTTAATTATAGATCAGATACCACTTATTAATACACCCCCATAAAGTGAAAGCCAGCTCAAAAATACTACATATGGGGCCATCAAGATTCAAACAGAAAGGCTCTGTTGATTCCAATAAATCGAGTTGTTGGGAGAGATTCAATTATAAATGGTATATCGCTTGTAAGGTGCACCCAAAGTGACAAATTAAGAGCTAGGGGCTAAAGCAAGGGGTTTTACCTTGAGCAGAAAATGGCTTATACCATATGACCTACATTAACTTTGTGGATGTAAAATAGGTTTAACATTTAATTACCTTTTTGTTTCCAGTGTCATAAGTCTTTTGATCTACATTTAACTTTGTGAGTGAAAACTAACTACCAATTCTTGGGGTTTATATGCTGAGTTTTGTTTCTCTCCAGTTTGCATAATAAGAGAAACAGCGAGAGAGAGACAACTTTGTTTGGATTCTTTGGGTCTTGGGCTAGATTGGAACGGGCCTATATCTATGGGCCACTTAACTGCTCATTCGGGCCAGTGGCCCATTTGCAATCATTATTAGTTCTAGCGGGAAAGACAAACTCCCCGTCCCGCTATCCTATCTCGACGAGTAAAATGTAAATCAAAATTCATAATAGGGATTAGGGTGAACAGAAAGAAATCAACTTCTCCTTTGCATTTTAGTTCATCTTTTATGATAATCTCCATACTAAATCCACTTGATCAATTTTCATTAACCTCTTATACTACCTTAATTACTTGATTCTCGATCGGCTTAAAGGACGTCATGCTTATTCTCATCATTAATAACGTCATTATGAGTTAATCACTCTTATAAGGGTAAACCACTGTTATAATTAACGAATGGGTTCGAGTGTGCATTTTATTAAGAACACACTCCGCTTTATCGAGTTAAATCCAGTGTTCTCGCATTTTGAGGGCGAGAACGCATTTTACCTTTTTTTGTGATCGACGGATTGGGTCGCGTGTGGATTATGTTAGAAACTCGACCTGCTTTATCAAATCGGTCAGAGAAATTCATGTTCGTTCAAGTTAATTCATGTGTGTTCACAAATTTTGGGTCACTTTGGGATTGAACCCAAATTGAACCCGCCTCTTATTACAATTGAATTCAAAATCCTGCTTTATCGAGTTATATTCAGTGTTGACGCATATGCCCGTCTCCTCCTTTCTCAACTAGCATAGGGTCTGGCCTATTGGGCGGTAGAGTTTTACCTTGCTATTTTAAATATGTTATTATTTGTTCAGTTAATCATAAATACTTAAATCTCTAAATAAATCTCTATCATGTATGCGCGTATCACTTGTGTTTGTTTATCTAAGGCTAAGATTAGGGTAAAATTAACAATCTTTCTTCTTCCATTGCTTAATACTTGACAGCATCAATCATAACCATCCATCAGTTAAAAGAAATGAAAGCATAAGTGGTTTTGATACTCTAGGCAACAATCAAGGCCCAAGGATTATATCAATATATGTGGGTTGACAGTTGACTAAGTTCATATCGAAATTCTCTTGCCTTTTATCATTCAATTCAAACTTGTCCAAGTTACTTGACAATAATAATTCCTTGAAATCATTAATAAAATCCCCTAGAATGTGAGGGATTCATTTGATAACATGTTTTGGTAGAAGTTACTATTGCGAGTTGAAATTTTGGTGAGGCTCTGTGGGTTAAACTTTTTCATCTCATTTTCATATTTCATAAATATACTTGATTCAGGACAAATAATTAACAGCTGGCAGTCATCATCGTCAGTGTGTGGAAGGAAGAGCGATCACACTTCACACTCATCCTTCGGGATTATTGGTGTGAAAGTACTCATCCATCCATCCGAAGTATGCACTTTAGCAAGAAGGGGCTGAGGTGGCAGATTCCATATAATGACATTGGCTTATTATTATTTGTAGATTTGTATTCATAACCACTAAACCAAAAGGAAGAACAAAAGAGAGGAAAAACTCCAACAACAAAATACTTGAGGGGTGATTTTTGTTTCTTGGTCTACAATAATCGAACTATGACTCGACATTGTATTCTTAAGTTTTTTTTCTTCATTCTACCTTAATTTCGATTACGGGGTACTAAGGAACAAATTATTTATGTATCTAGGTTCACTTTATAACTCACTTAAAAAAAGTTTACTTTACAACAACAAATCAATAGTCCCGCCGCGAAGCGCGGGCTTCCGTCCTAGTATATAGTAATGAATACTATTAATGATTCTTTTTGGGTATTATTTATCCTCCCTTTTCAATTCTACAAGCTTAAAAATCCTATTGTTTTATCTTTGAGGGATTAGAGGTGTCCCATCAAAAAGTTAATACATGAATTTTGACTCAAAATAAAATCGAGAAACGATTTATTCTCAGTAATACATGTATTGACAAAAACACATCCTCTCAAATCCCAACATCTAAATGACCCCTTGTTGGATTTGTAAGCTAAAGTAGTAACTCTACTTTATGTGTAGTACTTAGATTTGCTCGAGTTAGACATCAATTTTTAGGAGCGAATTACTAGCTGCATCAGAGGAAGTTTTAAAAATGTTGAATTGGTTATGCAAATGAAACCATCGATGAAACTCTTTGAAATCAAACAAACTCAACCCTTTAACCTGAACAGATAGCCGACAGTCAGCCCTCAAGCTTGACTCAGATAGGAAACTAGGGGGTCCTGTAAAAAAATCATTAAAAGATAAAGAAAAATATCTTTATAGATTTTTGAATAATCACCTCAAAAATAAAATTGATTGAAGAATTTTTTTTTGTCAATTGAAAACCAGATAAACAACAAGTGACTGCATCTAATTTAGGGAAGATATTACATGTTCTTTCATTATTTAAGTTAACAATAGTTTTTAAATTATGATTTGAAATCTACTTTTCACAAAGTAATGGTATCTATATATGCCTTTCAAGAATTAGGAGTACAAGAGGGAGAGTGTATGAGGATAGGTCTAGATCGGGAGGAGAATGGTGAAATTAACTACAATAGTTAATTGATATTGACAAAATAGGGTGCATCTAATTGAGACCAGTTGATTAAGAGGTCTTGTGTTATAAATAATTGTTTGGTACACATAGAATAATATTCGTGATAGTTTTGATTATTAATGCATTTTATTTTATTAAATTTTCTAAATATAATATTATAGAATGAATGATTAGTAAATTAACAAAAGTAATTTTATCATGTGTATTATTTTATAAACGGACCACCTTAGAAAAAAATCATGGCTACATCTTGGTTTATATCCTTTTAGTATTAAAATACATATATACTTCAACACAAGTTATCAACACTAAAACTCTAGAAGTTAAAAAAATTTCACCAATATATACGCATAACACCTCATAAATAAATTTCCAACCCTAGATGTTAAAGATTTTCAGATAAAAATGACTAAATGTATTAGTATAAACCCTAAGAAAGTGATGGTTATGTGGATAGAAAACAGAACCTCTCACTTTTCAAAATGATTTAAGACAACACAACAACCACTAATGATGAGTCTCTTTACTTGATTGTGTAGATGCACACAATATATAAAAATCTTAGGAGAGATTATGGCTCCCTAGCACTAAGCTAGTTTCGTCCCCATAAACCACCAAAGTTTACTCGAGATAGAGTCTTTGACGGCGATGACAACATCACTAGAGACGGAACCATGATTCGAAGTTAAGGTGCGGTCAAAAACATCTTTCTGATAAAAATAATGAAAATATCTTTATAAAGTTTTGAATAATCATCCAAAAATAAAATTTATTTAAAATTTATTTTATAAACTGAAAACCAGGTAAAGTACAAGTAACTACATCTAATTTGCGTAAGAGATAACACGTTCTTTTATTATTTAAGTTAATAATGAGTTTTTTAATTAAGATTTTTAAATGTATTTTTCACAAGTACTGGCATATATATACCTTTCAAGTATTAGGAGTATAAGAGAGAGTGTAAGAGTGTGAGTTCCGGCATCGTCTTCTTATCCACCAGCTACCGCCTTTGCCCCACCTTCATCCACCCCTCTGTCTCGAATTTTTTGCAGGCATCTGCCCTGACATTCACCAAGGCCGGCTTACCAGATATTCAGTTTGTCTGACCGCTAATCGACGGGATCCTTTCATCTTCCAATTTTGTTCGCTCTTCCGTCGATCTTGTTTCAAAAACACTGCTTTTATAACCCTCGAGATCGTACCTGCACCGTCCTCATTTGATTTGGTTATGATTTTGGAGCCAATAATTACAAGTCGGTTAGGATTATGTGGTGGCAGGATGTGGTTCAAGTTGAGGTTCTAACTTGGGTTAATCGGTTGAAGAAGGCACGAATTTTGGGACTCGACTATTCTGAGCTCGTTGTTGATCCCTACAGCCATATCATAATGAGAAGGCTTAGATTGAAGAAGCCGATGCACGAAAAAGATTCCGTCGCTGAGAAATCTTTAGGAGTTTGAATCCCGAAGAGAAAACAATGATCAGAGATGCGGCTAAGCAGAGGAAGGCGTTAGAGAGGGAGCGGCGATTTGGTTTTGACATCTTAATTTCCCTTTTTCAATTCCAAAGGTCATCCCTTTCATGTTCCATTGTCTAATTGACATCCTGGAATTCAATTTATCTCCTCTGCCGATCTTGTTTTAGGAACACTGCTCCTTTTCTTTCTGGAGCAGAGCTGCCTTGCTCGTAGCTCCCTATTGATATAAAAGGAGATGAAGGGAAGGCGACCTCAAGACTGGTGGCTAAAGACTGCCGCTCAACGGCATACAGCTGACGACAACGCAAGGCCGTGTACCGAAAAGCTGCCACCCAGTATAATGTACCAACACCTGAATTTGACGGACGCGATCAAATAAAAAATGGGATGGGACTTTCGAATTTGAACACCAGCTGGATTAAGATGGATTTGACTTAGAAGCGACGTCAGGAGTTAGAACCTTCCTCGGTAGAGGAGAGGGGACCGAAGGCCACCGGCAAAGAAAAAAGACCACTTAATTCATGTCTTTGCGTGGAAGGTTTAAGATTTTTTTTTAAGGTTCAATATAAAATCAGATGAACCAACACGATTTAACTGGTCCACTAGTTCACTATTGTGACAATAAATTCTTTAAAAATATATATTAAAGTAAACTAAGACAGTTAAACCAAAATTATTAATTTTATTTCTGCTTCCCCTTCTTATTTTCTAACCTCGTTGTCGATTTTATGTGGTCCACTACCGACTGGCACCATAATTTTTAACTTGAATTAAAAAAATTATAATTTCTTTTATGAGATGGTTTGAATGATTTGTTAGATATTTAGGCGATGATATGAATTTGAAATTGTTAATGGTCAATGATAACGTTATCTTAAATTAATGTATTATACAAGTATTGTATATTATATATCATGAACGGTTTTATCAATGGTTAACCAACAGTTTTGCAACGATTAACCACTGAACCCTAAACCACTGACATTTTTGGTTCAACTCGTCCGGTTCGGTTATGAAAACAAAGTGTAAGACTATTAGATCTTCTCTTTTCAAATTACAACCATTGAATTAAGTTTCCCAGTAATACAAAATCTCATGGTTTTGTACCGTAACCTGCCCCTAGGTGTTCACCAAAATAAAAAATTACTATTGACTATTGTATTTGATTAATCCTCGTCACTAAAATCCGTGTGAGATTGGTTGAGCTAATTAATTATATAAAATGGTCACCGAGCATATAAGGGTCGTAGAGCTTTCTTCTCTGCTAACTAGATTCTGTGCATTGTTCGGAACAATTGTTATTTGAAACTCGGCCGACCTGCGAAACCCGTTCAAAAATGTCGCCCTGCAGATGCTCGACGTCTTTAAACCCCAAACTAAGAGACAAGTAGGAAAATTGTGGCATCTGAAATCACCGTTAAATTTACGATATCTGATTACGAACTTATCATGTTAGCGTGACTAAGTGGAATGTGTCGACGTTTAAGTAGTATTTTATATTATGTTATTTAAATTAAGTTTCTATGATCAATCGTTATGATCAAGTTATATGCCATGTAGATAAGTGAACACGACTTGAATATTTTGTGAGTTGTGATGAATTCTGCATGATCTACCATGAGGTGTGCCCTGACCAATGTGATTGACTGTGAAAAGATGCATAGTATATTCAAGAATAGAATATAACCCATGAGGTGTTGAACGACTTTAAATCTGAGAACAAAAACGAAGAAGTAGAAATCGTCACATCTCATATTCACTTTCACGAGTTATGCTAGTTTGGTAGATTTGGAATTTACATTAAACATGCATGATCAAGTTAACCCATATATGTATATTATTAAACATTTCAATTTCACAGATTTTATTTTCCGGACTCATTACTGTTTGGTCCTTAACTTGCTTATCCTGGGCTAAATTGCGCTGCTAGCCTTGGAGAGGATGGCTTTGGGCCCTGGCTGTAACAAACGGCTCAGGATCTTTCTTCTACTGGTTTATGGCCCAATTTGCCCTACTTTGCCAAACTACAAATGATCACTAGATAGTGTCTTCTAAGATGATGCTACAAAACATGCCCTCTAACTTTCGCGCAATTTTAAAAAAATATTGTTTGCGATGAATGTTTCGATAAATCAAGTTGAATATATTATAAAACAATGACAAATTACACGCGACACAAATATGATGGCAGTAAAAAAATTGACTCCAATAACAATAAGAGAGAATATGATTCATTACGTGTTAGTTTAAATTATGATGAAAAAAATTATTCGAAAAAGAAGAATGAGAATGTGAAATTAAGTGAAAGTACCAAATGCCCTCTCTAGAAGAAGTAAATCTTTCAACCATGAAGATCAATTGACTTCAGTTATCCATTACTGAGTAACATTATTACAGGTACATGAAAGGGGTGGAAAAAAAAAGAGCTCACTCTCCATTACAAATTGCATACAAAAGGTAATATTTATAAAAAACATGGCTGTTTTATACTCTGCTTATATATATATATGAAAGTTGATTGGCTCTCTAAATTTAGAGCATATGTTCAATATTGTTGTACAACAAACCCAGAAGGCAAAGCCACTAATTTCCTGAAATACCCACAAATTAATGGCCACAAACTCTTTTTTTTTTTTTTAGTCACCATGTTTTCTTCACCTTTTTTATTACAAACTATAGCATACATATGGCCTTTTTTTGAGGGAGGGAATTTCCTTCACCATTTTTCCATTCTTTCTTTTTTAATAGTAAAATGGGAGAAATTCAAAGCTTTAAGGCCATATATATACTATGTGCTACACAAAAGGAAGAGGGTGGGTTTTTAATGGAAGCCGGCGAGGGTCGTTTTGGTCGTCGGGATATCCGGCGGTGGAGATGGGAGTAAAGTGAGCGAGAGTATTCCACTGGCTGCTGCCGCCACCGCTCCGACCACGAACGCCGGTAAGTTCCCTCCGCCAAACAGCGCGTCCCATGGGCCACTCAACACCGACACTATCATCTGCGCACATAAAAAACGACAAAAACACACGATTAAAATCGATATGAAAGCAGCAAACAAAACATTCTTCGATCATCCAAATCCGACCATAATTAGGGAAAGTAGATTTGGGTTTGAACCTAAACTTTGATGTGTTGCGAAGTTTTAACCCTTTTCCCTTTCTTAGTTCTAAAGCAACGGGTTTTTCCCACTGTTGGGAATTGTACGATGGGCCAGCAAACAAATAGAATCCAATACTTTATCTTGGGCCCAGAGAATATATTCCGGTCTTTATCCAATTTCTATAATATATCCAAGATACTCGCTTATCTAGCCTTGGTTCTAATACAGGCCCAACAAAGCCTTTCTATGACTAACGAATAGGCCACCACGACGATCGATGGTGAATGTTCTGGTACGTCATACTTGAACACATAACAGTTCGGTCAAGAACCCTTTTCGATTCTATTGGAGAATTGAATTACCCTCGTTAAATCAGCTCGGATTGAATGAAGTCATTATTAACGGTGAAGAAAGATGTATCATAGGACAAAGACTTTTTTTTGCTAATTAGCCCTTTGATACAAGGTTACTTGTACTTAACGGTAACCGACCAAAAAGCTCAAAAGCCCAAATCAAAGTAATCAACAATATATATTATAGATAGTTTACCTTTTCCCTACAACCTTGTTCTCATAAAGCCAACTAACCAACCAACCAAAAGGGAAAAGAGGAAAAAAAAAGAGTTTTTGATTATGTTCCTCTCTAACCATCTGGATATATAAGAAGGGCCCTATCAATCTCATTCATTAAAAAAACTTGTTCTCTAAAAAAAGTTAAAGTGTGACATTGAGTACTCCTAACCCTTTTTTCACACATAAACTTCTCCTCCACGTGTATATGTGCCACCTTACCCTTCAAATTTATTTCGACCGACCGACCTTTCCCTAGTGGGGAGACACAATGAAACTAACCACCTTCATGACAAGGAAATCAGAGGACGTTTCTAAGTCTTTTTCCTAACCCATCTTCCATTTTATCAGTCATAGTCCCCACATTTAATCCTAACCCACAAAAAATATTTGTTCCATGGAGTCCATATTTGCCCTCGTCGACACCATCCCGATTAATATGTTGATGGGTTATACACCTTAGCAATCATTATAATGCTAATGCATGCATTCGATGATTGAATGTCAGATCGTGTAAACAAAACATGCACAACAACAAAAAGTAAAAGAAGAACCCATTACCTGTGGTACAACGATGGATAGATTGAGAACTCCCAGCGACAAACCTAATCAAACAACCATGCAAGGAAAAAAATAATCAACTTTCTATGATGATCTCTAATTAATTAATTCGTAACTAAGCAAGTTCATGTAACAATAATTAATTATATTTCTCACCTTGACCGGTACCGGTGGTCTGAGAAAAGATAGAAGCCAGAGCGAACGGGATGCTGTAAGTTATCTGCACAACAGGAAAAGCCAACCACAAATTAAAAAATTATTATTTTAATTATGAGTCAGCAAATAATAATAATTTTTTGTTTTTTATTTAACCTCTTTGGATAATGCATGAACACAAATTAAATGGTGTAATAAATTTCAGCATTTATTATCCTAGTTGGCATGAATTCCACTTCCCACAATCCAATGCCTCTTTTTTTTTAAACTTTTGCTCAGACCTCGTAATTAATTATCTTCATATCCAAAATTAAAAGATTATTATTAAAACTCACCGCAAGCGGGATACCCAAGACGGAGAAGAGAGTCAAAGCCCCGGCCAAAACCCCGGTGGACGGCGGAGTCGGGTGCTCCGACGACGCCCGACCCGCCTCCGCCAACTTACTGATCAAAACGGTCAACGCCAGGCAGATCGCCAGCAAAAAGTTGACTATCCCCCACAGCCTCTTCACCCCGCCGACCCACCGGCCCAACGACTCGACCCCGAGCGACATGACGCCCAACACCACCGAGTTCAAAAGCAGGCCCAACGCCCCGGCCCGCACCCCGTGCCCGTACATCTTCACCTGCTCCGGGTTCCCGTCCGAGCTCCCGCCGTACACCTCCCGGCCCATCCAGTCGGTGTCGTACAGCAGGAACGGGAACCACCCAATCCAGTTCAGACACGTCACCAGCAGCAGGATGCACATCGGCCTCTTCATCGTCTTGATCGCCGAGAACAGCTCGCAGAACATCGGCTCCGACACCGACGGCTCTTCCCCGTCCGCCGCTGCCTCCGGCGACCACTGCTTCTCCTCCACGTACCTGCCCTCGTCGTAAAATAAAAAGATACAAATTAATTTCACGTTTAATCAAATTTCACATAACGCGTGCGAGTTTTTTTACATGAAAATTTAAATAAAAATAATTAGATTTAGGTATTTCCAGAAATGTCCGCAAATAAATAAAAATTTTACTGCACGGTAATAATTATTAGGTGAGAAGTGAAAGGGAAAAAAAGAAAAACGGTTAATTACCAGAGGGCTAAAACGGTCAAAACGAAGAGCAGGCTGATGGAGATGAAAAAGCAGGCCTTGAGATTGGCACAGTAGACATCACACGCCGTCGTTTTGGTAAACGAGAAGATCTTATAAAGATGGTTGTAGCTGCCGGCGGCGTAACCCAGGATGTTGCCGACGGCCATGAAGAACGAGAAGAACGCATTGGCGACCCTCGTCTTCTTCTGGCTGGTCCCCGAGAGATCGGCGAGCAGGGCGCGGCATGGCCCTTGGAGCATGTTGTTGGCGACGTCGAGGATCCAGAACCCGACGACGAAGACGGCGATGGCGCGGGGCTTGGATTTTTTGGTGAGGTCGTCGCCGGCGTGGTGGCCGATGTCGGCGGCGTAGCCGATGAGGATGACGGCGACGGCGACGCAGGCGGTGCCGCCGGCGATGAAGGGGCGGCGGCGGCCGAAGCGGGAGGTGCAGCGGTCGCTGTGGTAGCCGACGATGGGCTGGACGATCATGCCGGAGACGGGCCCGCAGAGCCAGATTAAGGAGGCGAGGGAGTGCGGGATGCCGAGGAGCTGGACGTACGGGGTGAGGAGGGAGAGCTGGAGGGCCCAGCCGAACTGGATGCCGGCGGCGATGGAGGCGACGGCGGCGATCTTGCGGAGCGGGCTGGCGGCGACGTGGGCGGTGGCGGATTCTTGGTGGGTTGGTTGTTGGAGGTGGAGGGCGGCGGGCTTGCCCGGCGGCGGGGCTTTGTGATCGGTGGCCATGGAGGGAGGGAGAGCAAGAGAGTAGAGAGTATTAATTAGAGAGTTGAGGGAGTGATGGTGTGGTGGAGGGGATGGAGGGAGTGGGGATTATATAGAGTGAACTATTGGGGTATAATTGGTAATTTGCCTACTCCTAGTTTTTTTTTTTGAAAGATTTATGGGTGTTTGTTTGTATTGTACTTGTAAATGGTAGTGATGTAAGTGAAACAATATGATAAAAAAGAACAAGAAGAAAAGTTTGAGTTTGAATGGAGAGCTATGTACGTCATTCAGGTTAGTTTGTTGTTACGACGTGGTGATATCGTTGTTGTAATAACAGGTATACGTGTGTCTCGTGTTTTGTTAGATGTTTTGATTTATCTGTCGTAATGATTGAGTGATGGTCATGGCGTGGCAGGATTGATATTTACCGATTTTGTGCTTGAATCCACGTACCATAGATACCCTGTGTGCGATATAGCCAAGGTAGAGACTTCCGTCAATTTTATGAAGGATTCATGACAGAGCATGCAACATTCAGAATGACAATACGAGAATCATACAAGTTCATTCTTTCGGAATTTTCCTTAAGTAATTGCATCAAGAACCAACTGGTCTCGATAATTCGAGTAGTTGTTAGAGGTTCGTTAGTGAATCTTATACCGCATACTAACACGCGTACCATCAAACGAAAGTCAAGTGACACATTTACATATCAATGAATGAACAACCTATAAGAGATCAAACAATGCTACAATAATCCTACTATGCATATAACCTTATCCATTATATTCAATGGGTTGCTAGCTAGTAGCTAGAGGGATTAGCCAAAAAGTTAACGTTACAAAAGAAACACACCATCGTGATCAAGAAGGGTGTTGGAGTTAAAGAATACTATGGTTAAATATATTTAATCGAAAGGGATAATATCCATTATATACCACCACCAACAGTTTAATTGAGGTGAGTGGGCTGGATTCTGTATGCCATGGTACAAAGATTTTTTTGTCGTCAAGTTGGCCAGCTAAGCAATATACGGTCGAATACTACTACTAGCCTACATATGCATTTGAAAAGTCTCACCCCCACAATTCTAAAACAAAAAATTATTCAGATTCCCTTTCTCTTTCATTTCATTAAATCAACTATTGCGCGCTAATACCACTGAAAAACCCGTTCCAGTCTCGGAATAAATAGTATAATTAAAATCGATTAGAGACTAGATCAGGATTAGGAAAGGGAGAGAGCACAGTGGGGCGGAGGCTGCTGCTGCTTCAGGCTGCTATGCATGGTTGATGGGTAAAAATCGAATAGGGTAAATGAGAGAAGAAACCCGATTGGGGATTTATTTTTGTTTATAGTTTTAATCAATTAATTTTATGTTAATCAAAGAGTCGTCTAATCAGTTGATTTCAGCGCTCTCTTATATTTATTTTATTTATCCTCTCTGGCTATTTTGAAGCTAGCTATAAGGATTTGTGTGGGTTACATGAGCTTGTCTTTAACTTGAGTGTTGACTCACGAGTAAGAAGAGTTTGAGAAGAAATGGGTTTACCTGACAAGTTGATAGAGTAACGTCAAAATCCATTGGCTTTGATGGGAAAACTGAATTTGGACCCTTTGGTGACCGGGTTTTCAATGCCATTAATTGTTTCTGAATAAGATGTTTCATATGATCATGGGTCAACTAGCTAGCAAGGAAAAAACCTGTGTTTGGAAATTATTATTTTACAATTTAAGAGGATGAATAATAATATATATTGTTAGCAAGTTTGGATATATAGTATGGACTTAGAAGCCATTAGTGCTGAAATACAATGTAATAATTGAGCGTGATGATGAGGAGTAAATACCGGTGCGGCGCCGCCTCGAGAATCTTTCCAAGAATAGGAGTCATTGTAAGATCTGACACACGACGAAACGGTCACCGGGAATGAATTTTGTCTGTCATCAGGATGTCGTCTTGTGAAATGAAATTGATATGGGGAAGTACATTATCTCATCAATATTGTTTTTATCACTGCGAGATCTTTGACCTACTGAATTGGATGCGTGGTCAAATTGATCGGTGCAACATGGGTGTTTGTATATGATGACTTCAAGATGAAGCAATCTCCAGGGATATATGAAGTCGAATTCAAAGGTTATTGGGTCAGATTGATCACTACAACGTGAGCTTTATCTATAAAAAAGAAACAATTCAATTACACATAATTTTAAATCTCAACCGGATAATTCTGAACACATATTTGCGCAAGTCTGGATCCAGAATGATGAAGAAAACTATATGTATGGTGATTCCTCTTCGGATGCACACCGTTAATCCATCCATAGTTGCAGAAGATGTTAGTGGAAAACTTATTTGTCACAAACAAGGGACTTTGTCATATATATAATAACATTGAGTATATACTCAATAGTCAAAATCTATCAAGCATTATGAAAACTCAATGTTATTGCAATGTTTTGAATAGTTTTCTGGATAGATACTAACAACAATTTATCTTCTTTGTCATTGTAAACAATACTTGTAAATAATCAAGAAGTTCTTAATGAATTGATTTTGGATGATGTGAGCTGATGATTACTGTATGCGAGTTATTGACCTCTTAGACTTGATATGTGGAACATGATGATCAAAAATCCATTTTAAGGTGACATAAAAGACAAAGTCAACCCAACTTGGAGTGTCAACAATTAGAAGTTAGCATCATATTTCTGTATAGAAACAAAAATAGTGCCATCATTATGGAATAGGTCATTGAAAGACCTTCTTGCCACACAAACATGAACTTTTATTTGGATGGAATTAAGATAGGTAATCAGCCATAAAATCAATCTAATGTCTAATTGATTATTCTATTAATTGAGTTTACTGCATTGTTTAATCAATAAAAAAGAGGAGGGGAAAGAAGTCTAAATTAAGAACATGTTTAAAGGTATATATCTCGAAGCAACGATTCAAAAAAAAAAAAACAAACTCATTCTCTTCTATTTGTCATATCCATTTGGTTTATTTGCATTATAAATCATTCAAAATTACATTAACAACTTTTTCATAAACGTTATATGAATCTCTCAAACTCGACTTATTCATCATACGAGTTAGCTACGATATTACTTTCTAACAAAAAAATTCGTTCACTCCATGCTTGGTGACGACCCATCAACATGCTATTCATACATAAATTAAATCAAACGGAGAATAATTAATTGTTCCTGGCCAGCCAACTTGGAATCCTCCATAACCTTTAATTTGTGGCTTTCTTAATTCACTCAAGTTGACGACATTCGCAAGTGAGTCAAGTGGGTGGTTGAGATACTGAGATGATTAAACATTCTTCTTCTTCTTCCATCTTCTCTTGCTTATAATTAGCGGCAGAATAATATGGGCTGCGGGGACACTAGCTAGACATTCACCATATGCCTCTTCCTGTCCTCCATAAGCTCCAAACTTAGCTTCTTCAAGATAAAATTGTCACTAATATGATAAATCGTGAAGTTATGGTTGTTCTCTATATACTTACGTTAATTGATAAATTTATCTTTCACGCACGTCGTGGAGATTATTCTACTGAGAAAAAATAAGCCAATTTTTTTTATTTTACAGATCACTCTTATATTTTTGGACTTCATGCTACAGAGATTCTCCTTGCAACTTCAATCTCTTTAGTGGCTTATATGCCGAACTTGTTATGGGGTTAATCTGTCAAAATCAGTTGGTCCCAATAATTTGAATTGCTGTGATCAGAGATTCAATTATTAATCATATACCATTTACTGACACACCCTCTCATACAAAAGTTGAATCATTTAAGGTTGAAGTTTGCACAGACCTGGATACTATATGCACATACATAATACTGATAATAGTACATATAAGGGTCATATAAGAATTCCAGTGGAAGAACTCGTCTCAGTAACAGAAGACTCTGATACTATATACAAATATTTTTCCTCTTTTTATTCTTAATTATTATAGTAATAAAGGGTGGAGAGAGCTTTTACCCTTAAATACTTAAAAACAATATAGCGAGTGAACAATTTTACCCCGAAACAAGAACAAAAGAAAGAATATGAGTTTAAGTGAGCAACTTGCTAGCTAAGGTAGGTATTATGTGCATCACTTGTAAAATTCCACTCCCAATAATTGGAGCTTACTTGTATGAGTTGGTCCTTTCTTCGTCTGATCGTAGTGCTCCAAAGAATGAGGATCAAGCCTAGATTCTGTTCCCTGTAGAAAAAAGAAGAAAAAAGAGAGAACTACTTGACAACAGCTAATTCCAAATTCAACCTACATTCCCTTCATCTCTCTAAGTTAGGTGACTTCTTTTGCAAATCTAGGTTTGCAAAACACAAGATATTTCACTACAAAGTTGCGAAAAAGATGAGTTCTAAAATCTTATAATTTATATTTTTTGGAATAAAAAATATTTTGATTGTATATTTCTGCTATATTATATGTTTCTTTGACAACTATTTCAGTGCCAATACAATTATGGGCTCGGCGGAAAATCCAACTTGTGACTCCATTTGGATGTTTCTCAAGTTTGGATTATTAGATGTATGAAAGCATAATATTATGGGCACGACGAAAATTCTCCGATTTGTGACTGTTTTTGGAGCTTTCTCACGTAAAAGTACTATTTTAATCATCACCATATGTCCAGTATGCAAGTACAAAACCATATAGAAAAAGGAAACTAATTACACAGAAAAAGAAGCTATCAAAGATCTGGAGCAATATTATTGGATTCGAGGAGGGCAGAATTTTAATGAATCCCAGTCAAAATTGCAGTTTAAAATGATCTAATCTATTTTATACAGGTTTCAATAATTCTTAACTTTGATGTTGGATTTTTACCCAACAAAATCGGTTTTAGAACACCCATTTTCCAACATTATTGATTTTGATGAGTATGTTGTTGAACAATGGTTAAGTCAATAACGACCATTAGATGAAGGAGAAATAAATTGATGATTACTCAATATTTTACGAGAGTAATTTTGATAAAGTTAGTAAAAGAGACAATTTACTTTGATTTAAATTTATCGTCGAGATGTAAACGATCACAGTG